TTATTATCCTGGGACACATTTTATCCGGCCAGTCAGAGGGTCCTAGGATTCCTTATCGATAAGGGAACCGCGGTTAAACAACAGCCTAAACCTCGGTGGTTGTTTTTATTGTGTTATAATTGTCGCGATTCGTGACAATTTTATTAAAATAAGTCTAGTACCCCACTTCTCGGCCACCCCTAGTCTCAACCACCTTTTTATACCAAAAACAACGTAAATCGATCTCTATAACTTTCTTATTTGTGAGTATAATACCTTAAAAATTTAAATATAAAATTATTACTTATATAATAGTAAATTCTGAAAATTCTAGATTTTTCAAGATTTTATTGATTGAGATATTAATGATTTAAATTTTGATTTTCAATTTGTATAAGATTTATATAAAAATTTGAAAATCTTAAAAATCTTTAATAACTTTTCAACAAAAATATTTCAAAATAAATAATAAATTTTTTTTGGAAATACATAAATTACAAATAATAAAGTATTAATTATTTATTATTTTTCCGAATAACTTGATTTATTTGATTAACTATGATATTGTGACGGAAATCCCTGCTTTCCTCCCACCCTTATTATATAAGAAACCTCAGGTACATTAACCATGTCCACACATGATACGATTACTCGAGATTAGTATGCGATTTAGGTGACCTGAGGATCAGATCCGGACAAGTACTAGGTATCAATGGTTATCGGTAAAGTAAGATCATTGGAGGAATAAATATGACTTCTTTTTGCCTAGCTATTGCGGCTAGGCCATTCATTTGTGTATATATAGAGTAGCTATCCCCATCTACAGGTGCTCTTCACCTGTAGATTCTAAGTTAAATACAATTGCTGGTCTATAAACACCCTTTTGGTCACAGATATAAATATTTGAAAAAAAAAAAATTATTTATTTTTAATTATTTTTATTGAAAAGTCATTTTAGATTTTAATGATTTTAGATTTGTATATAAATCTTATATAAATTAAAAATCGTAATTTCAACTTTCAATTTCTCAATTAATAAAATCGCAAAAAATCTGAAATTTTCAGAATCGTTTTATATTTATATAATAATATTGTAACTAAAATTTCAATTGATTTTACTTATTAATTGTAGAAATATTAATAGGCAAAATCACGATTTTTGATGTAAAAGGGTGGCTGAGAAGTGGGGAACTAGATTTATTATATATCTTAAATTTAATAATTTAAAAGAATTATTAAAAAGAAAATATTAATTCAAGAAAAATTTAATCTAATTCTAAATAAAACATGATTTTTTATTAAAAATCTAAAATTTTAAATTAAAAGATATTTCATAAAGATATATATGTTTTAAAGAATAAAAAAAAAATTAAAATTCTTTTTAAGTTTTTAATAATAATAAATCTATAAAAAAAATATAAAAAATTATTCAAAATATAAATAAAAAAAATAATTGAAATTAGTGTTAATTTTAAATTTGAATCTAAATCTTTATTTAATATGATATAAATATTGTAAAAGAAAACAATCTAGATTATATTTATAAAAAAAAAAGATTTTATATAAAAACAAATTATTTAAATATCTTCAAGTCTAATTATTTGATTAAAATTATTGTAATTGTATTATAATAATTTATCAATTGATTATTTTGAAAATTTTAAAAAAAGAATTTTTTTAAATTAATATAAAAAAGAATATTCAATATTATATTATCAAATATAATTTATATCAATAGTATAAAATCAAAAGATATAAATCTTTTAAAAAATTAAAAGATTTGTTTAAATTAATTCTAATTCAAAATTGTAATAGATTTTATTATCAAATTGTTTTTGATTATCAATAAAATAATTAGAAAACAATTTTATAATAATATATTAATTATAATGAATTGATTTATTAAAATAATTATATATTTATTTTTTTATAAAATTATTTAATTTGATATAAATTGAGATATTTTTTGAGTTTATTATAAAATATATTGTAACGATACTATACTAAAGACAGCGGCTGTCTAAGGTTCGTCGGTTGATAGTTATAAGTTAAGGCTTTATTATTAGTATTCATTTAAAAATAAATTCGTTATTAGATCAAATAGAATATAAATAAATTAATTGATAATTAAATTGAGTATAAAGCTTTTAAATTATGAAATTACTTTGATTATATAATAAACGATAAAGAGAATCTTTAAAAACTTTTTGGCTTTTTAAGGCTCCTGGAGCTCTAGAAGCTTTAAAGGCTTTTAAAGGCTCTTTATTATATGATTTCTGATAGTGTGTGTATATACGATCTTTCAGGGTGACCAGGATCATATACTAATTCCGATGAAATCTGATTGTGTTTGTACAAGGCCTAAGCTCTCCTAATTAATCAGTTTGCTACCATCGTAACACCATCAATCCTAATAGTGAATCGTGACATATATCTACTTATATAAATAGAAAAGTTATTTATATTAATTTAAAATATAATATACTTAATTATTTTCTTTTTTAATTTTTTTGTAATTATAATCTAGTTTTATTTTAAATAAAAAAATAAGAAAAATATCATAATTAAAAATATCAATTTATAATATATCTAATTAAATAATTAAATATTGTTTTTCATTAAAAATATTTAGATTAAATAACAAAAAAATAAAAATAGAAAAAAAAATAACATTTAGAATAATTGAGCTATTTAAGATTATTGAAATAAAAAAAACAAATCAAAAATTTGAAATAAAATAAATTCGAAATTATAAAATATATAATAAAAATAAGAAATATTTATTATAATAAATTTTTTTTTTAAAAGAATATAATTTATAATTATTTATATATTTCAATTTAAAAAAAGATGAGAAAAAACTGAGAAATATATCACGATTCACTATTAGAATTAATGGTGTTACGATGGTAGCAAACTGATTAATTAGAAGAGCTTAGGCCTTGTACAAACACGATCAGATTTCATCGAATTAGTATGTGATCTTGGTCACCTAAAGATCGTACATGTATGCACCATCAGAAATCACGTGATAAAGAGCCCTAACAGCCCTCAAAACTCCTAGAGCTCTAGAAGCCCTAAAGAGCCAAAAAGCTTCTAGAGATTTCCTTTATCATTCATTATATAATCAAAGTAGTTTTATAATTTAGGAGTTTTATATTTAACTTAATTATTAATTAATTTATCTACACTCTACTTGATCTAATAACGAATTCACTTTCAAATAAATACCAATAATAAAGCCTTAACTCATAACTTTCAAACTAACAAAACTTTAAATAGCCGCTGTCTTTAATATAATATCGTTACACTTCTCACTATTCCCTGTGTAAGGTTATTCCTTTTAATAAAAACCTTTATTTAAATTTTCAATATAATAATAATCTATATAAAATCATTCTGCTCTTATATATAAAAAGCTAAAATTTAATTCTATATTAAATATAATTTTATTATTATTGATTTTATATATTCTTTATTATAATATAAAAATCTAATAGTTTTAACATCCGGCAAGTCGATATGTTACGACGGCTATCATCAAGCGCCGCGTCACATGACTAACTTAGGGTAACGTGACCTCAAGTCACGTTACGGACCGCTGAGGAGCGCTGGCGGTCCAGTACCGCGCAGCGTTCCTGACTAGCCATAGGCACGAAGGTCTATATAATCAAGATGGATTCCCTTTGTATAGAGCTTCGTGCTCAAGATCAATCATTTAGTATACTCTACTATTAGTTACGAATTGCATATCATTATTGTCATTACTTAAGTCCCTGCTTGACGCCTAGTTATAAACCACGTCGAGAGCCTAGAGCACTTCCACGTGAGCTAGACGGCAAACCTCGTAACAAGTTGTTACCATCGTAACAAAATTATTCTAAAAGTTTTAAATATAAATATAAATATAAATATAAATATAAATATAAATATAAATATAAATATAAATATTATTTTAATCTCGAACTTATTATAATATTTGTTAAAGTGAATGGTTCCTGCGCAGCACGTGCACAGGGCACTAGTCCTATTAGGACTAGATTGAGAAGCTCTCTGTAGGAGAGCTTCGCACTTCTGTAGAACTTAGAAGAGTGATTAATATACTAGACTAGTATTACCTCAGTTCTGCCCTATCAGCTTCTCACTATTCCCTGTGTAAGGTCATTCCTTTTAACAATATTTATTATTTTTATAAATAATTCTTTTATAATATATTTCAATTAATTTTTATCTTTAATCCTTTTTATGATTTATTAGAATATCCAATATCTCATTTTATAATTGAGTCATTCAATTATCCTAATTAAAACAATTGGTTAATCGTCTTGTTTATCGTTCTCATATTCAAGAGCTTCAATTGGCCTAGCTCCTATCAGCGAAGTAGACCCGTGGCTAATGGCTTTATCGTAAGCGTTGCAGTTACAGATCTGCCTCATGTGCTCAGTAGCCTGCCGCGCTCAGGCTTCATGCTTTGTCTCAACAACAGATCATAGCAAGTCTTGCTCGCCTTTTAATCCATAATTGCGACTTTTCTCATCTTGCTATCAATCAAACTACTTTTTTTTATACAAAATATTCTCACAATCATCAATAGGTCGGCCTCACCTATCGACTTAAAAGATAATAATAACAACTGAAGATCGGCATTTACCATCTAGCCAACATCAACTTGAATGAAATCAATCCAATACTACAGCAAAACAATTCTGCACAGCTTCTTCAATTGAAATCAACAATCCTTTCGAAATAAGGTCCATCGAGAAGGTAAATCTCCATACAGACTTAGCTTGCACATCCTGTTTTTCATTCAAAGATCCGCACAACCAGCTTCCGTTGTATCAAGAATTTAACAATCATGCACAGCTATTCTCATAATAAATACAACCACCATTCGACTCGTTCATCCTACACACGCAACGATCGACCAACCGACCAATACAAGCACGCTCCCAGACTCATTTTCAAGATCAGAAAATGGCAGCGCCGGGAACTCAATCCTTAAAGGTCAGATTTATTATATCTCTGGGAAATATTGATCTCATGGTGTGTTGAGTAAGGAAACTGACCTTATCTATGAACAGTGTGTTGTGACAGGAGATGGAGCTGTTGGCAAGGTATTTCTCCAGTTCATCAATACAAGTTTAACTCAACCACTCACATCACCTAACAGACATGTCTTCTAATTTCGTATACTACTAATGCATTTCCCGGAGAATATATCCCCACCGTGTGAGTATGGGTGCTTGGTCACATTAAGGCTGGATACTAACATAGTCAGGTTCGACAACTATTCGGCCAGTGTGATGGTTGATGGGAAGCCAATAAGCCTTGGTTTGTGGGATACTGCTGGACAAGAGGATTACGACAGACTGCGCCCACTTTCCTATCCACAAACAGATGTATTTTTGATTTGCTTTTCCATTGTCAGCCCTCCATCTTTCGACAACGTCAGAGCAAAGGTATGCATTAAAACCTCACACATCTGCAGGAGATTTATGACCATGTTCCACTAAAACAATTGAAACAATAGTGGTTTCCCGAAATATCCCATCATGCGCCCGGTGTTCCAATCATTCTTGTCGGAACAAAGTTGGATCTTCGAGATGATGAGCCTACGAAAGAATCTCTTCGATCCAAACGAATGGAGCCTGTAACCTATGATCAGGCAAGAGTTGTTGCTAAAGAGATCCGAGCACACAAATACTTAGAATGTTCTGCCCTCACACAAAGAAACCTGAAGAGTGTGTTTGATGAAGCAATCCGGTAAGACATGTTCTCTATTGCGCGATATGACAGTGATTAGCTAACTGGACCAAAGTGCCGTTCTAAGTCCGCAACAACAAGCACCGAAACCAAAGAAGTCCAAGTGCATAGTTCTATGAAGTAAGATCGATTGGAGACAATGACAGGTGAAAACCTATAGCGACATCATCGGTTACCACGAATGATATTGTTGGAAGTGGTTCAACCTCTCCGATAACTGGAGATGCAGGATTTTGAGGAGTAAGGTGCTGGAAATACGAATGGGTTAATATCAAGCTTTTTCTGTTTCTTGACTTTTTCGTTTCTATGCTATAGAATTTGGCATTATATGGATGTGGCAGCATATATCGATGCAGCATGCATCTTTGAAGATACCGAAGATACCTCCTTTTCTGTAGATAAGTCAAGATAAATGCATGGGAGTAATGAATAAATAAATAAGGATCTTGAATTCCATTAATGCTGAGACGGGTTTCCCGATTGATTGAGCCTCCAGTTTATATGCAATTGCAACCGGGTATCATAATTCATCCACCAATTCTTGCCTTCCTACTCGGATGCACTCCACTATCCTCAGCCAACACATGCTGTGCCCCGTCGACCGCTTTGTTCTTGCTAACTTTTGGATTATCGGCCTTAAATTTCTGTTAGCATGCTAGTGCCTAGCGAATTTACTTCTCGCCTGAGAGTCGTTGCAGCCCAGCGATATGAACGTGCAAATGAGGAGAGCCCTACCGCTTGTGCTTGTCTTACACGTTGTTCATTCAGTTTCTCATTTTTCCCCTTAATTTTCGAGCGGCGGTCTTTTGTGTTACCACCACCTCCGGCACTTTATAGCAGTTAGATGGAACACCAAGATGGAGGATAGATCACACTTACGTTAGCTCAACGTTGATCTTTCTTGGTGCCGAAATACCATCATTGAATGTGGATTGGTGAAATTGCTTGAGACAAGTTTTCATATAATCATAACCTTCAAACTCAAGGAAAGCACAACCCCTGGATTTAGTAGGATTTCCTTTTTCCGTAAGATGACGAACCGAGGCAGGCTTGACGGCAGCAAAGTGGTTTTTTATTGACGCAGTCGTAGCAGTAAATGGGAGGTTTCCTAACAACTTATATTTAGTCAAGCACTATACAACTTCCAGTACGAGGTAATTCACCAATGAACACGATGAATCTTGCAGCCTTGCTTTCTGTATTTGCACCAGATACACCTCCCTGCTTCTTGCTTTTCACACGTTTCTTCTCAGCAGTGGTTTGGTCAGAGGACCCAGTAGCATTGGTATCTTGGTCCTTCCCTCTAGCAGCAGCTTCCGCCTCTTGATTTGTGGATATTGTATTTTCAGCGGCCTCTTTCGCCTTTCTCTCCGCCTTTCTTTCCTTCTTCGACTTTTTAGGAGCAAGTTCAGTCTCCATTACATGGGATGACTCTCTAGTCCGTGTAGGCAGTGAAGGCGTTTCGGCTGAAGTTTTAGGTTTCTTGGACTTGCGATTGGACTCTTTATTCTTTGCAAGACCTCCCTTATGGTCTAGAGGGATATCCTGGTCCTCATTCGCGTCATCTTCTAAAGCTCTTTTCCTCTTTGACGAAACAGCGCTGTCGTTAATGGATTCTATATCGATGTCGTCAGGTATGTCGGGAATCGAATTTTCGAGCTTGCGCCTTTTCGCCTTTCTCTCGGCTCGAGAAGCTCCTGCACCAAATCCCATGATTAATACAAGTAAACGAGCCGATATTGATGGGTGAGTGAGTAAGAAATTTAATTGCGAAGGTTCAATCAGGTGTTGAAATGTTAAAGACCCGGCCAAACAATTTTTGAGAACCTAATTTGGTATTTCCTTGTCGCGAGAAACATTCTGCCCATAGCGGTGACAGAGATTAGCATTTGTATTACTATCACGTGAATATACAAGCATTGCTTTTGAGACCCCTGGAGAAGACCATGCTTAGTCATTCTTGACTGATAGGTACGGTACGTACGTACTCATTTTACTTCAATATAAAGATTTGGTATTCAGTAATTACATAACCTTATAAAACTAAATGATATTATTGAGAGGTAAAAAATACACAAGCGGAACACCAAGTACTGATAAATCCATGCTTCATGTACCCAGTCCGGATCCCATTACCACATTGCTCTGAAAGAAGCCACTTCCCCTAATTGAAATCCAGAAATCCCGTCAAATTTCATTCTGGTAATCAAACCGCCAAGTATAATCCTGAAATTGCAGCTGAGAATAGGAAAAATATACTAGGTAGCACTTTGAGGCCATCGCCGGTAAAAAGAAGAGGACTGGTCGTGATGAATTCCGGGGCAGTATTGTATGTTGTTCGAGCCGACTCAACAGGAGTTGTGACGGATGATGCTGTCGCTGATGCTCTTACAGTATCTCTCGTAAGGTATATCAACGGTGGTATTGATGAGAAAGCTACGGCGGATGCAACTGGCAAAGCACTTTGGAGTGAAAGTCCGCTCAGTGTTGGATATCCCACAATAGATCCCGAGTCTTCTAATTTCACTCCTCCGAGGTATTGAGCTTCTCTTCTGCGCAGAGAATCGTGGTTGGAGACAGGAGGCACTACTAGAAGGTTATCGGCAAGGCCAACACATCGAGTCATGGTATGATGTAGTGCGGATCCGAAATGAGCAGTATCGCATTGGGAATATATGCATTTGAAAATAGACTGCAACAATTAGGTTAGCCTCTGATATAGAAGGACCAAATTGTGGCTATCTTGCTGCTGGATGTCGGATGTTAGGTTAAAGACTTAGTGGTGCGACTGACGTTTTGATATTCTGCATCATGACAAAGACATGTGCTCTTATCCGCGCATTTACTGATATATTTCGTGTTTTCCCAGCAACGCGCCGCACAACCTGCAATCAGATGTCAATGTGGTGCGCTCAGTTCTTCAAAATTATTATTACCTGGAGCTGGAAAATTTCCATCACTTGTAACTGGACCATTCGCCATTGCCATGGCTATCAGTAAGAAAGCACGCCGCATCATACACCTAGCAGCTGGGGCACAAGTGACCCTAGACTCATAAGAAAGTCGACAAAAGAGCTTGAATCGCTATGAATTCTGTTGTTCAAGGATAGCTGTGATGAGAAACGGTTTCAATGAGTGTGTGAGACAGCAAAAGAAGGGTAGTTGTGTCGAATCATGCAGAAGGAGAGAAGGCAGAACGAGGACCAAATTAAGACAAGAAAGCTTCATACAGGTAGCTCTCAATTGATGGGATCTTCCTTTTTTGAACGTTCCTGCAGTGCAAACCTGCTACATCACGCCAGACTTGCACGAGACATTTGCACCTTCCCATGATTATTATTATGATCTTACATTAAGAGCTCTATATTTAAGTTTGGTTGCTAGGCTTCAACGTTGCAGTCAATAAAATAAAACTTGCAACTTATCTGTAGCACTTTCATACCTGTCTCTGAAAGGTTTCTGGCCCAACCAAGTTGTTAAAGGAATCTGCGTCTCCTTCATTTCAAGTATACCCCTCTTTTTTTGATCGATATGTGAAGCATCGATGACAATTCTCTCCAACCTATCTACCGCAAGTGAACCTTCATCCATCAAGTCCTTCAATCTTTGAGGTGTACCGACAGCGATTCCCGTCCTTGAAGCTTTGAGAAATCCTATGGAATCCTTAAGCTTGATGTGTTTCGCGAACAACTTTGCAACCTTCACGTCTTTGGTCTGAAATTTTCGTACAGCTCTATGTGATTGTCAGATGAAGGCTTATATGCTATTGATGTCGGTTTCAATAGTGAAGTAAAGGAGTAGGATCATACCTAGCTACGTCGGCTGCCCTGAGACCGGCGGCAGTGACAATGATTGTATGTGGTGATCCATTCTTTTTCGATGCAGACCAAAGTTTTGTTGGATTACCAGAAAAATTCTCCAAGAACTCAGGCAGGTTATCGAGATTTCGCAGCTTCGTCCATGATGTAGTATCTCGGACAGCGGATACTATTTGAAAGTACAATAAATTAGCTAACTTCATGAGTGTTGAGGGGTAGGAGCAGGTTTTACTAACCTGGCAAATATCGATCTTCTAATTCCACAGAACTGAGATCACTTTCATATCTCCTTGTCTGGCTCGCAACATAATCAACCAATAAATGGTCATCCATTTTTGCGATAGCATTGTTGAGACCAGCTTCGACATCAACATCCTCGTCATCGAAAGAATTGTGTTTCCTCTTTTTGCCGGCTACATTGTCTTTTTGCTTGGGCACCTCTTGATCATGATTTGCTCCTCGCTTTCTTTTTTTCGTACTTGTTTTATCGGGCTTTTCGAATCCAGATTGCGGTCTTGGAACCTTCACTTCTTCTATCAAAGGATCTTGAAGTTCACTTTCGATTGACATTGTGATAATATGAGCCTGAGCCGAACCAGGTGGAAAACTTTTGCGGTAAGAATTGGGGTAAAACTGTGTTTGAATTGTATGTAAAATTTTATAATGTTCCTATGTAAATTGAACTTTGGAGGTTTCGCCCATCAGGGTAGCGCGCACACTGAATTCAATTCTCGAGTCTGTTAATTGAAGATATGAAGATAACGGAACGGAACTTTGAATTGAAAGATACAATGATTGTCAAAAAATTATTTCAAGCCTTGCGAATCCACAACTAAACTAGGTACATATCTATTATCCATCGACAGCGCTAAGATAAGATAAGGCACAGCCACAGGCACCGCTTCGCGCACACATCCTGTTCTGGACGCGTCTGTCTAAACATGCTAGGTAGCTATTCTACTTCCAGTATTGATATCTGGCTTAACTTCAAATGATGAAACCCTGCTAGGTACATACTCCATTTATCCAGATCGGATGACCCGTTCTTCAATTGCGAATCCGGATTGAGGTAGATGCGGATACACACATAGACATCGTATTTATCTTCCAGTTCGAGACGTATGGTAACTATGACTGAAAGACCCGAAACTCCTTTGCGCCGCACCCTGAATGCTGGCTCATCTCCAGCAGATGTAAGCCACTCGAGAACGCCCAGTCGTGGCTCGAGACTAGGCGGTTCAGAGCTTAGGACTAAAGCTCTGACACCTCATGGGAGGGCGGCTTTACGAGAAGTTGAGGCCCGAAGAGCAGGTTTAACTCCAGGAAAGGACAGGAGGCGAAGCGGCAGACAGCAAAGAGAGACACCCCGTGATATATTGAGGTTATTGAGTAGGACCTTAGCTCCTCAGACACGCCCGACAGTTCCATCCCCTCAAAGAGTACCTAGCAATTCCAGAAGGCAAACCCTACTTTTAGATGATGAATTTGACGACGGCCCAAATCTTGTTCCCCCCCGACTTTCTTTACCCCTAGACGACGAGAATGACGATGATGATAATGAGGATGATGAAAGCCTTTTACTTCCGAGCCTGGCGGCCCTCGAAGACGAAAATCTGACGACGCGATCCATCGAGCTTCCGAGGAGAGCTGTCAATGAAAAGCCAACCAGGCTATTTTCAAGGAATAGTTTTGGGAGTACTCGTGGAAGCTACAGTTTTGGAAACTTGAATGAGGCGGAGCTTGGAAGAGATGCCATGGAATCGAGCTTCCTTGGTGGGAATGATTACGAGAATGATGATTTTCCTGAGATGGCAAACTCCCCATTCTTTGGAAGGTAAGTCAAAGGACTTGAATCCAATAGCCTTCTTCTCTGTACTAACGTAAGCCAGTGACCGCGCAGTAGTACAAGGGGATTCCGAAACTAGATTGCATCGCCGCTCTCTTCTACCAGGCCGGAGTAGTGACATCAGACCGTACAATTCGCCATTCGAGGAGAGAGACGCAACTTTTGTGTTCACAGTTCCGCAGCCAGAAATGCCAATGCAACCTGAGCCTTCTCCATCACTTGAGACCACCCAAATTGGAGGTTTTGTTATGGACGAACCTTCATCGCCCGCTTACAATACCAAAGGAGATGATTTTACAATGGATGATGAAGCCATGAATGGCGAGCATGACTCTCGAAGGTTGTCGATTGAAACATTCGAAAATTATCGTCTCAGTCTTGACGAAACCTCCAAGGCAGCACCGGTTGAGGAGGCCACACTTGAAACTTGGCATAGGTCGTTCCAGAAAAAGAAAAAGATCTCAAAGCATGGGTTGAAATACTCGTCATTACCCTTAGGTGTGGTAAAGAAAAATGCCATTAGTTTAGGGCGGAATGGAGGTGGCAAAGGGGACAAGCTCAGTCGGGATGCTCTAGATGCAATTATGCAGGCAACCGAATGGTTCTTCGAACAAATTAGTGATGATCTGAGCACATACTCTGAACATGCAGGGCGAAAAACAATCGATGAGAGTGATGTTTTGATGCTCATGAAAAGGTATCTATCTGAATATAATTAGAGACCTGAACACATGCTGAGTATTTTACAGACAACGCCAGACCAATGCTACAACGACGCCATTTTCTCTCGCCCAAAGCCGGCTGCCTAGAGAGCTCTTACAAGTTGTACGAATGGTCCCTCCGTTGAAATCGAGAGATCAACCACGACAGAAACCACCAAAAAAATGAGAGGAAGTATACATGATGTTTAAGACCATTCTTTGTTTTGACGAACCCGTCGAGCAATATCTGCGGAGGGTTTCTTTACAACCATCCATAGCATAACGGACGTAGCAGCAGCTAAGGCGTACCTGGAGCGCGGTCAGTCGCGTTAGCACACGTGGCGAGGTCTTCAAATCCCTGGTAAGTGCTTACCATGTAAATATATACTGTGTATGATTATTTCGGAGATTGACCTCTGCTGGCCTTCCTATTGGAACTCCGCGTGCAGCGCGATCCCAAGCCATTAAAAGATCAGGCTCTTGTATTCTGTAAGCTACACGTCTTTGAAATGCAATAAAAAGAGTCTCTTACCCATTGTCTCCTCAATCCAGACTGGTTGGCTTCCTGTCAATTTTGCCATTTGCTCAACGTCAGGAAAGTAGAATTCCTGGGTCTGTGGACTGTTGTCTGGCGTGAAATAATTTTTCTTCCAGGGTTCACGCAACAAACCCTCGACCATTACTTCGTCTTGAGGTAACCCGTCCGGTCTGCTGGTTTGCTTCTTATACTTCTTCTCGATCCAACCTCGATTCACAAGGACAGTAGTACCCTTGCCATCCCTCTCCAAAGGTGTAATGACGAGATATCCGTCCTTCCCATCATGCAAGCGGGGACCAATCAGCATTTCCTGATCGTGCCGAAAGTGACCGCTTGCGAATATTCTCCTATAATCGAACTCTTTTATTGCTGAAGGATCAATATGTGGAGGAAGTGGTAAAGGATCACGAACGAGGCGATCCTCAAATTTCGCAATGAGCTTTGATTTCCAATCTAAACGCTGGACTTGCCATGTTCCCAGGGCAAACGCTGTTAGAGGAATCAAAGCTGTCGGGCATGTGAATTAGATAATTTTTGTCGTAAAAGTTGGACAAGCCAGTGACTTACCTAGAATAATGAGACCAGGCCCATGCCTTCTTCCAGTCCGAACTAGATTTGGAGGATTGTCTACTATAGATGTGAAGTTTGGATCATCAGCAGCCTGTCTTGACTTGACATGGGTGTTGGAGAAATATCGATGATATGTTGGACATTTTGAGGTTTTGGATTGGGAAGATATCCTTCTGATATGTGATGAAACCGAATTAACACGATTGTGAGATACGATTGAGAGAGGGGAACGCATATTCAATAGTTCAAAACGGGTGATGCATCAAATCATACACTTCAATCTCTTTCTCGATGCTATAATTCCCTCAAACTACCAAGTAGGTATTCTATATCATTATCATAGCATCAAGTGTGGCGTGCACGTGCAAGACTTTTTTCTAAGAGTGTTAGTGATGGTGCTCGTGCTCCGTATGTATAAGTAAGCAAGGCTCAGATCATTTGAGCCACTTTCATTTGCCACATGAGATATTGCCCTTACGTAAGTACTGCGTACAAAGCACCAGGTGAAGTAGCTATAAACCGATCCTCTTCACCGTTTCAAAATACCTAGTAGCACCTACACCTACTTCATACACGAGATTTAATAGTCGAGTATATATAGTACGTAGGTTAGGCCTTAGTACCCAGTAATTCAATCAGTACGTCTACTTGCGACAATGTTTCACACCGGTGATCTCAATAGCGGCATCAACAAGGCTTTGGCTGAATCTAAACTCGTTGCCTGTTTCGTAACAAGTAAATGATGTTCCCTTCCCTCCCCTCCCCTCCCATTCTCATGTTTATTTCAACTCAAATAATGACAACGTGCGCAATATAGATGGCAATGAGGAAAGTCGACTGTGGGAAGATGAGTTCTTACAAGATTCCGAGGTAATTTGGTGACCTTGATCCATCCCACCTTGATACTACAGCATACTTAGTTACTGTCTAGTTAAGCTCTCAGCTGCAAGAAAGATCAGTCCTCTTGCGCCTGGACTTTGGTTCCGAAGAAGCCAACTATCTTGCTGCAATCTTTCCTATTCCAAAAGCTCCAACTCTTGTCGCGATATGGTAAGCACCATCAAATCATTCTTTTCTTATTCAATATATGTCAATTTTTATGAAAGGGAAGAGTGTGACGAAAGTTGGCATAGTCACATAGTCCAAGCCGTAAACTCTTAAATGTATTGTCGCTTTTTCGAAATTTCGTGTGTGATTGAAAAATCGATTGTCCCTTGCTCATACTGAGGTGGAATATTGCTTCCAAGGAACAGCTTCCTGTGCTCCAATCGGGTGCATAGTGACCTGTTGCCTACGTTCACTCAAGTAGTTTTTCTTTCCAGCGAGACTGACTCTAAGATCAATAGGAGTGGTGAACTCAAAGAGTATTTAGCTGCAGGTACAACCAAACAAGAGTTTTTGGTGCGTCTTGGCAAGGCATTGGAGTCTGCACACAGCCGGAGAAACGTAGAGAACGATCGCCCAAGCTACTCGCAGACTTCAGAATACCGTACGACGAACATTCAAAATCAACAATCGTCAGATCATCCATCCACTGGCGATTTCGACGATGGCTCTACAGTTCCTTTCCAATCCACAAGCAATAATACATCGAGCTCTAGCTCGCTTCCCATAGATCCTAGAGGTAATCCACCTAAAGGTACGAAAAGCAATGTGGAAGATCAGCCTAAACAACCATCTCAAGCTGAGGACACCGCAAATTATGCAGCTATTCAAAGGAAGCGGCATCAAGAGGCTAGAGAAGAGCGAGCGCGCATCCTTGCACTCGTTGAGAGCGACAAAGTGAGAAGACGAAAGGATGCAGAGCGCAAGGCTAACCGTAACAATGAATTGACCGCGAAATCTGCGGCATTCGGCGGCACGAGCTCGTCTGTTCCAGCTTCGGCACCAAAGGCACAGGACTGTGCCCTTCAGATAAGACTTTTTGATGGATCCTCAATTCGCTCCAAATTTCCTAACACCAGTACTCTAAATGGTGACGTCAGAAAGGTAATATAGAAAACTAATCAAGACGCCGTGATATTTTATTGGCGTATCCGACACCCTGAATCTTAAAGAATCTGTAACATATTCAAAGATAGTGGCAATGCTAACAACTACTAGTGGATCGATGATCACCAAAACGACGACGTGCCTTATATCTTCAAGCATGTTTGCACCCCCTTACCAAACAAAACCCTTTCGATGACGGATGAAAGTCGAGACTTGGCGGCATTAGGCCTTTCCCCGAGCGCTACGTGAGTATCTTCCATCATTATATATGCGTCCTTGCGCTGTGTTTTCAACCACTGACATGGAGGTACTAGTCTCATTATTGTTCCGGTTCAAGCGTACACTTCAGCCTATGAGACAACAGAACCAAGGGGCATCTTGTCTAGAGGAATTGCTGCTGGATACAGTTTGGGTACCTGGGGCATTAATAGGGTGCTGACCACTATTGGTGGAATCGTCGGGAGTCCGGCCGTCGCCCCAGGTATAGATGAGAGGATCGAGGCCAGCGCGCCAGTAGGAGGTAGTCGTCCCTCGAACCTGAGAACTCTCAGAGACCAGAATGATAATGACGCCCATCATGAGTTGTACAATGGGAACACCGTAAGTTGGAAGATAATTGCATTGGCCGCGCTGCAATGACCACGCTAATACTGACAACAGCTGAATTTCGAACCCCGGAAGGATGATCATGATGGAGATGATTGACATGTGTGAGATATTTATTCAGCTTCTGTGTAAAATCGCTGTGTAGCGCTGCCACGTAACATCCTAGGGCATATGCAATTGAAATTCATCGAGATAACGACTTTACTATTGTGGCATAGGTCACGACACAGCATGGAATATACAGCTACTGATCTTATATGTGCTGTCAAATGGGTGCGTTGGTAATGAATATCTCTAGTTGAACTTTCCTGACGGAATAGCGTTTTCGTGTCCGATGCTCATGAGCTGCCGAATTACGTTCCAAAACAATACACCCACCCCTTTGGTTTGAGATAACTGTAGTTTGGTGCAGAAAACTGAAAAGTGGATGGAACGGTTCTCTACTTAGTCCAAAATGTTCAGCCGATTAAGAAGTTTGTTGGCAAAAACAGGGGTTATCAAGTTACTAGACTGTTGAATTGGACGTTAGGGTTTAAGATCGATATTCGGTGATCAGCTAGATGTTTGAGCACGGTTGAATGTTGATTTGCAACGACCTTTCCTCAAAATATGCGATGTGCTACTGTTGTGACTAGAACATGCGCCATCCCCATCGAATGTGAAATTATTTATTGGCTGGGCTGGCTATACCCAATCATGTCATCTCCCTCTCCATCTAGTCTTTGTTACCTCTAACACTGTCCCTCGACTCAAGCAAGCTTTGTGGTGCTCTTTTTATTTGGGCCGAACATGCCGAGAAGATATGCTGATCGCGTTAAGAACAGGAACAGCTGCTACATGTTAGACTTTGAATCGTACAGTTACGTTGAAGGTACTGATTGGGAGTGAAGTAATCTTACGGTTGCTCCTATATTCCCGAAAGTCATTGAATTCCATTCGGCAATATCCACGACGCTATCCCATCCCAAAACATGATAGGTAACAGCAAGATGGCCAATATCAGCCAGCCACAAAGCAATGAGATAATTCCTAATGACTTTCGCCTCTTGCGTGCTGTAAAGAACTGCAACCCCTATCATGGCCAGTAGAAGGTAAATATTGCCTAATTGTAGAGCAACAAGCCGTGCATTATCACTGATAGATACATGTTGCGAGGATGCAATTTGCTCCTCGATAAACCACTCTGGGGAGATCATCGCGCCTATGAAGCCAGCTACACTATGATCCGATGAGTAAGTCAAATCAAAGTCGGAGATGTTAACTTACAGTGAAATGGGCTCGAAGATGGCGAAGACAAACTTCGGGAAAGGGGGCAAGATCGACGTCATGCTTGCTGAGATGTCGTAGTTTGCCGACGTTGAGGTATTGTTGTAGAGAAAGTTGTGTGTTTACTGAGACTGTTTTATACTATGCAGCACTAGTGAAGGGGATTTATGTAACCTATGAAGTAGTTTGATGTTAATGTTCTATATACATGGATTGTCAGGAGCACTGGTGGAGTAAAGTGAACAAATATCCTGAGTTCGGAGATTGAAAAACACCAACTATTAGCGCCCCCCAAAAAGAAGTATTTGAATGATAAATATTATATTGAGAGGACCAAGCTTTTTATATAAATACCATTTTAGAATTATTAAATATTTTCATTTCAAAGATGTTATTTATTCAGACGCCGTAATCATAATAATCATATTAAATGTTACGAGGTTTGCCGTCTAGATTACGTGGAAGTGCTCTAGGCTCTCGAGGTGGTTTATAACTAGGCGTCAAGCAGGGACTTAAAGTAATGACAATAATGATATGCAATTCGTAACTAATAGTAGAGTATACTAAATGATTGATCTTGAGCACGAAGCTCTATACAAAAGAAATCCATCTTGATTATATAGACCTTCGTGCCTATGGTTAACTAGGAATCGTCGTTCCTGGTTGTTCCTAGGAACGTTCGTTCCTCACCGTTCCATCACATGTTTTATGGTCATGTGACATACTAATCGTTTTGGACGTAACATTAAAATTCAAAAATATAAATAAAATTAAAGTAAAATTAAAATAAAACCAAAGTAATACTAGATAAGGGGGTTCTTTCATAGATATTTCTATCCCAAATTATAATAAGTTTAGTATATTTATTTCTTTTGAAGATAATTAACTACACTACTAACCATTCTTTGATTGGCGGGCGCATCATCACATCACTCAAAAAGCTTATCGAAGCAACTCAACATTCATTACACTATAATACCATTAATCTACTTCTACCTCTACTCCCTTTCTTTCCTTTCTCCCCGACCATTTCTTTTGTCCTACTACATATTCGTATTCTCAAGTGAACATATCAAAACTATGCTGTCTTTCCGTCTTTCCAAAAATTCAATGGCAACATAATGCGTACAAATATTGAGCCCCGTTTAATGTCCTTCCTTAATAACAATAACGACACGCCTGAATCCCTCCCAAACTCTCCATCATTAGAACTTCCTCCATTACATGATCGAAATATCCTACAGAATTCCCACCGGCCACTTCTTTTGGAACCCAATACTGGAACACGATCCGGTGAATCATCGTCACAAGCATCGCAGCATTCGTCATCTGTTACTCCAATTGACGACAATGAAACCAATTATCGGGACGCTGAAGAGGCTTTGAGGATAGGAAAGGTGAGCTCTGGAAAGGAAATTGGTGCCATGGAGCGGACTTTGGGTACTTCCTCTCCACAATCTTTGCGAAAGATTCTAGATGATAATAATGGCAACGCAAGACCCGTACACCCCAAGAAGCAGCAACGGGGAGAGAATGGAAACGATGATTTTGTTCAACTGCCCCGGCCGCACAAGAAACAAAGGTCAAACAAACAAGTGGTACCGCCTATTATCATTGGCTTGCACGAGCCGCCCCCGCAGGCTGCCTTATTTCCTCCGATCGCATCGAGCTCATTTCATGATAGCCACGGGAGAAGTAGCTTGAATGCTTTGGCTCCAAAGGCTACGGAATCGAAAGAGGATTGTAAGGCGGACGATGAAGTTATACCAGCGACCGAAGAGACATTGGAACGGAACGGAAATAAGAAGAAGAGGAGAAAGAGCGTCAAGGCGAGGAACAAGTGGTCCGAAGACGAGACGAACAATCTGCTACTCGGTGTGCATAAGTATGGCGTGGGAAAATGGACGGAGATCTTAGAAGATCCCAGTTTCGTATTTAACAATAGATCAGGAGTGGATTTGAAGGATCGATTTAGAACTTGTTGCCCAGATGAGTTGAGGGGAGAAAGTCACAATTCAAGGAGCCACAAGATCGGGTCAAAGTCAGATAATACAGCGGACCTGTCAAGAACAGAAATGGTAACTTTGGACTCTACGTTTGACAATAATCTACCTGGACAGGACCAAGAGGCCGACGGTACTGTACCAGACATCGCCTTTCCTCCTTTGTTGAGGCCCTGGCGAAAACGCCGAAACCATCGGAAGAGACTCACAGATCTTCAAAAGCTAGGGATTCAAGGGCCGTTTAAACAGTCAGAACGGAGAGGAAGACGCCCTTTTTCCAACCAAGAAGATCTTGAAATTGAAGAAGGCTATCGTCTTTATGGGCCTGCTTGGACAAGGATGCAGAGAGATCCTCAGTTCAATCTTCACAGCCGACAGCCTATTGATCTTAGAGATCGTTTCCGGAACATACATCCCGACCTGTTCCGAATCGAGGAGGATGACGATGCTCGGACAGCGTCTCAGAGCAAACCTGCTCAGGTTGATGACTTTTCTAATGGATTTAATAATACTACTACAATTGATCCGGCCACATTTAGTTTGAATAATGAGATATCGAAGGTACAGTCACCATCTCACCTAATGAAATCCTTTTAAATAATCTTCCATTAATAGCAAAACAGCATACCATGGAGCCTACAGATAGCTTAGCATTCTCGCAGTCTTTTGACTGGACAGATAATATTGCTGCTCCCCCGTTCCCTAACATTGGCGAGATGGATATTTCTCGATTACTAGAACAGCACTCATGGACCCCATGATCAGTTAACAGACCCATTCAACGCGCTGAAGAGATAACTGCGAGGCCTTACCACATTGATTGACTTACTAGCCACTGAAATAATCCTACAAATCTTCAGGTGCTCACCGCACTCGCTAATTTTCATCCCACCTCGTACTTATACGCTTCTGGATTAGATAGGTGCCGAAAGACCGGAGTCGTCTTATCATTCTTTATTATATAAAATCATAATTGCTATATCGGCCGGGCTGTCTAGCCATCGATTTTAGATCATGATTTCTATTTTCAGCCATAAAACAAGGTCATTTTGATAATTGTGGTGCCGCAAAGGTGCACACAGCAAGCGTCGGCAATGCAGGCTAAATTCCGTAACTTCTGTGGATTATTTCATCCAGTTCTATGTTAGTCATGCGAATTTTCACACGATAGGTAGGGCAGTGTTACAGTGATTTTACCCTGGAATTCACGTAGTTGTAGCACGGAAAATGAAGCATTTTCACGGTTAAATGCCATTGAATACAGCTCTAGATGGCAAAAATCTCGGTGGTGTGTGATATTGGGAAAATGGGTTAAATGAAGGAATGCACCGCTACACAACCAACTCCCAAGGACCATCATCCAGCCCTATGTTTCACAATTTTCCTCCCAGATGTGCCCTAGATGTCTTCGTCATTGTCGTCATCGTCCTCTTCACTATCCTCGGAGTCTGGTGAAAGTGCCCTGAGGTGTCCAAATCTTCTGGTCGCTCTCGTACGACTCTCGTGAAGGTGGGGATCAGGTTGTAATTTCGCATCCACCCTCCACCCCATTTTAGGCTCCGCTTCATCATCTTCAGCACCCTCATTCCAAGAATGGGTTGTGACGGTGCCCTGCTCTACACCATAACCGTTCCACGCGGATGCTGGAAGTGGTTAGCTTAAAGAAAAAGTACCATTAGAAACAGGGGGCCCACCAGCTATCATCGGAGCAGTAGGGTGCCAACTAGCATCTCTAACCACAGTCTTCCAACTTGGGTTATTTACTTCGTCCAGATCATTGTGCCATCCACCATGCCATCCTCCATGCCATTGGTCAGAAGGAGGTGGCCTTGTGTTCTTTGTTGCTTGGAAAACGTCGACCTTGCCCGCGAGCGTTGCATCCATGTTCCATATGTAGACCTTACCGTCCTCACTTCCCGAGTAGACATATCTTGAATTGGTACTTCCCGATGGAGAGAAATGACATCTTATCAAAGTTCGCATTACTTTGTGACCTCTGAATGTGACCAAAGAATTATCATTCTCATCGTGGTACCAATCATCTTCGTCATAAGCTCCCCATCGATAATCAAAGTTTGACCCAGGTCGACGTCCATTCGCCCTAATGTTTGAAAATTGAGCTGAACTCATGACCATACGTAAGTCCCACAGCTTCATGCTCTGATCCTTGCCATTACTGAGGATATAACCTGAATCATTTCAGTGTGCTGATCTCGGATATTCAGGGATGGAAACTTACGACCGTCTCCTTTGCTATCGAGATACGTTAATCCCTCGATGTGACCAATGAATGCACCCGCCTCTCGACTATCACTCATACTCCTTGTATCCCATACCTTGATGGTTGTATCATCTGATCCAGAATAAAGAATATGAGGCGACGATTTATCGGCAAAACATACCGCATTGACATCTTCCTCATGTCCAAAAATCCTATGCAGCGGGCGGCGGCTTTCTATGTCGTATACAACAATAGAGCCACCTGTAGTTCCAGCAACAAGCTCACGTCCATCACCAGAAAACCGTATCGACCAAATACCAAATGAACCCCGTCGTTCGAACCTGGGGTTTTGTGCAGTTCTAGGTTCGCCGAGCTCCAGGTTATAAGGATCTCCCATGTCATTTGGATCTGTCGGAGCGAGACAAACCGTGCTCCGTATGGAGGTATAGGCAAGATATTTGTTGTCAGGGCTCAGCGAAGCATCAGTAAGGGTCCCTACTAGCCGTTAACTCTCGAAATACGTGCCGTATGGGGACACTTGGGAAAAATCAAAGGTAGTAACAGGATAATCGATTGTTTGAAAAGCAATCTACCCACCCAGACATAAGAAGTCTGTACTTACACTGTCCATAAGGATAGACGACAGTCTTGTAATATCGCCAGTTGTAAGGATTTGATGTATCATACATGCGGACTTTAAAATCCTTGGTCACGGCGAAGAAGAAGTTGCCATCATCCGAAAATTGACCTGAATATACGGGATCATCGTAATTGATTATGGTATCTGCATTGGAGGATGGTAACATTTCCTGCGGTTTTGTCAGCATATTGCCTAGTAATCTGCCTCGTGCTGCTTACTTGTGCCATCACTCTCCTATTTATCCCTTGGTTTACGAAGTTCCCCGATGCGATTTCACGATCTAATATTCTTCTAGTCAAGCGTTTTCGCCTCCTGACCTGATTATCTGTGCCTACACTTTGATCATATTTGCCTGGACTTTGAGCATCGTTGGATCCAAAATCACCCGAAGCCATCAGTTCCTTTCCAACAACACTCGGCACTTTCGGGAACCTGTTTGGATCTAGCATGCTTCTCCTTCGTCTTCGTGGCCACAGCGCAAGCTCGTCCTCGTCAAAGTCGGCAGAAAAACGTATGATACTCCGAACATCGGGGTTGGCAGCTAACACACGTAGAAGGTATTGTGTTCGTGTAGCTAAATGGAACCGAAGTATAAGCCAGATGGTTTGGAGCAAGGTGAAGGATGTGTAAGGCTCACCGTGATTGGCTGCGGTTGCACCTTCGTCTTCATCGTCTTCATCGTCCTCAATCTCAAGTTGCACATCTGAAGGACGAGCGGAGTATCAGCAAAGGTTTCTTGGGAGATTTTGAAAAATAGTGATTGGCATGAACCTACCAAAACCAGTTTCACCAGTTTCACCATCATCGTCATCATCATCATCCTCGGCATCCTCCTCCATATCCTCATTTTGATCCTCGTCGTCTGTATCTTCAAGGGCAACTTCTAAATCATCTCCTGGCTCATTTCCGGCTGTTGAGCTATCTGACGGAAAGGCTCCCGGTACGTTTCTCCGAGAAGCCATTGAATGTGATAAAGGACGAGTGTATCAGTGGCTGCTCTTCCAATGCATGTTTGAGGCGAAATGATGAGTCGTACTTGTGAAATACTACTATTCCTGGCAGAGAACAACCCAGGTGACAAAGAAATAGGTATGATACTGCACTACTTGATGCACTTTAAGTGTAGTTGATCGATGGATGTAGATGACCGAGTGATTATTGCTGGTAGATTTGGACTAAATCATTTAGATGAGTACAAGTAATTTGTAGAAATTTGAATATACTATAGATGTAGCAAAATTGAAGCTCACTATTATATAATACCTAGTATGTATTGGTTGGTATAGGAGGGGAAGTAGGATGTATGCATGTATGGATGTATGTAAGTGTAAGATTATTGATGGTGTGGTGATATCATGAAAGGTGGGGCTTTATCAGTGGGGTACTCGAGTACCTAGGATGTAGGGATGTATGAATAAAGTCCGATCCTTATCAGTAGGTAACCTCGGAACTTTAACGTGGTTTATCAGTATGTGCACCATATCAGCATGTGCACCATATCAGCATGTGCACCACTTTTACCTCAATTATTATCTTTCCACTTCAATACGCGATTTATCAACAATCTATAATGCAATCGAATAATAAAGAAGCTCAAATACTCTTAGCTATCGAAGCTATTTGAAAAGATAAAAAATTAAGTATTCGGAAGGTTGCAAAGCTATATAATATATCACATACAACACTTATTCGCAAAATGAATAATTTAACCCCTTATATGGAATTTCGATCAAAAAGTCATAATTTGATTGATTTGGAAGAGGAAGTACTTATTCAATATATACTCGATATAGATGAGAGAGGATTTAGTCCTCGAATAAATAATATAAAAGATATAACGAATTATATACTCGAAATGTAGTGTTACGCCGGGTAACAAGAAGACGCTCACATGCTACCAATATCATGTGACTGACTCAGTGAGGATCAGCTGTGACGCCTCACACCTCCGGGTCACGTGGCATGCCCCGTTTGTATTTAATCATAGGAAAACTCTCTACTCTTGTTTTCCTTCTTCTTTTCTCCTTAGCTTAGTATTTTCTAATACAAGATACTTTACCCAGTATTCTTGAGTGTGACATCAGCAAGCTCAGTACTGAGCCATACTGATCCTACTGATCAGCTAGAACACAAAGGTCTATATAATCAAGATGGATTTCCTTTGTATAGAGCTTCATGTTCAAGATTAATCATTTAGTATATCCTACTATTAGTTACAAATTATATATTATTATTATTATTATTTAAATCCTTGCTTGATACCTAATTATAAACTACCTCGAGAGCCTAGAGCACTTCCACGTGATTTAGACGGCAAACCTCGTAACATGTAGGATGTGAAGAAGATTGGAAAGCTCTAGGCTCATCGCTTTGTGAAACGATATATAGAATTAAAGATATATTTTAATTGTGTTTATAATTTTCGAAGAACTCTCTGCGAAGATTCAAAGCTTATTGAAAGATGATTTTGATTGATATCGAATATACAGGTCAAATATAGTATTCTGGACTACGATTTCTACAACTTTGATGAGACAGGTTTTATAATAGAACAAATTGTAACGATACTGTACTGGAGGCAGCGGCTGCCTGAGGTTTCGTCTGGTTGGTAGTTGTGGGTTAAGGCTTTATCACTAGTCTTCATTTGGAAGTGAAGTCGTTATTAGATCAAGTAAAATGTAGGTAAACTAATTGATAACTAAATTGAGCATGAAGTTCCTAAACTATAAAACTACTTTGATTATATATTGAATAATAAAAGAGGTCTTTAGGAGCTTTCTGATTCCTTAAGACTCCTTATTATACGATTTCTGATAATGTATGTGTATACGATCTTCAGGTGACCAAGATCATATACTAATTCGATGAAATCTGATCGTGTTTGCATACGGCCTAAGCTCTCCTAATTAATCAGTTTGCTACCATCGTAACACCATCAATCCTAATGGTGAATCGTGACAGAAACACGTTATATCTATTCAAAAAATATTTTTCTAAAAATAATATAATTAAATTTTAAATTTTTTACTTTTATTATTAATAAAATATATTAAATTATTGAAGATATTGTCACGATCACCATTAGGATTAGTGTCCTGGGATGAAAAGAAATCACGTGACAAGGAGCCCTGAGGAGCCAGAAAGCTCCTGAAGGCTCCCTTTATCGTTCATTATATAGTCAGAATAGTTTCATAGTTTAGGAGCTTCGTGCTCAACTTAGTTATCAATTAGTTTACCTACATTCTACTTGATCTAGTAACGAATTCACTTCCAAGTGAATACCAGTGATAAAGCCTTAACCTACAATTACCAACCAGACGAAACCTCAGGCAGCCGCTGCCTCCAGTACAGTACCGTTACAGTACCTTAGGCAGCCACTGCCTCCAGTACAGTATCGTTACAGATATATATTTTGTCACACTCAAGAATACTGAGTAAAGTATCTTATATTAGAAAATACTAAGCTAAGGAGAAAAGAAGAAGGAAAACAAGAGTAGAGAGTTTTCTTGTGATTAAATACAAACGGGGCATGCCACGTGACCCGAAGGTGTGAGGCGTCACATATTTATATAATTAAAATTATTTTTTAAATTTTATAAATATACTTTATTATAATATTTTATTTTTTTATATATTTTTTATTAAATAAAATGAAAATTACATTTTTTTCTTTATTATTTTTTATTATTTTTATTATTTTTATTATTTTTATTATTTTTATTATATTTATTATTTTTATTATTTTTATTATTTTTATTATTTTTATTATTTTTATTTTTTAATATTATTTTTTAATATTTATTTTTGTATAGAAATTTATATTTTAATCATTTTTAATAAAACTCATTTATATTATATTTATATCTATATATTCCAGACTTATGGTTTTTAAGACTTCCAATCTTAGGGCTATATTTAATTCCAAGGGGTATGGATATCAAGAATCAATGTCTGCCGTCCCCTTCTCTTACAAACATAAGAGTAAATAGGTATATGGATGCGGGTGGTACAACCATAATCATAGCTAGGTACCTGGGTACATAGTGTTTCCTAATTCGGAAACCGAACTATCACTTTGGAATTATGTAAAGCGCCCATCGATTCTCCACTCTCACTCTCATTCAACAATATGCGGTAGAAAAAGTCTCATAATAATATACCACGATTCTTTTGGCAATGCGCTGGATATCATTTTGTGTAATCGCAGGCAATTTTGCACGTGCAACACCAATTTTTCCAGATGCAGGCAATTCCAAGAACAGTAATTGCCCACCAATGCCAAATATAATACATCCTTAGATTTCGTGAAACTCCATCCATTATACGCCAACATCTTGTCCATCTTTCCCCTCTTGCCAATCATGCCCATACTGCTTCGTCTCGCCTTCGCTCGAATCAGTGCTACGCTTTCTTCCCAATGAACAGCCACATCACTGGGTTTGAGGAATCATTATCCATTGTCCATCGCCCAACTACGCGCCACCGACCAATATGTTGTTGAGTGGTATATGAATCAATTTCACGATATATCCGACGGCGCCCATGATGACAAATCCCATAGCGACAGCTCGGGCGATGTTGATGAACTCGCGACGATCAGCTATAATGTGTTAATATGGAGGTGCTTTTAAGAACGGCAGATGAGGATTCTTACGCTTTGTGCATTTATTGATGAATTGAGTACCGTCTTTGATAAAGTCTTTTGGGACATCCATAAACTCCTGAATTTGGTCTGCCATGTTTGGTTTGTGAAAAAGTTGAGGTGAAGAGATGAGGAGGTATGAAGGACAGGACCAGATCGGATTTGATCCTTGATATAACTCTTTTTTCGAATGAAGCTTTGATAAGAGAACTTAAGTTGCAGTTCAAGTTCTCAATGTCCCTTATATTGAAAGTGTTTGATTGACAGGATTATGTTGTGAATGAATGTGAAGTTGTAGCAGTAGTGGTGGTATTGGCATTAGGTAGTTGAATTTCGAAGAAGCCAGATAAGGTAGCCTCTAGAAATTAAGCATGTTAATTGATCCAATAAGAATGATGGAAAAGTGAAGGCTAGCTAGTAGTATCTGCTTACTAATGCTTGCTACTTGGTGTAGAATGTTGATCCTCAGGCCAATAATGAGCCCCGCTTATCTAAGCTACTTGGGCTAGCCAGGGGACAGCAACTAGACCAAAATAGCAAAGAGCCCTACGCTGGGCATTGACTGATAGCTGCTCAGCGGCGCGCGAGCGAAAGAAACAACAGATGGAGAAGAAGAAATGAAAGAAAGAAATTCTACGAGAAAGTACAACTTCCTTTCTATTCATATCAGTATCGTTGTCGTCGTCACCATCGCCATCGCCCATCACCATTGACGTTCGATATATTACAACCGCTTTCTTCCTTGATTTACTACTTTTATACTCTTCTAAATCATCAATCTTTCCTCTATTCCTTCGGATACCAACCTACCAACCTATCTACCTTCGACATCAACATCAACCATTCCCTAGAATTTTAGCTCAGCGCAATATCGCGACCAATATTTTAAATACTACACGGAATTATCTCAACCATAAGTCCTCTCCAATCCAATCAACTTAACAATATAAGCATAGATCTTTCTCGACTTCACAGTCGATTTTACCTCCGCAGAACGCAAGTGACACATTTTTCGACTTGCAGTTGTTCTGTACTGCTGCACCTCAGGTTGTCACGAAAGACACGAATTGCGAAGCTTCACATCGACTGGAGAATTTGGTCGCATTCAGTCGAGCGCCATCTTCTCTTCATCTTGGCCTCCAACAATTACCTCTGTTTTCGGAAATTTAATAAATAAATAAATAAATACTCGACGTGGAGGGCTTTTGAAGGAAGACGGAATTGTACAGCAAGGCTTCGGTTATTCTGTACTGCTGCTTTTCATGAACAAGGAATTTGGACAACTGACATCTTCACTTCTGCTTTTCAATTTCAGGCTGGATCGCGTTTTTCTTGCCTCGCCTCTTTCTTCCAATATCTCAGCATAGGCTGTTGATCAATCTGTTGGGCTTCTTTACATCAGAAATCTAAAGAGACTGCAAGCACAGAGCTTCGTCTTTCATCTCCATTCTGTCTGCAGTTGCCAAAGAAGGCTCTCGGACTTTGACCTCATTTGTTGGCAATATCCTCCAGGTTTAAGGAGTGTACGTATTCATTAAATTCTATCCCATGTATTTCGAACTCTACTTCCAATGCTACACACGCGTTGAACTTTACCATCTAATGGCCCTTCTGTTTTCACGCGCTGATCCTGTTGCTATCTTTTCACAGAATCCAATTTCCTGTGGTATAACATCAACCCAAAACTGTTCATAAGCAATACAAGACATCATTTTTCAGCCAAGATTCACCCTTCATTTAAAATTTAAGGTACCTTGTGTGTACATTTAGACACCATGGCTGACGACGAGTTCGACATTGACATCTATGGAGATACCAACGCTGAACAGGATGCAGTGTTCAAAAGAGATGACGAAGGTGATGTCAAGATTGATGGTGTTGAAGCTTCCATCGTCCCAGTTGCCGAGACTAATGGTAAACACGAAGACCAAGACGACGATTACGTAGATATTAAGGTTAGTAATGAGAAGGATAAACTCATTGAAGGCCATCAGAAAATAAAGAGTACCGACGAGTCAGGGCAAGATCTTCTCAACATACCCAAACAGGCCCCTCAACAACAAGGAGTAAAAAGAAAGGAGGGCTCCGATGATCGTCCAATCGATCAAGGAGCGACTACGGCCTTGCTCATATCCGAGTTGCATTGGTGGAATACCGATGATGATGTCCGGGGTTGGATTAATCAGGCTCAGGTGGAAGATGAGCTGAAGGAAATGACTTTTTCTGAACATAAAGTCAATGGAAAAAGCAAGGGGTATTCTACCATACACCAAAGTCTTAAAATGCCGAACCTCCACTGACTTTAAGCACAGACAAGCCTACGTGGAATTTACGTCCCAACAAGCTGCAACTGCAGCCGAAACGAAAGATTGACGCTTTCGGCGAAGGTCAACAATATGTCAAGAAGCAGACAGTTACATACCACAATCCAAATGTCAATCCATTCCGTACTTTACCCAAGGACGCGCCTGCCCGTGCCACTAAAGAAGGCCAAAATAGCCGATCGAGCTCGGGGCCAGGAGGTTACAACAGTGAGCGGGGCAGTCACAGTACAGGTAACTTTAGTGGTAATTTCCGTGGTCGTGGTGGTGGTTACAACTCTTCTCGTGGAGGTATGAACAGCAACATGAATCAAGGCAACTTCAACCGCAACTTCTCCGGGGCAGGAGGATCTATGAGTGGCGGGTTTAATTCTTCAATGGGTGGAGGATTTCAGGGAAATCCCATGGGAAGTCAGTTTGGCGGATTTAACCGTGGAGGAATGATGGGTGGCATGCGCGGTGGACCTGGAAGTATGAGAGGAGGTCGAGGGGGAATGGCAAACGGTATGATGGGAGCGATGCCTATGGGAGGGATGCCAATGGGCGGCATGGGAGGGATGGGTATGCCTATGAATATGGGAAACATGGCACAGATGGGAGGGGGAATGCAAGGTACGTACAGGAGCTTTCTTACTGAGTGATCACAAGTACTACATAGAGATATCACGTTCATGACTGACTTTAAAAATCAGGTGGGAACGGTTTTCAACCTATGCAACCACATTTTAATCCTGCGTTTTTCCAACAAAACCAAAATGCTGGTGGCGATTGGCAAAATCCCCACGGCGCCAAAAGACCGAGACCAGAATGAGGTAGATTCAACGTTGAGTATTACATTTCATGATTACACCTCGAAATACGCAAAACTGGAGAATGGAAAGGGCGTTGGCATTGGGGTTATGGCATATTTGACATTTGGAATAATGAGCACTTTCAGTTCTTGACTGTATTTCGAAATAAAGCTTGTACCATAGAAGTGCGACTTACGCGATGGATGTATTCTGAGCTGTCAGATAATTGCTTTCTTTTAACTATTCATTTCTTGTTCACTCTCACAGTTTCTTCGATCTCTTAAGCAACGCCCTCCGGGAGTTAGCAATGCTCTCCCTTCTCGAAGCGCATTTGGTTGAGTATTTAGTGTCTAAAGCAGTGCATCGTGCTGTTTTAGTGAGACAGAAATCATCAGATTGACTGATAAGCGGACTTGCTATAAATACCATTGTCGTAGTTGGATAGACCAGTAATCGAATAGACGTTGGAAGGCGACAAAAATAACATAGGAATGACATATCTTGAAATTAAAGGAGACCGAGGAGATCATCATATAATCGCAGTGAGCTTGGTGAGCTTCAGCATTTTATTCGATTCAAGGCCCCTTCCAACAGCATAACAAGCTGTTTTGAGCGTCCATTCAACGTATCTCTCTGGCCATTCAGCCCTGCGCGTGTTTTGTTTATCCTCTGAATTGTTTCCATGACGTCTGCCTTGCCAGCGATTAGTACTTGGAACAAAACTTTGTCCGCCGCCTCCTGAGAAACTTCTTCGCCTTCCAATCCCTGCACGAATCTTTTCCATCTTCCTAATGGTAGACAGAGAATCCTTAGGACTACCTGCGTGCGATAACAAATGGTGTCTCGATCCAGGAGGTAGTTACCAAGAAACCCCATTTCTTTGAGGTTTTCTTTTTGGTCTGGATTCAGCAAAGGTGTTATCCATGGATCCAAGGTTACCTCGTCCCACCGGTTTTTATCTAGTATGAACCCGTACTCGATGAGTAAGAAATCGTTGTTGTGACTTCCGTATGAAATATGCACTTCGGAACCTTCCTTTATCGGCTGTGAGGCCGTAACTAGAAAGTTAGGGGTTAGTGACGGTTGATGATGAGAGCTTAGGCGTACATCTTCATTGAAGGTGCAAGGTATATATATATATATATGTGTGTGTATAACATGAAATCAGAAGGAGACCGGCGGTAAAGATTATAAGGAAGTGAAACACTAAAGGAATCATTTTGCTCACGTGTGTAGCCAGCGCGACTAAGGGTCGCATTAACCGTGGGTTGTGAACTATGGTTCATGTAGTCTGCGAATGGGTTCAACGCAAGGCGATCCTCCTTCGGTGGTTGGAGTTTAGAGGATTTGATAGTTGGTGAGAGATAATAAAATGTTCTACTGTTGACAATACTATAGTTGTACATGAATTCATCGTACGATATTGGTGGTTCCGGGAACGCTTTACAGATAACTGTCCAGGCGGAGCCGATCTTCTCTTTCTGCACTTTCAGGAGAGTTTGCGCTGAGTATGGAAGAAGCTCCGATAACGAGGGATCCCAAAACAAGGGCATGGAGCTATGCATGTCTTGTTTGGAAGGAAGGGCGGCTTTCCATTCTGGCCCGAGCAGAGAATCCAAGGTCAGAGCCAGAAGCGCATGAACATTTACATTTGGTGCCAACCCGGAATACTGAGAAGGCACATCTGTAGATTTACGAAGCACCTTTATGGGCACCCGCACCAGAGTATCGCCTATCTATTATAGATTAGCAAGCACAGGAATATTCGAAAAGAGGTATAACAATCCATTGCAGCTCTTGTACCTCGAAATTCTTGTTCGCAACCAGTCCCAAACCCTTTCCTGGAAATCGGAACGGCGAGACTCCATCGATGATGGCGCCATGATCAACAGCCCATTTTGTAAACTCTTCATGTACTTGCATGTCTATGTTCGCACTATTAGAGGACGGAGAATCTGCTTGTTGCAGGAGATCGGAATGCGTGCTATGAGATTGATTCATTATGTGAATATTTTCCCACCAGCTTTACCTAGAACTACTAGATATAGGCATTCACTCACGGAAATATCCGTATTTCGAGATCAATCATACCTTCTTAACTCAAGTGTCATTCATTCATTGTGCCCAAGTACGGACTAGTAAGTTGCAGAATTAAACTCTTCTACTAGTGCTGCTTTTGCCGAGAGCTCTCCCGATGAAAGGGCGGCAGGTAATGCAATTGAAGCTCTCGTTACAATTCAACATCTATGCCCTCAACATCTAGAAGGCACAATATATTTTGGGAAACATTCGAAGTATGTCTCTGTCTCTGTCTCCAGGTCTATATACCCAGGCAGCCCGTCTGCCCAGGGAACTACTTACTGTCTGCTCAATAACTATAGCTACAAGAAGCTTCAGTGTACTTCATCGTCCAACTCCAAATTATCCCGGCCATGTACCACTTACTTCCATTGAGCGAAGTGGTTTGGCTGTAGGCTCAGCAATTATGGCATTCTTCAACCCTTATCGTGCAGGTATGAATTAAATAATTGTAGTATACATTTGGTCACAACTAATTGGTGAATTAGATCTCATAGCTGCTTGCGGAGAAGCAACCGCAACACCATATTTCATTTACCGTCTCCGTGATGCCATGCTTTCTTCTCCCACAGGCCGACGTATCTTACGCGATCGCCCTCGCATATCTTCTAAAACACTTTCCATGCAACATCTCCGGACACTCCCCACGAACGCCGTAGGCCGCTGCTACGCAGATTGGTTAGACCGTGAAGGAGTCTCGCCTGATACACGAGATTCAGTAAAATACATTGATGATGAAGAATGTGCATATGTTATGCAGCGATATCGCGAATGCCATGATTTCTACCACGCTATAACGGGATTACCTATTGTGCGGGAAGGCGAAGTGGCGCTCAAGGCCTTTGAGTTTGCCAATACTCTGTTGCCCATGACGGGCTTGAGTATGTTTGCTGTGATGTCCTTGAAGCCAGCAGAGAGGAGGAGATTCTTCACGATTTATGCACCTTGGGCGTTAACGAATGGCTTGAAAGCAGATGAGCTTATTAATGTCTATTGGGAGGAGCAGTTGGAAAGGAGTGTTGAAGAATTGAGAGAGGAGTTAGGCATTGAGAAGCCGCTCGACCTTAGAGAGATTAGGCGGGCGGAGAAGGAGAGGAAAAAGGCTCAAAAAGCAACTTGAGGAAGACTTGATACCATAGTAATTTGATGCCATAGTAGTAAAGGTTTCCCTAACACTCGCAATATTAACTCCTATTCCTCGGAGGGCCAAGATTGTCCCAGCATTTTAGATTCCATTCTTGGAATATCTGCCCGCTGAATCATTCCCAAATTTCCCAACCACAAACTATAAATCCAAAAGATCATCATCATCCCAAGCGCCCTTCCTCCTGGTAACCACAATCTTTTCTTCTTTCTCTTGGGCTTCGGATACACTGCTCAACAAATCCTTCAATTGTTCTTCCGTAATCTTCTGTCTCAACTGACCCGACCTCGCCAACATAATCAAACGATTTTCAACATCAACAGCTCTGGACTCTTTCACAAGTCTAATGCGACCTAGACGATCTGCAGCTTCGGGTTCGAGGATCTGTGTCAGGATAGATTGACGAGCCGCTTCTTCTTGCTGCCTGTTGCACAAAACATTAGTGAATTAATTTATATGTACGGGAGCATAAAGCGCACTGTCTGCCCTCGTCTTGTCCTCCGCTGCCACCTGCCGCGCCTGGTCGACCACCACCTCCGCCTTGGGATTTCAGTTGCTCAAGTCGAGCTTTTCTGATCTGAAGAACAATTAATTTTGAATCATGGCAAGTTTCTTTTTATGACCCACTTGTGCTAAATCGTCGTCTTCCATATTTAAGGTCGTGATTGTGTGATTTTTGTTTATTTCTGGTCGAAGAAAATGAGGGGTGTTGGTTGTGCTTTGCGGTAATCAGCCTTGTGGTAGTTTTGGTGGTTCTACTGCAACCCCAAAAGTTTGGCGAAGGCCCATGATTACCCCTCGTTGAGCTAAAAAGACTATCAGTGATACATCACAATAGTGAATGGCCATGGGTGACTGGGTGAATGAATGCTATTACTCGAGTACCTTCCATCCTCTTATTATATAGGTGAATGCTAACATATTATGACTTTAACCTCAGTCAATTAAAAGGTTGGTTGAATTTTGATCGAATATCTCTGACAAGCATTCATTCGGTTGCTGCCACTTTCCTAACCCTTTAACCTCCTCGCCGCATCATCACAGTAGCATAAAGTAGCCGCATTCGAGTATTAAAACATGTAAGAGAGGCATATGTGCAATCTTCATTGATCTATAACCTATAATCTACAGCGTCACTTTGACAGGTGACTCAGCCATATCAGATATCTAAGACGTACTATACAGGTGCTGCTAATTCTAACATAAACATACATTTATACACAGTAATACATAACCAGACCCCGGCCCACCATTCCATCTTGTCTATGCATCCCATTTATCTCCGATCAACCACCGGTATGTGTGAATTCATCTCTCTGGATTTCATGGCTTGTTTTGCTTTCACCATACTTATAACTAGCTCATTTGAGGTAAAGGGAATCTCCAACTCTTTAGCTCGTCGAGCGAGGTAGCCATTGTAAAAGTCAATGTCCGTTCTCATCCCCTTCCTAACGTTGTGTAACATAGATGTCACATTTTCCCCGCTGCGAGCAAGCACAGATAATACCATGCTTGTTAGCCTGCGGTGTCCAAAACGTTTGTTAACGTTTGCGACTGTCGCGAGCTCTGGAAGGGTTTTCAAAACTTGCGAAATCTCATTTAAAAGGAACTTCATCGTCTGACTCGCTTGGAAATTGTATAAAAGGTGGTCGTTTGAGCAATCGAAGATGACAGACAACGGCCCAATGACGGAATTGACGGCTATGTATTCGAGATGAAAATTCATAAACTCAGGATAGTTTAAGCCTATGGCTTCAAGTTGAGGAGATCGATTTAGTACCATTAACAGGTATCTTGAAGATGGGGCCCAGTTGTTCAGGAGCTTCCTATCTGTGCTTTCAGACAATAGTCCATCAGCGGAGGCATTGTTGTTAGTTGTGGGAATGGTAAGCTTTAGCTGTCCCTGCGTAGTTTGAGCCACGGTCCATAGTTGGTCTGTTGCAAACAATCCATGAGATAAATTACCAAGCATGTAATGAGGACGATCTGGCAAATTTGGGAAAACATGTTTGTTAACATCCTCGATAACACCTGCTCCATGTTGCACAAAACATATCGTTGAATTGGGGCGGAGACGATGCTTTATTGACGTGAGTGCCGCCACAGTTTTGTCCCCGTTCGTAGTGATGATCAGGTTGTCTATCACATCCTCAGTGTATCCAAATCTGTGCTTGATGGTACCGGTTTCTGAATCAGGCCCAGGAATATTGAAATTTGCGGATAGTTCAACATTAAAACCTGATTGTTCCCTTATGATTCCATCCTTGAACACCCTCAGAACTTGTTGGCTTTGATGCCATTGTTGAATTAACAGTGGTCGATGCATCAGTAAAGTAACAGGCGGCGGACAATCCATTCCAGCAAGGTTATATGCAATGAATTGCCCAATGGGCCCTGTCCCTAGGACATGGACGGTGCGTGATATAGACCTGTCCTCTCGGTGAGTTGAATATTGAGATGGTAGTTTGTAATGAACGTTGGCTTGTTGAATTGACTGCAAATTTTCTTGACCATTCTGGTAAGAAGGCATTGCAGGTGACTCCTGACCGGTCAATTCCACAGCTGTGACCGGATAGTATGAAGAAGACGAGGTTTCAGAGCCAACCTCAGAGACCTGAGGATTCGCAGGCTCTGCTAAGTCAAAGTTATTCCGTAGCTGTCCTGGCGACAATTTCATGTCAGCCTCCCATCTCAAACGGTAATCCGAGCTGGCAGATTCGATCAATGATGCATTATTTTCTTCTTCACTGCACGAGTACAGTTCCTGTTCATCCTGCAGGGCTATATCCATAGTATATGCATGATCATTGGGCATAATATGTTTGTGTCTCCCTTCTTGATTCGTGATGTCGTCGTCCGACCATCCATCGCTTGCATTGAGTCCATTGCTACTATTCGCATAACTCCTAAAAGGTCCGCTGGTGGTGGCATCTCTCTCTGAACCCCAGATGCATGACAAGCTGGCATGCAATCCTACTTTCCGCCTCGGCCACCAGTATGTCTCGTTTTGCCTCGACCAAGTGCGAGTGGCCACCCGGCCCAAGGAACTGCTACCTGAGAGCCATCGACAATTTTGAGGGTTTTGAGCAAGCACCCGCCACAGCGGACGACCGCACCTTGGAAAAGACAGGATGAACACTCTCAATGGTTATTGAAATGAACTCATGGCAGACAAGCAGAAACAAGATGTCTACTCTGTCGTTATTGCAATCGTCTGCACTCGAAACCAAGGGAGTCAGATTTCACGTCTGTGTACACATCCGCAAAGGGAAAAAAGAGTAGGATTGTAACGGATAATGACGGAGGATAGAATTTTGTCGACTCTGTATGGGATGGGGCGAAAGTTATAGCTCCTTTTCAGTGGGGGCAATGAAGCTAAGTCGAGTATATTTGAGACTACGGCTTAGTATAAAATAAAACTAAATGAAGTCTATTCGCATATAATATGTAAACTCCGCATATGGACAAGATATAAGAGAAAGAGGAAGTGCGTAGATGTACGAATGGGAGGCGAATGTTGCGAGTTATATTGCAGAAAAGACTCAAGTAAATAATAAATATCATTCACGTTTCAAATATCCAAAATCGAGAAAAATGTTGATTAAGCACTTGAAAGAATATTTATCTTGACATCCCTGCAAGGCAATGTGTAATCCAATTGGAAGACGCCAATTTAAATGGAATTGATGCGGCCGCTTTCTTCCGGCCAGCTCCGGGATATTCCACTAAAATTTCTAAAAGAAAGGTTTAGCTCAGGTCATTGATACTTTTGGTTGAAAGGTCAAGAAAAGGTCAGGAAAGTTTCGAAAATTACGAATACGAATAACAAAAAACACAAATAGCAAGAGACAAGAGACAAGCAATCGTCAATACCAGTTCAACCAATTCAATCCATATCTACGACCACCACCTACATCGGCTACTACTTCAACATCCCAAATTCGCAATGGATCCTACTAAGATTTTGTCGTTACTCGAACAACTTGATGATGATATTGATGATATAGAAGATGCTGTTGCTCCTTTCATTCAAAAAACCATTCCGGAATTCGCAAGCAAGTTACCTTTGTTAGACAAGGCAAAACTTTATACTCTCGTCACATACGCTATTGAATCCATATTATTCTGTAGGCTTTCCCACCACTCATGTCGGTCGCACCCTGTACTTTTATACTAATTCATCCCATCAGCATACCTACGACTTAATGGTGTCAATGCTCGTGAACATTCCGTTTTCACTGAGCTTACGCGGATGAAGCAATACTTTGAGAAGATAAAACTTACCGAGAATCCTCCCGTCGCAGTCGCGTCAGATAGGAGTCTTAAATTAGCTAAAGGCGCCGCTGGAAGATTCATCAAGGCAGGACTAGTAAGATCATCTTATTCCTCTTCAATTGGATGGCCTGGGAATATATACTGACTTTGCTTATCTTATAGAGTGGAAATGATAAGTATGATTTGCAAAGAGCGGAGCAAATGGCGAAGGAGAGAGCCAAGTCTCATATCAGATTCGAGGAGCTATCAAAGAAAAGAAAAGGGAATGAAGAAACAACAACATCCAATAGTGCAAAATCAAAAACTTCAGATGAATCTGATGACTCCGATTCATCTTCTGACTCTTCCGATGAGCCTGACGCAATAGCACACAAGAGCAAAAAGTCAAAGACCGCGAAAGTAGCAGCACCAGTGGAGTCGATGGAGGATAGCTCTTCCACTTCCAACTCCAAATCCAAAAAGTCTAAGCGGGGAGCCCAGGAGAAGAAATCAAAGAGCAAGTTAAAGAAGGTCAAGAGCAAGAGCAAGAACTGAAACTTTCTGATAGTTGGGATATAAATATGAGATTAACTGGCTGTATGCATATTTGGATGACGGCGTTTGGGACTTAGCTTAGGGATGATACCATGATTTTTCACGGCAAAGTACAACTTTAGAGTCTCAATTACTGAACAATAATTATTTAGACATAAAAAAGAAAGAAGCAATAAAAGCTATTTTCTCAAGATCCTGTTTATAATCATAGTCATATAGATCTAGATTTTGGATTTCAAAAAGAGCAAAAGAGTGAAAGGTATTCTCTAAATATCGTTCTCCTCATAACCTTGAGCTCATAATGTTTCCTGCTATATACGGAGTATGGAGTATGGATCCACGGAGTAGAATCACGTGTACACACCACAACGTTAAGGCTGAGCTAACCTGATTGGAAATAGTTCGCGTGAATGGAATAGAGCATGTTCCGGGATTGATAAATTCATCAAGTATCTCATTGGTCACCATTCAACAACTTCAACTTCCCAACTCTAAGGCAAAATAGCAACACCACACCTAAAAACTTCAACTCATCTACCCGTCTCTTTATATTCGTCAAATAAATATGCCTCGTCAAGGAAGATCCGGAAGGGGAAGCGTCCCATCTCGTCCAACAGTCTCAGCCCCCAGCAGACCACCTACCGTTCAGCAAACCCGACCAGCAACTACTGCTGCATACCCACCAAGGCCAGCTTCTGGTGCAGCTCCCCCGGCAGCTCCTCAAGCACAAGCAGGTGCTCCACAAACCCAGAGTTCTTCTGGTCCAGGTCTAATCGGACAAGTGGCTAGCACTGCAGCGTGAGTTCCCTTCCTGCAAATGTATTTCCCAAGGTGAAATACTGATCGCAAATCTATAGAGGTGTCGCCATCGGATCCTCATTAGGCCATGCCATTACCGGTTTCTTCGGCGGTGGATCTAGCGCACCCGAAGCTGCCCAAGATAATGCTGTAGCAGCCCAAACTCAAGAGAAGAATCAATTTGGCGAACCAAACTGTGGCTTCCAAGTCAAGAGCTTTACCAACTGCATGGATGAAAACCAAGGGAACATGTCAATTTGCAATTGGTATTTGGAGCAATTGGTATGGACAAACGTACATTCTTTTTGTGCCTATATCATACTAACAGGATTTTACAGAAAGCGTGCCAGAACTCAGCAAGCCAATATTAAGGACCTCAAATTGACGATCATAAAAGCTTAGGATGAATGTATGATAGAGGAATAGCAATAACTCAAAATAATGAACCACTCTACCCTGATCATTTGTCGAAGGTGTGAGAAAGGGTTATGTCCGGCTTGGACAGCACATCTAAAGTGTTCAATAGCTGTCCGTTTGTTCTATGTTTGAACATTTGAATGTTTGAGGCATCAAAAACTCTCAAGTAGGAGTATTAAATTAGTCTTTTCACAATGTGACTCGACCAGTCCCCATTGCAACAGAAATTATTTTGTGGCAAAACTCGATTATTTCCATGGAAGAATTATTTTCAGCCTTGCATGCCCGAGGTCGGCACTCGATAGAAAAAATAGTCCAGCCTTGCGCCAGCCCCCACTATGATTTCCATTTCATTGGAACAGTCACACTCCATAAACACTTTTAACTTTTCATATTCTCCATAGATTTCCTTTTTACAATTGTCGCAGTAGGCTCCTCATATCGCAACACCCATAGCCATATCAATTGCACATCATGGCAACTCAATTTCCCACCAAGCGTTGTGGTATGTCAATCCTCAAATATACCCCTCATCACAACCCATCCTCGCATTTCCCTCCCTTCCGTTTTCGCTTCCTCATAACATGGGACAAACTAATCTCCTCTATAGGTGTACTTGGATGTACCGGCTCTGTTGGCCAAAGATTCATTCTCCTCCTTGCCCAACATCCATATTTTAAACTGCACGCCGTAGGAGCCTCTTCGCGTTCCGCAGGCAAGAAATACAAAGATGCTGTCAAATGGAAACAAGCCTTCCCTATGACCGCCGAGATTGGTGATCTAGTGGTCAAGGAATGCAAAGCAAGCGAATTCGCGGATTGTGATATTGTATTCAGTGGATTAGATGCTGATGTTGCGGGTGATATTGGTATGAGCCCTCTCTACTAGATTCACAACCTCCTTGTCGCTCCAGCAGTTTCATTTGTGAGACGGCACGACGGTTTTAAAAAAGGGCAATGCTTACAAGGATGAATAATCTAGAGATGGAATTTATGAAGGCTGAACTAGCCGTTTTCTCCAATGCCAAAAACTACCGCCGCGATCCAATTGTCCCTCTCATTGTCCCCACAGTCAACCTTCCACATTTCGACCTCATCCCTCATCAACGCCGTGCCCACTCCTTAAAGAAAGGTTTCCTCGTCTGCAATTCCAACTGTGCCGTCATCGGTATAGTAATCCCCTTCGCCGCCATCCAAAAAGCTTTCGGAGAAGTCGACCAGGTGAGCGTAGTCACCATGCAAGCTGTCAGCGGTGCCGGCTATCCAGGAGTAAGCAGCATGGATATTCTTGACAATGTTGTTCCATTCATTTCTGGTGAGGAAGATAAATTAGAAACGGAAGCGCAAAAGATTCTTGGAAAGGTCAATTCGGAAATCACTGGGTTTGAGGATCAGTCCGACTTGAAAATTTCGGCAGCCTGCAACAGAGTCGCGGTTCTAGATGGCCACATGGCCTGTGTGTCTCTCCGCTTCAAGAACCGTGATGGACCTAAACCTACCGCTGAAGAGGTCAAGAAGGCTATGAGAGAATATGTTAGTGAAGCTCAGACATTAGGATGTCCGTCGGCGCCAGAGCCGGCCATTGCGGTTATGGACGAGCCGGATAGGCCACAGCCAAGATTAGATCGCAATACACAAAACGGGTACACAGTTAGCGTTGGAAGAATTAGACAAGATGATAGTGGGATCTTTGATCTCAAATTCGTGGCTTTAAGTCATAACAGTAAGTCCTCATCCTGTTTCTTTTCCTTACTGCAGTGCGCAAGGACTAACATCATTTAGCGGTTATTGGAGCAGCTGGGTCTTCGATATTGAACGCTGAGGCGGCGGTCCTCAAGGGTTATATCTAAAATCCGAGGAGGGAGGCTGGTGATATACCCAATTGTTCTAGAATACCAAAAGTTACATTTCCAAGGTGAATAAAAAGGACTACTTCATTTGAACCTTTATTACCTCTCCTCTTCTATGTGACGCCTATATGGCCAGAAAAACTGAGTTGTGAAGTGACTCGATGTATTACCCCGCCCAGAAAATGAAGGTGCTGAAATGTCAGTAGTCAACTCATCTCCCGAATGTTTCTATAACTTCTCGGCTACGAGGGGAAGGAAGAAAAAGGGAGAAGATCATACGATATGCACGAAACCTAACCAGATGGCCACTAAATGGACTCACTGCAATCCAAGCACAACTTTAAAGATATGGCGAATAAAATAATGGTGGTATATTGTAATTTTGACTTATCGTTGTGCAATCAACCAATCGCACGATGCAACGACGCTCGCTATACTAACTAGTTTTCAGATCTGCTCATTCCATTTCTCTCCATCAGTTACTTCAAATCCCTTCTGGGCTAAAAACCATGCAAAATCAAGCATTTTTGCTTTTCCATTCATTTCTCTGGAACTTCTTGAGTCGAAGCTAAGATACGCAATTTGTGGCAGCAGAACATCTACGCGGTGGAAAGCACTTTTCAGTGATGGACTCTCTTGAACAGGGAGGAAAAGATAAAATGAAGAAAATTCAGGGAAATCCACATTGGTGAATTGGTCTAGACATCTTTAGTCTACGAAAGCCGATAGCCTGTCCATCATAGACGGTTCAAGAACCACATTGCCTATGTCCTCGACAATTTCTTCGATTTCACCATCGTCAGATAGGTTTGAGTCGGATTCATCTTGCCTGATTAGAGCCGGTGGAGAGAAAACCTGACTCGTTGAAGATGGTGTAGGAGCTTCAGCAGAATCAGATTCCTCCACAGCCAATGATTCTAGATGCTTCGTTTCTGATTTATCATGGCCTTGCGAGTTCTCAGGGAGTAAGCCGGAGGCATTATCTCCAAGCCTAGACGTATGAATTGACTCCTGAGAAGCCATGTCATCGGAAGCGCAGCCTGTTTCGTTTCCTGACATTAGAGGACCAAGTGTCACGGCTGGTGGAGAAGTTGCGGATTCCACGTCAGATTGTTCTCCGTCATAATGGAATTCATTGTCTGAAAGGTCGTCTTGAAACAAGTCGAGAATTTCGCCGCGGTGAATCACTACACCGTTTTCTTGCTTGACGAAATCTTCATCTTGTCTACCCACCTTCTTTTGACGATCCAATGCCGTGGTTTGAGGCTTGCCAATGCTAAAAGTTTTGAAGCCTATCTTTCCAAAATCATCAATCGCTTCAATGCCTGTAGCAATTCTGCCTAGTTCTTTTTCGAACAACCACGGGAAACTGATTAACGGCATTGAGTCCGGCCTCATGCGTCTCTTTGGCACTTCCATACCATTCACCATTCTAGTTGTACGACACTCAGCTAATGCAATATCAAGTTCCTCCTTCGTCACTTTGTACATAGCAGCAACGAACGGTCCGAGGACCGAAAAGTCTTTACCACCAGCGATGTCGATACACACCAAACGGAACCGATCTTTGAGTGCACCTGTAATCGACGCCATTTCCTCCTGGAGTTTGTAGTCGCTTCCAACCTTTGGCTTTGAAAGGATAAAAGTCGACCATACCTCAAATTCGGTTTTAATATCTTGTTGGGCTAGAATCCGTCGCATAGCAGTGTCATATTTTGTCTTCGTCTGACGAGCAGCCTCCAAAATGGGATTTTCTAACTTGTAGGCTCTCAAAATGCGTTTATCAAAGGGTTCCTCGTACTGTGGGACAAAGTGCAGACTCTCAACTTTATCATATAGTTGACCGAGTATCTTCGTGGAATGGTATTGTTTTGATAGGGGTTTATGGGTCTTTTCCATAAAATGTGGCCATTTTTGAGGTGCCAGATATCTTGACATATTAGCTGGCTGACCAGTTTTAACATAGTCGACGGCTTTGCTATGCAATTCCGCAAGCTCGAGGCCTGAGATTGGAATTAGTTTCAAAGCGATATGACAAGAGCAGAAGGGTATTTACATTTAGGATCCTTGATGCCGTTGCCAAGAAGATCAGCTTGTGCCAGGTGTGCATGAGCTATGGTCGGTAAGGAATCGTTCTTCATATACTTGACGAAAAATTTCAGCAGATCCCGTACTTTCACAGGTCGTTTGAGCGTTACAGGCGCTAAAGCCGCATAACTCATTGGTTCGCAGTTCCATTCAGATGGTTGTAAATTCTTATCCCATATAACAAAAAAGTCATCACCATCTAAATCGCCGCCAGAGCACATGCTAGGCACGTCTCTTTCACCACTTTGAGGGAATACAACGACGTCTCGCAAATGATGCAGAGCTGGCACATTGACCGCCTGGACAACCCTAAGATCACCGGGATGAAGAGATGGATTTCGTCCGACAAGGCAGATTCCCTCAATAACGTTGTATTGACCTGTATTCTCTCTATTGGGGACTTGAATAAAGATCTGAGGTAACTCATCTTCTTTATAAGTCGTACCACATGCAACAGTTGGTTTGGTATAGCCCCTAAGAGTGTTTGTTTCATCAACACAACCAAGCACAAATGCTCCATTCTCCACGATAATCTTTGCTTTCTCCTTCAGGAGTTTAATAGACCATGCTCTCCAGAGATGGAGTAAAGATAGAACAAATGGCTCTTTTTCCGTCATGAAACCATTCAGGATCATACTGGCGATATTAATGGTCATATAATTATCATCAATATATCTGTTGAGAAGATTAAGCGCAATCGTGTTGTTGCTCATCGCATTCTGGTAGTCCGAGAGTTGTTCAGATAGCATGTTCAAGAAAACTTCGTCTTTGACCCCGAGCGACGAGAGAATCGTAATTGTCTGACGGTTGAGAGTCGCAGAGGAGAATTGCGAACATCTGATGATTTCAAGACCATTGTATACAGCCGTGAATTTTTGCTGACTCTTGCGGATGTGGACTTCATTATTCTTCGCATCGGGGGAAACGACCAGAATTCCTTTACAACCACCCAATCTGAATTGGAATGCTGATGGTGCCGAGTTGGTACGTAGTTTCAGTTCCTCAGCAATCATTTGAGCCAGGAACGGTGAGATCTTACCAACTCCATCAGTAAAACAGTACCCATTTCTTTCAATATCGGGGATCTTGACGAGGTCTGGTGCCGAAAGACCTCTGATGGCTCTGGTCGTCGAGAAACATTGGCCAAGTCTTGCAGCGTATTTTGCAACGACATTGATGTGAGAAAAGGTTCCCATCCATTGACGAATGTCGTCGCAGGACAAATAGGCTGGCGGACAAAAGAAGTATGCTCCGTTCTCTCGAAATTGAGAGTTTCCAAAAGCTAAAAACTCATAGTGCCTATCGCCAATACGAATGCCATTGCTGATTACTCTGAACACTCTTGTGAATAGTCCGTCATTACGAATCTTATCGGCGCATGCATTGATCCGGCCCTGCACCTATTAGCAAAGGAAGAATAGTACTGAAGAACAGGAGAACCAAACCTCGGCCTTCTCATCTGTAAACTGGACACGCAAAAATCGGCCCTCTTTGTTCTCTTTTGAGTAATTTCGCAACACTCGATTCGTAGTTTCGACAGTAGGCGAGCTAAAGTAAATCGAGCTAGGTGTCACTGTCGCCTTGCGAGAAAATGCGCAATAATGGGGAATATCAGTCATAGAGGAGAATGATAAGGCGTCATTGTTGGTAAAGATAGAAGAAGGATTGTACAACCGTTTAGAGCTGTAGTTCTCAGCCACGTACTCCAGTAAATTCCTTGCCTTAGCTGGATCTTGTGCAGCTACTTTGGCCAAGGAATATATGAACTTTTCATCGATATTATATTCGTTGATGATTTCCCGTGAGATGCATACTTCGAGTTGATACCTTACCTCGAATGGTAGTGGTACTGTGACTCTTCCGGAATTAGGGGAATGGATATCTGCCGTTGCACTTCTAGCCCCACGTGGATCTATAAGAGACCATAACTCAGCTTTCCGCATCGGCTTTAGACGAAAGTTATCTAGCGTGATAATTTCGATGTTGAAATCCAAAAGAGCTTTTTGAACTTTATGAAATTCATCCGGCGCACACTGGCCATCGTTGAAAACCCAGCGGTAGGTGGTCCAACGACCTACATAAGTTAATACCGTTCATAGAATCAAGAATGTTCCAATGTAGACTTACCAATATCAATTACTGGCCTTTCCTTATGTAAAGCAAGCGGAATACCCTCAACGAAGAAAGGATTGTATTCAATGTCGGTTTGCCGAAACCAGCTATCCCATTCGGTCCATGATAGAACTTGCTGTTGAGATCCTTTCTGGTCCTCGCGCCAGCGATAGAACTGGGGTGGACTATCTAGAGTTATCAAGAGTGATAAGTTTCGATCGCCCAGATCAACTCGCTGGATTGACTTCAGTTGATCGAAAGATATGTTGAACATATATCTCTCCTTTCGATCAAAGTGTCCAATGGGTTCGCTACATGGGAAACTTTTGTCACCACGACTTCTTGGATCAGTAAAATGCATCGAAAACTGAGCTTCCAGTTTTCTACGCTTTAGGTCGACGGTAAGGGCAAGATCATTTTGGTTCTGAGATCTCACAGTTTGCATAGGCATCATGCAATCTGGTTCTATCATGACTCCAAATTGAAGCGTAGAAGGAATGAGTTTTGTCTTTTCCGGGTAGAAGACATTTTTCCTGAACGGGCTTGGGACTTTCCTTTCTCTTCTTGAATTCATATCCTGACGGATGCGGACATCATAGGTGGAGCCTTTCTCGAGATTTATTGGATACGGGCGATCCCAAAAAGGAATCGGAGGAGGCGAAAACACTACTTTTCCTCTATGCGCTGCTGCTTTTCCTGTTTGGACTCGGGTCTCCAAAATCTCAATGTACGTAATTGTACCTCGTTTTTCCAGACTGCTGATCAGGTCGTAGATTGTAGTACCGGGTTGTATGTTGTCGATGAACAGTACGACTTTCCCGGACTCGTTAGTGTCAGGCTTGATCTGAATAGCTGGAACCTTTGGTGTCATGATTGCCATGGTAGAGACTAAGAAATTGGATATGGCAACATGAAACAAAATGAGGAACTGATCTTGATCTTGAAGATGATGCTAGAGTTTAGAGTCTAAGGACAAGTTTAGCTGTAATCTCTGCAACCATTATGTAGTGATAAAGTCAAAAACCCAAAACACACTACCTTTTATACTGGCTGAGAACGTCTCCCTTGACTAGAAAGAATCTAGTTGGTCGGAAGAAGGGTAGCAGGTGGAGGCTCGATCTAACAAATGGGAGTGGAATCGAAAAGTGAGGTGAAACCATATAAAGATTGGTATCCTGAATGAAACTGGGTCTAGGCCTCTGTCACCCGGCAAGGCAAGTTGTACTAGGGAATTCAAAATTGCAAACAAGCAAACAAAGCAGTACTACGAATGGAGGTATTGATTCTTGTTGGATGGGGAAAACGTGAAAAGGAGGCTGAATGTTGAAGGTTGAAATATTGGACAATGCGAGAAAGAAGTGTGGTGGAGGTGGAGGTGGAGAAGCAGACTAAAGATTCGGTAGGAGTGAATGATTAACAGTAGCTCCAAAAGAAAGAGGGGAAATGTTTGATAGAGGAGGAAGAGGAAGGAGAAGGACAAGGAGCTTTTCCTCGTTTAAATTATGAATTCAATGTCTCTTGCTATTGCCTTTCCCAAACACGATTTCGGGAAGCTGCAGATTTTGACAAGTTCAAACAAAAGGTTTGAGAGCAAAGAGGCGAACGGAAAAACAAACCAAAAAATAAATAAATAAATAAATAAATAAATATTGAGAATTTATTAAAGATTCGATTGTTGGAGACTTTAGAAGGATAGTATAGGCTGAACGAGGTTCAGGATTTGTATGAATACCTAGGTACCTAGGTACCTAGGTTGTAAGGTAGTAAGGTAGTAAGGTAGTAAGGTAGTAAGGTAGTAATGTAGTAATGTAGTAGGGTAGTAATGCATAAAAATATCTGATTCAGACTTTTGAAATTTTCTCAAAGTATTATTTAATATGGCTTCCCTCTTCTCTCCTTGACTTTTCTTCCATTTTGTTTATTGGTGAATTTGGGCTAAAAATGTACCGAGTGTATATTTCAACATGTAATATTCACCTCATCAGGAAGATGATTATTCATGGTATATATGTATTCTTCTTTCTACCTTTTCATTTCTTCTACTTCTACTTCTTCATCTTCATCTTCTCCCTCCTTCTCTTCCTCTTCCCCTTCCTCCACTTCTTCTCCTCCTTTTATTACTACACAACAGCGCAAACAGCCGCAACAACTATTGACAACGTGGGGTAAAACACGAAATGTGAATTGAAAATGGCAAATTAAAACGCGCCAACACTCTTCTCATAATGGTCATAGTGGGGTACAAATAGAATGAAAAGCACGAAATCCCGTGATGAATAACTGATTGTGGGATGACACGACTTTAGTTCATGCCTGATTAATTCGGTTGGTATATATTCAGGCACCAAAATCATCAACCTCGCTTAACATAGCGCACAAATTTGGGAGGAACTTTTTGACTTTCTTCCAATTTGATTTTGGACTATTTTAAATTTATCTTCGACAACTTCGACGACAACAACCACCCCAATACTTGTTTCTCCATACATACAGAGACGGAACCATGGGTAGAGGACCGTAAGTATTATCCGTCAATATATGCCACAACCATTCATCATCTTCTCGAATTACGAAATCATTTTTTCAGTCTGCCTGGATATCCAATTCAATCGAATTGAAATGGTATATTTTTGACATTGCGACTCGTTGGCCATTTGAAAGTTACTGCAATGGCCAGCGAGAAGTTGATCGGCTTGATTACCTTGTTCAATCATCCTTCATCTAATCCTCGCCTTCGTCCACAAATCAGCACATCCTAATATCATTTACTAATATTTTTTGTCGCATGCAGAAAGAAGCACCAAAAGCGTTTGAGCGCGCCAAACCACTGGCTCTTGGACAAATTGTCCGGTGCCTATGCTCCTCGTGCATCCGCCGGTCCACACAAGCTTAGAGACTGCATGCCACTCATCGTCTTCATCCGCAACCGTCTCAAGTATGCCCTCAACTCTCGCGAGACCAAAGCCATCCTCATGCAACGCTTGATCAAGGTCGATGGAAAGGTCCGCACCGACGCCACATACCCAGCAGGTTTCATGGATGTTATCGGTATCGAGAAGACCAGCGAGAACTTCCGTTTGGTTTACGACACCAAGGGACGTTTCACCGTTCACCGTATCCAAGCTGAGGAGGCAGAATATAAACTCGCAAAAGTCAAGAGAGTGCAATTAGGCAAAGGCGGAATCCCATTCTTGGTCACGCACGATGCTAGAACGTAAGTTCTGTCAGACATCATTCAGCCGTTGGTCCAAGCTTTGGTCGATCCCTTACGACACACATTTAGCTAGATCAACGGTTTGAATTATCCTTTCCCCCAGAAATGCTAATGAATTATTCTTCTAGTATCCGTTACCCAGACCCAGCCATCAAGGTTAACGACACTGTCAAGATTGACATTGCTACTGGAAAGATCACCGACTTCATCAAGTTCGACACCGGTGTTATCGCCATGGCTACTGGTGGTCGTAACATGGGTCGTGTTGGTGTCATCACCCACCGTGAACGTCACGATGGAGGTTTCAACATTGTCCACATCAAGGATGCCATAGACAACTCCTTCGCTACCCGTGAGAGCAACGTTTTCGTCATCGGAGCTGAGAAGCCATGGATCTCTCTACCAAAGGGTAAGGGTGTTAAGCTCACCATTGCTGAGGAGAGAGACCGCAGACGTGCTCATGCCATTGCTGGTAACTAAATGTACGCTTTGCTTTGTATTTGGGACAGGGGGAGTCATGGTATGGGATATTAAAATCTCCTTTTTGCAATAAGCAAGAGTTTATGAGAAATACGACTTATTTAGCATGAGTCAGTTTTTACCACAATGATATAACCCTCCAAATTCATATTTAATTGGATGGTTTGCTTATGGACTGTGATGTGATTGTATGTACAGTACTATGTGTAAATATGAGTAGCAGTAGCGAATTGTATTGATCCCAGAACCAATGCTAATTTCAATGCCACACACTCATCAATGGCCACGACGATATTTCAAAGTAAGGATTTCTAAAGCATTAAATAACATCTAATGCCAATGCCGTACCATTATTGAGTAGCACATTTCCCAATCGAGTAGATGATTTCTTGACGGCATTTTGCAGAACTTCCAACTTTGAACAATTAACATCAAAAGCATTCACGTCCGGGCATTTTCAAAACCATCCACAGTACATGTCACATGCTAGGGGCAAGACATTCGGATTGAAATAGTGAAGCATGAAGCTGAAGTAATTCAATTAGGTAAGAAGTACCTAGAACTGGGTAAGCGGTCATATGGAGGTGTGCGTGCTTATTTTCTGTATGAGGATGTAAATAGGTGATGAGACGATGATTTCGATGTTGGGAGATATATACCTTAATAGTATGAGAGGAACATAAATAAAAATAAGGAAAACTTCTTAGCAATTATTACTTAATAATTAGATGCTATCAATATATATACGATACTCGATAATGGATATTTGATATTTGTATATTACACGGTATTATATATAATAAAGTACCTAGGTAGTTGAATACCTATATAAAACCAGGAATAAGGTTACGGTACGAGCTGTCAAAATACACACATACACACCACAGATTCTCAAGTACGAGTATTTTTTTATATTAAACGTGGGGTAACACGACAGATTCAGATTTCGGAGAAATACTCGAGTTCATACCTGCGGAGTATAACTAGGAGTGTTTGAGAGGGAGGGTCTGGATGGTGGATGAATGATGAATGATGAATGATATGATGTTATTAGTGTGGGGGGTTACACAACAACACAACAACACAACTAGGGAAGCTTGGGGATTTTCGTGATGGGCTGGACTGGACTGGACTGGAGGGATTAGATTCGAGTTTTGGTCAGCTGGATGGTTGGGAGATATTTGGGATTTGGGATTCATTTATTTGATTTGCTTGGGTTTGATTTGATGGCTGTTGATGTGGTGGGAAATTTGATGGGTGTATGTATGGTGGGTGTATAGTGTGTATGTACTTTATATGTATGCATCCTGTATATACATGTATATATTTAACTATTAGCTTAATAATTCGAGGTAGAAAGATGTCGGAGAATGGAATTGGACTTGCTCATTGGCTTGAAGGTTGAGAGAAAGTTACTTGAAAATTTGTTTGGATAAGAATTATCTCATATCATATGCATTGAGTTATAAATCTGATCTGCCTGTATCGTATAAGTTCCATTGACTTGACCCTATAAATGAAGTTTATAATATGATTTGGCAGCATTTTCTGAGCCGAGGAATGCAGAGCCGAGACAAATGGGGAAATCATCAAGAATAGGAAGACCATTTTCTCACTCAGACCTAATCAATTGAACAATATAGAAAGTTAGAAAGTAAGCCAATGAATGTTGTAGCTATAGACCAACTATTCCATATACATCCTCCCTCATAAGCAACCAACCTTCCCTAGAGTATGACATGAGCACACTACTCAGATTTCCACAGCTCATGATCCACAAACATGCCTATTTCATACTTAGCACGCCAACAGAACGAAGGAAGAAGACGCTATTTCTCGGGCATGATGATGATGACCTCCTCATCTAGATGACCGATTAACACGGTCCACTTCTGCATCAATAGATCCTCTATATAAAGTTATCAAGGAAGACGTCAGATGGATAGTGTAGGAAGGTGCTTCTGATGACTTTTGATTCTTTCTTTCTTCCACTTGTTCAAACATTTATTTGATTGATTACCCTTTTCTCTCCCTTGTTCGGATACATAAACGTACCTTAATATTTCCATGAGAGCACCTAAGGAAAGAAAAGTATTTCCCGAATGTATATTGTATTTACACAGGAAGTGACAGCTCGGAAATATTCAACAAATCCTTGTTCACATCAGTGTCGTCCAAGTGTCCATTTGTCCATTTGTCCATGTGTCCATTCGTCCATTCACCCATTCATCCCTTCATCCTATTCCTGAGCCATAGCCATGTATTCGGCGAGACTTCAACCGATCATCACGGGAAAACTGCAACCACAATTTCGCATCTCTACTTCTAGAATACCTGGAATCACTCAAACAGGAATCAGAAATCCCTATAATTCTTCTTTCAAATCTAGATGTCAAAGTACGAAATCGAAATCGAAATCGAAATTAAATACATCTACACCAATACCGAGTTCTAAACCAATACCTAACTCCACCAAATCCGATGCCAAAAATGGATGGTCGACAGAAAGAGTACTTCTGTTGGCGGCGGCCACTGGAGGCTTAGCTTACGCATTTGCGACTATGCGGGAAAAGAATAGGAGGGGTGAAGTTAAAGATTATGCAGATCCGGCGAAGTTTACGGTGCCTAGATATGCGAATATTAAGGATATGGAAATGGTGAGTGTTGTGTGGTGTGTAATTGATGTCACGAAGATGTAGATGGAGAACGAGCAGGGGAGAAGTAAAATTATATCTAATATTATTCAGGCCTTGAAGGAAATTCGAGAAGCTACACATGAGGATACCATTTCTACGGATCCAGAGGATTTATTGGCTCATGGATAGTAAGTTTCGTTCATTCTATCGCGTACCGAATAGTTCATGGTACAAAACTGTCACTAGTCACATGTGAGGCGGAGAGACTTCGTGCCTCGTAACATCACAGATAGCTTCTCAATGACATGTATCAAATTCATGACTAACTCACCTCTACAGTTCAGAATGGTCGTCAACCAATGTTGATGGTCTCCCAGTAGCCGTAGCTTATCCAAAATCTACTGAAGAGGTCTCCAAAATCACCTCAATATGTCACAAATATCGTGTACCAATTGTTCCTTATTCAGGGGGATCGAGTTTAGAAGGAAATGTGTCATGTCCGTATGGAGGTGTTAGTGTGGATTTTGCATTTATGGATCGAATCGTCGAGTTTCATGAAGAGGATATGGATATTGTTGTTCAACCATCTGTTTCTGTAAGAAGCCTAGATTCGTTTCCGATTCCTATTTACTTCCTTAATTTCAAAGGAATGCTAATATCGTATTTAGTGGATGGATCTTAACAAGGAACTGGCAAGGCGCAAATCTGGTCTTTTCTTCCCTGTCGATCCAGGCCCAAGTGCAAAAATAGGAGGTATGGTTGGAACAAACTGTTCTGGAACAAATTGTGTTCGTTATGGATCGATGAAAGATTGGGTAATAAACCTAACCGTCGTCCTCTCAGACGGAACAATCATCAAGACTAAACGACGGCCCCGCAAATCTTCCGCTGGCTACAATCTTAACAGTCTTTTCGTAGGCTCCGAAGGGACCCTTGGTCTCGTGACCGAAATAACCCTCAAGCTCGCAGTCGTACCTCCTGAATACTCAGTAGCTGTAGTCACTTTCCCGACGATACGAGACGCTGCAGCTGCTGCAGCAGGAGTCATGCGCGCGGGTATTCAAGTTGCAGCAATGGAAATCATGGATGAAGTACAAATGAAAGTAGTCAATCTATCGAAATCCACCGCACCAAGACAATGGAAAGAACTCCCCACCCTCTTCTTCAAATTCTCGGGCACCAAAGCCTCAGTTAAAGAAAATATAGCCATGGTATCCGCAATTGCCAAATCCCACCGCGGCAGCTCCTTCGAATTCGCCAAAGACGCTCGCGAACAGAAACTCCTCTGGTCTGCACGAAAAGAATCGTTATGGAGTATGCTAGCCTTGCGTAAAGAAGGAGGCGAAGTTTGGAGTACGGATGTAGCAGTTCCGTTCTCGAGATTAGCCGATATCATTGAGTTGAGTAAGAAGGAAATGGATGATTTGGGTCTTTTCGCTAGTATTTTGGGGCATGTTGGTGATGGGAATTTTCATGAGAGTATTATGTATGATAAGACAGTGGCGGGGGAGAAGGACAAGGTGGAGAAGTGTGTTAAGAATATGGTGGTTAGAGCGCTGGAAATGGAGGGGACTGTTACGGTATGTCTGAGATTCTACTAATTTGATCGGATATCGAAGACTGACGAGAGGATATAGGGGGAACATGGAATAGGAATCGGAAAGAAGGATTCTCTACTCATGGAACTAGGACATGATACTCTGGGAGTCATGAAATCTATCAAACAAGCATTAGGTGGGTACTTGTTTACTTTTGGTTTCCCACTCTCTTCTACTCTATCCCTCCTCTCCGAATAATGGATACTCTCTCAAGCACTCCTTCGATAAATGAAAATAACTAATATGTGTTTAAAGATCCCCATTGGATAATGAACCCAGGTAAAATCATAGATCTCCCCGAATAGTTCGCTTAAGCACACACGGCGCCGTACGGGACATATTTGCATTTCCGGAGGCAATTTCTCAGCATGAAATGGAATGGAGGAAAGTATAACAAAATAGCATGAGCATTGGCATGAGCATTGAGGGGAGGCAAACTTGTTCTTTTTTCCGTGGATTTATTTCATCTTGGATATCTGCGTTGCATGGTGGTGTGTATTATGGTTTTGTATGCATTTTGTTGATTTAGCATTGAGGGTTGAGGGATGTTTTATTTGATGGATGGTGGAAGGATGAAGTGATGAAGTGATGGAATGATGAATTTCAGTGAAAGGGAGAGAAGGAGAGAAGAGAGTAGAGGGGATAGTGGGATGCGCTTGAATGGAGGGTGAAATTGGATTGAGTCGGATTGTATTTACTGATTGAGGATGTTTGGTATATAATGCACAGAATAGGATATGATATCAAGATTACATTACATGAATCTTTGCTCCGTACTAGAGAATATTAATCTTACACCAAGATGAGTGAGAATATACATATCTATATGACAAGAGCCAATTTCATCACATAATATTCACAAATGTTCACATCAGTTCACATCAAGAATAAATAGGATAGAGTCTGGTAGTGTAGTAAACTTAAACCTTACAATTGTTTTGCGCACAGCTGTTATTTTCCGTAAATATAGATTGTTTATATAGTACCTAGGTAGGTAGTGATTTTATAGGTAGATTGCCATATTTTCAAATGTTCCACAGTTAGGCCCGGTACGGTGCAGCTGGAATGGGGTGTAGAGAGGTTGGTTCAGCATAGAGTCTCTCTCTTTCTGTGGCCTATCTTAGTACCAGTACCAGGAGTAAGAAGTGTATGTCTTTCCTGGTTGGAGAGAGTTATCTGGTAGGACGGCATCTTTCGTAGTTTGAACGAGTTTTCGTACCAATACTGCTGTACGTGAATCTCATTCTTTTTGTATATCCTTACACTCATACAATCTGGTAGATGTGACCCCGAGACCCTCCATATGAAACGGCTTTCCATGTAAGGAAACTTCCCAGCCCAGAACTCCTCGCCTTAAATTGAAAATACAATGTTCAAACATTCCCCTCAAACTAATAATCATCTCCACCACCTCCATCCCCACCATCATCATCATCATCATCCTCACCATTCTCAAAGTACTGCTCCGCATCATAATCACCACCCATATCTTCCTCATCATCTTCATAATCATTATCTTGTTCCTCCTCAATTTCTTCCTCTCCCACATCTTCCTCTCCCTCCGCACCTTCTACTCCCGTCGCCCTCTCAATCTTCGCCAATAAAGCTTTGGTCCTCTCCGACGGATCTTCATCGCCCATTGCGGCCAATGCCGCATTATCCTTCGCAACCTTCGCTTCTTCTTCTCCATCCAAAACTGACCATAATTCCTTGGGATAAAACTCCTTGGTAAAATTCATCCCGCTCACTAATGGTATAGCTCGCTTCTTGCGTTGGTATTTCATACTGTATGTTTCAACTCCGAGAAATGGATCGAAATCAGCTTTGGTTTGTCGTCCATATTGCTCATTGAATTGCTTTTCTCCAAATGTTTTTGCTGGCGTTTCGGTATCTCTCTTAGTGGAATGAGTGTAGAGGGGCCCGCGATGGATTTTGTCGCGAAGCGTGCGGTAGTATTTCACTTGTGTGCGTTCTTGGGGTGTGAGAGGTGAAGGACGTTTAAGATTGGGATGGCGCTGGATATATATATATTAGTAAATGTGCAAGGCTTCAAAAGGAGCTGGAGAGTGTGACGCACAGGATAGTCATCATTTGGTGTAAAGTCTAGTTTTAAGGTGGCATCGTGCTCCCATGTTGCTCCTTTTATGCCACCTCCTCTAGATCCTCCTCTACCTCCACGGAAAGCCATGCCGAGTTTGATTTCCTAAATTTTTGAAGTGATTTCCGATTGTTGAGAAATCGCAAGTAGGCAGAATGTATATTGGGTAGCGCTGGTTTGGATGACAGACGGAACTTAAATTGATGCTGAATGTTTGCGACAATGATATGCAAATGGGATTTAAATTCAAGAATACTGATGTGCTTGATTATATTCTGTGTGGGTTTTGTAAAAGTTTTGGGATGAAGAGAAATAGCTTCTTCCACTTGTGCCCAAGATTTATTTTTGCCATATCTTCAAGGCGGTGGGACCTAATTGAGTTTCTGCCAGAAAGCGGTGAAAATTACTCTTCTTTTTTTGTTGCATATCTGAAAAGTTGCACTCTGCAGCTTCCTCGATTTGTTGTCCTACCTAATTGGGAATAAGACCACTTTTCGGAGTTTATTCCCGATCGTCTCAAAGATTTCTACCAGTAACCACTTCTGTCATATTGCCATGTTATATGCCGAAAATGGTCACCGCCTTGGTCTCATGCATTGCGGGGATACCTAGTAAGCTTTCTAAGCTGTTCAAGCTTCTAGCTACCTGTAGAAAGTCACAACGCTCTTTACATTTCTTCCATTCATGTTATAAATTCGAGCATTTATCTGATATCAGTATCTTCCAAGCCCTCTTCTCAAGTTTATCTTCAGGATATTACCCTACCTACTCCAACTTACTGCCTCTCAACACTCAACATCACCCACATTCACAAGGATAAGAGAGGAAGTGTCCAAAATGGATATAGATTATACCCCCATATTCAAATTGGAAGAGCTTGAGGCCCATCTTCAGGAGCTGCTCAAATCTCCAGATGTTCCAATCGATACGAAAATTTTCGATGCAGTAGAGCTACAGCTTACAGGTATGTAATCGTCTGTTTTATGTTCCAAAAGAGTTCTAAATCAAGCCGCCGTGCTACACAATCTTGACGGCTTCTAATTTCCTCTTAGAATACAACATTTCCCCTCTGATCCCTAAACTACTCCCTACCATCACTCAGATCCTCCTTACCACCCAACAAGACCCTACCGCAATCGCCAGTCTCTCCGTCAAGTTATTACAGCCAATCACATTTCCTCAAGCGCTCAAACTGGCTTCCGAGGACGCACTAATTCTCGCACTTCGATCTCCCATACCTGCTGCGAATATTCTCGCCATTACAATCATTGAAAAGGCTACCAAAAGCTCCACAGATGTCGCAAGCTTAGCCAGCATGAGAGGAGTGGTCGAGAATTATATCCGAACATGGCTTAGCAGCCCTCATGTCGGAGTTGGTGAAAAGGCTACACAAGTACTGGGAGAACTCTTGGAGGTTGACTCTGTCCGAGAGTTAACACATATTACAAGAGGAATAGGAAACATGAACATTGATTCCCAGCGACCACCTGGCCAGGGTGCGCTTTGGCGACGAATATTTCAAGACGTTGAAATCTACGAAATGCTTTTCTCGTTCTGTAGCTTGAAGACTACCGGAAATGGCGATGGTCAATTGGATGAGAGGCAAAAGACACTCGCTCAAGCTCGTCTGTTGAGAATTCTTCCTCGTCTGGCAACTGTCGATTTTGATTACTTGACCAGGTCGACATTAGGCCACATAGACAGAGAATACATACGACAGGATGACGGAGAACTTGGTTTATTGTATTTTGCGGCAATGAAAATGGTGGATAAAGAAGACTTGCTTATGCATATGACATTGACTATTTTCTTCTTGGAGTTACTAGATGCACTTAGTACTGTGGACTGGCTCTTCGGCCCAAGGCAGTCTTATGTTGCTGAAGTGATGAGAAAAGCCATGGAGTCAGACGTGGAATTACGTCAATCGATTGAAGGTGTCACTCTATCGCCAAATTCAACATCAGAAACGAAAGAGTTGATAACTTCTTTGAATCTACTCTCTTAAAAGTGGCAGCTAATCAAGCCAACAGAATCATATCAAGGGCACAATTTATAGCTTGAATCATATGCTTTGCAACACTTAGTCAGCACGCCTTCCGTTTCTCTCGTGTGTAACCTGTGGTTAAGGGGGCATCGCTAGAGAATGTATGACTGACAACATAGCATAATGGCCATATTCTTTGAGTAGTCAAAAAGAGATGAAAACAAGCTCCGGTCTCATGCCGACTGCAGGTTGCATGGAGGTTTGGCCCCTCTAGCTACACTCAATAGCTACGTTGATTGCGCTTGATACTGCTGATACTGTTGATATCAATACTCCAAGCATTAGGTGATTCTTATAGCAAAGGAAATGGGACATGTTGCATGATAAACCCGGATTTCACATTTTTGCATTCATATCTGACGATAGCAATATATTGTTATTGTAGCAATCGGGTTTAGTGGTTGTTTGATGATCCATTAAGAAGATACCCAGCAATGTCGAAAAATTCTTATAGTTCAATTTTTAATCAATCATTCCAAATTTTCTATTGTTATTTTTTTGTCCAGCATTTGATATTCCCACCAAGTCTTAAAAGTATATACAAAAACAAAGACACTGCGACTCTCAGCATTAGGTCCAGCGTTTTATGAAGCTACACAATCATTGCTGGCCCAAATTAATGAATCATGGAGCAATTTCGAAAGCGATTTGAAGCACGAACTTTCAAGAATTCCATTCGGTTTGAAATGTAAGTCTTATAAGATCGTGATGATCAACACAACAGGCATTATTATCAAAGCATTCAGGGGTGGCTTTGATGACAAAAGTAAAAAAGAGAAAGTGGATGCGGTGGGCTCCCATGAGTATCAATGCTTTTGACAGGTTCATATGCTGATATGTATAAAAGGACGATCCTGTTGATCAATTTTTAAGCTTGATTTAACACCCCAACATGAGAAATATATATATGTAAGGTTTCGGTGCATATCCGGTTATTGATTCTGTGTTTGGTGTTCTCGTAGCTGGGAAATGCTTTCTTATTCATCTCCTTTCCCAGCCGAGAACATGAGATTATGATTAGAACTCGGCAAGGTCGTGAATCCTACGATTCTAAGTGCTTACCTGCCTAGGACCTGCCTAGGCAAAAGCGCAGTACAATATTGAAATTTACTTAAAAAAATCTACTTGCCAAGATGGCAAGAATAAAGATCTCTCCCCCACCCTTCATTTAGATAGATACCTCGGCTACCCCTGAGGTAAGTTGACGTGAAATTGATATTAATCTATTCATTCATTGGACTCATTTACTGATATCTTTTATTTTACCAAAGGTTCAGTTCCTTACTAAGGCATTTGCGGGCCCATTTTTAGAAGACAAGCTTTTTCCGGACTATTAGCCGGCCTATCGTAAGGATGAATACACACGGGTCGATTAGTGGTGGTCGGATCTTCTTGTTTTTTTTTTTTTTTTTCATTATTTTTTACTCTGATCTATCAAATAATAGATGGCATCCAGGGATCTAAAAATTGGCATTCTTGTCAAAGTCGATGAGTATGACAGTATGGAAAATGATGAGCAATGTTGTGAAGAAAAAGTCGAAAGGTACTCACTCCATACAGTGAGTGTAATTAGCATGCGTGATACATGACATGGGTCGTGACCAGATAATTTGAACCATCGTTCTGGGACAACAACAAACCGACCTTACTTTTCATCAACATCAATATTAGGGAGATTATTACAGTGCTCATACCCACTCCTGCTGCCTACTCTTACCCCTATAAGGTAACCACCCCGCCTCAAGTGGGTTCGGGAACGGTTGGAATGAGTGTATTTAGTCTTCGGGTAAAGTAACCGAAGAAAGTACTCCGTTGGTGCAGAACTACCCGGGGATGGGTTTACTTCTACAAAAGCTTACTTCAGTCTCCTCATTGGTCATTGGAACCTCTATGTAACCCACGCTGGTTGGATAATCTACCTTGCATGAGATTACCTCTCATGTCTGCGCTTCTTAGTATCTCTACTTTCGTCTCTTGCATGTTTGGCGTGCCATATCACAATCATTATTGGACAGCCTTCATGCAAGTGGATGATATCTGAGCATCATTATTGCTAACATACGCTTGTAAGTTAGTCAGGTACCGCCGTGTAGCCCCTGGCTTGCCATGGATCGTTCGATTATGGTCTCGACCATGATGAGTTAGGAGAGCCGGCGCCCACCCTTGTTCTATTCATTCTCTTCTCTCTTTTCTTTCTCCCATTTCCCTCTTTTTTTTTTTTTTTTCGATTCTGAACATCAAGCCTTTCATCAACGGTGACATTCGTGCCGTGCAAACATTTGTTTGCGTCCTGTCTTTGACAATCACACCAATTCCATCACAATCTTTACCTGGCTTAGGCCCACTACACATTCATTCATTTTTGTTTCTATATTTAATAATTATGATGTATCCATCGAAATCCTTTACTGTGGCTGCGGCTACTTTTGCACTAATAGCCCCTTCTGTCGCACTCTACGATGCATCATCACCAGCAAATTTGGCCTTGTATTGGGTAGGTCTCATGATTAGATCAAAAGGTTATCACTGACCATGGCAATAGGGTTCCGGGCCATCTCAAACGAATCTTTCATATTATTGCGAGCAATCTACAATTGACATCATTCCATTAGCTTTTATGAATGTATTCCCTGCACAAGGTGATGGTTATCCAGCGGAGAACTTTGGTAATGCTTGCTATGGTCAGCCAATCTTTACACCAGGCCCAGGCTACCCATTAGGGGATGTCGATACGTCGAAAGATCAACTTTACGTACAGTGTCCGGGCATTCAAGAGGGAATTCCATACTGTCAATCGTTAGGAAAAAAGATATTACTTTCTCTTGGAGGAGCTTCGAACACCTATCAACTCACAGGCGTTGCCGATGGGGAATACTTTGCCGATTTCTTGTGGGGAAGCTATGGGCCTTTCAAGCAATCGTGGTTGGATAATGGTGGAATTAGACCAATGGATGGGGGTTATTACGGCACAGATCCCAATATTCACATCGATATTGATGGGTTTGATTTCGATATAGAGATCGCCCCTACTGGTAAGTCAAAATGTTAAAACGTTGGTATTAATAAACACTGACATCAAATAGATTCATCCGAAGGTTACATTGCAATGATTAACAGACTCCGGGAGCATTTCGCTGAAAACCCTTCAAAGAAATATTTCATTTCAGGAGCTCCACAATGTCCTTTACCCGAACCAAATATGGGAGCCATGATTGCTGGTGCAAAATTTGATCTTTTGTGGATTCAATTCTACAACAACGATCAAGCCCAATGCACAGCTCGTCAATGGGCTGAAAATTATGCTATTACAGGACAAAAAGACTCCGAAGAATTCACATACGATGAATGGATTGCAACTGTAAATGGTGGCGCAAGTGCTGGTGCTTCAATCTACATTGGTCTCCTCGGATCTCCTTTAGCAGGAGCCGCAACCGACTATATTTCTCCACTCGAAGCTCAGACTTTGATTGAGTCATATCACGCCAAGCCTCAGTTTGGAGGTGTCATGATTTGGGAAGCGACGTATTCCCAGGAGAACACGGATGCAGAACTCAATGGAGATTCTTACCACGGATTTATTAAATCTTGTTTATCTCCTTACGCACCTCCACCACCGACCTCGATATCTTCCGTGGTCTCCAGTACGATCATTAGTAGTTCCAGCTCTACATCAGAAGCTTCTATCACTTCTAGTGCAACTTTGTTAATTGAATCATCTGCTTCAGCGAGTAGTACTTTGACTTTGATATCATCTTCTTCGATTTCGATTTCGATTTCGGAATCATCTGCTGCGGCTTCTTCGACTTCATCAACTTATTCATCACAATCATCTGCTGCAGCATCCCCCACCTCGCTGGAAGTGCCGATCACTTTGTCATCTACTTCATCAGCTGCACCGACGTCCACCGCCCAATCTTTTTCATCATCAGGATCTTCTGCTGCACAATTTTCAAGTGCTTCAGAGTCAACGGTTTCTTCGACAGTTTCCTCTATATTGGCCTCTCCAACTCAAGCATCATCTGGTTATTCAATTCCAGGCTATTCCCAAAACGCAACATCCACTTTGACCCCTTCACAAAGTCCTTCCTCTGCATCTAACAGCGTCACTACAAGCCTTAGTTCAGATTCTCAGTCGTTTGAACCATCCTCTACTTACACTGCTCCGGCATACTCATTTAACTCAACTATCAGTGGTAGTGTCTACTCGACAGAACCATATTCCACTAAGTCTGTTGTGACCGGTACTGGGGAATCTAGCAAGCCGCGCCCTACCAAGTCTCTGGGTACTGGAGTGAAATCTTGCAAGAGCAGAACCAAGACTAGGACAAAGACCTCATCTTCTGGCCCATCAGGATTTGCTAGTTCCTCCATCATCATCCCATCTACTGCACCATATGGAAATACTACTTACAGTCAATCGAGTACTAGCCCAGCTTCCAGCTCCACAACTTCCGCAGAAGGAATTACTGTATCGTCAGGTAGTGCCATCCAGACAGGATCTATTTCAACCAAATCAACTGCAATCGGGTCGTCGACTACTGCCATCGGTAGAGTATCATCGGGATCTGTTACAAGTAGTGGATCTCTACCGTCAGAAACTGGTTCTCTATCTGCAAGTGGATCTATTCCATCAGGATCAGGCTCAATTACCTCGGTTGTTCAATACACTACTTCGACAGCTTATGTTACCACAGTTTACACGGTTACCTCTTGTGCCGCAACCGTGACTGATTGTCCGGCAAGAATTGGATCCGTAACGACTGAAACTATTTCATCATACACTACTATATGCCCGGTCACTGCTACTGCCATATCTTCTGCTGAGGGAGTTTCTGTTTCGCCACAATCTTCAGGATCACCATCTTCAAGCCAAGGACTTGCTACATCACCAATCACTTCCGTCGTTAAATACACCACTTCTATAGCCTATGTTACCTCCGTCTACACAGTCAAATCGTGCGCAGCAACAGTTACTGACTGTCCAGCAAGAATCGGTTCCGTAACCACCGAGACAATCTACTCTTACACTACCATTTGTCCTGTAACAGAGACTGGTGTAGATAGTGGTATTGCTAGCTCAACTTCTGCTCCAGCTATAGCACCAACTCAGACAACAGCGTTTACTTCGTATGGAACTTCAACGGTTTACCAAACATCGGTTTACACTATCACTTCATGTGCTCCAAGTGTAACAGATTGTCCGGCTAGATCGGGTCAAGTAACAACGGAAACTGTCTCATCATACACATCTGTGTACACTATTACCGTTTCTAGGGCTCCTGTTGGTGTTTCTGCATTGGGAGCTTCTTCCGCTGCTGGAATCGAAACTTTGATTCCAGTTGTTGGAACGTCATCTCTAGCTGGCATATCATCACCAATCCCCACTTCAGAATTTTCTAGCGCCGCTGGAATTGTGACTTCCTTACCAGTACTCAGTGCCTCTCCAATTTCTGGCGAATCATCGCCAGCCGCCACTCCTGAAGCCCCACCAACATACCTCTACACAACCCAAATCTCCACTCTCATTAACTCCCAAACTACAACCATCTCCGCTGTCATCGCTCCATCTACCATTACAGTCATTCCCATTTCAATAGCATCCACGACTTTTGTACCAGCATACAGTAGCATTGCACCACCATACGGTGCTGGTAATGGTACTTTGACGGTATCTGAAACTTTGATTACTACTGCATCTTCTCTTAGCATTACTTTTGTACCTGTACCAAGTTCCTATGTCGTTAAAGCAGAAGGAGAGAGTACGAAGAGTGGAAGTTCGAAGACGCAATCAGCGATAACGAGCCCTACTCCGTCGACTATTACGTTTGAGGGTGGTGCGGGGAGAATGATTGAGAAGATGGGGGTGTGTACTGGGTTGTTTATGATGGGTTTGGTGTTTTTGGTTTAGTTATTTGTGTTATGATGACGGGGTTATGTAAGATAGACAGAGAGGAAATTCTTGGGAAAAGTGTATTCATGATGCTATTTGGTGGATCAGATGCTCATTTATATATATTTTTTAAGATACTTGGTACGATATGTTATTGTGTATTCTTCCATTTAAGTCTTGTATAATTTAATTACACACGCGTTTCAATGATCAGAATTACCATTCCTTTTTGATGATAGAAATTTGAGAAATGGAAGACGGGAATTAGGTTCAGTAGCTGCAGCTTCCAGGATGCTCTAGTCGTACACTACTCCCTAGTCCAAGGCAAATATGGCTTTGCTACATATATTATTATAGACAAGATTTTGATTAACAAATACTTCACTGTTTTTCTGAATGGAGGATGATTCACATTTAGAAATTAGTTATCATATCTATTCAATATGTATTTCACCATGACATAGCCCCACTTTTAACATCTTCAAAGGTTAGACTTGAGACTTTACCTTTCTTTATCTTATGAAAAAAATTTGGCATTCCGTTAATTAAACTGTATGCTACATTCATAAACCCATACATTACACTCTAAAAAATTCCTTTACTCTCACCTGGAACCTTTCCCATGCTTCCTAACATACTCTTCAGAAGCCCCCTCGCTTAAGAGAACATCACTATTCTTGGCAAACCATTCATCAACAAGCTGCGTTGACCATTGTATATTATCGGGATGCGGATACAAATCATCCACTAAAACATCTCGTTCGATCTGACCTTGCATCTGAGTAATAACCTTCAGAGCTGTAGTACTTTTCGCAACTCTAGCTTCCTCCGCTCTATTCGTCTTCCACGCCCTAATACTTGAACTCTCATCAGGCAGAATATTTTCCTTCAAACTATTTAACTTCCCTACACTCCTCATGGCTGGATGATCCATCTTCTTAACTTCTATTTTTGCCAACTCGGACTCTAAATCGGCAATAATGGCTCTTATGGGATATTTTAAAGGACCAATTTGTAGGGGAAGCAAGCGCTTTTGGATGGCTTTTATGCGCCCTTCTCGCCAGATTAGGACATCTCCGAGTCCTGGTTCTGATTTTTCGTGGATTTTGGTGAGGATGCAGATGAGGGGCTTGAGGAGGATGGAGTCGATGGTTTTTATGGCTTCGATTCGTCGACAGAGGTTGCACATTGTGTCGCGGGTGCTTAGGTTGGTAGGTGGATTGGAGGGCTGCAGATTTGTAAATCCAACTTAACGAAGGAGGGAAGAAGTGAGTATTTATGTTTGAGAGCTTGAATAGAATGCGTGATGACTAGTATTCATGAACATACTGTTATAGATATGGATTGTTCAGATTGTGATTCATTTGCTCGATGGAGGGTAACATTATGAGGTTAATAACTTCCTGCTGGGCATGAAATATTAATAACCTTTTACTTTCGGATTGTATACAGCCAACACTAAACAATAAAGCTCTAGATGATCAATAACGATAATACGGCTTTATATGCTCAAAGAATCAGCGTATGTGTTGTTGTTGACCTCCTGGGATCTTGGCAGCATATGCATATATAGTACATATGCATATAAGGAGCAAACAAAACTCAACTTTTAATTCATTCTTTCCTTTTTGGTATACTGTTTGTTTGCTTTCAATATTTTGATTTCAAAGCACTTTAATTCCGAAGGCTGAATACCTAACCTTATTCCTTCATTTTTTGAATATATACTCGCAGCTTAACTGCTTAGCTAGAGAATCAATCAATTCAATCTGATACTCTTTCTAGTCTCAAGAAACCCAACAGTTATGAGCCCGGTGCTGACTTTCAATTAAACATCCTGCACAATACTTGATTCACATATACCGAAACTCTACGATACCTTCAAGTTTCACTCTTTTAAGAATTACCTTACGTAGTGTGGTTTCTATAAAACCCAAACCTCGATAATTCTGACTTTATTTCTTCAATATGACTACAGGCGATAATTCAACTAAAATCATCCTTTCCTCACCAGAGGATTGGAATAGTTGGATTCGAAATGTTCAGCGTATTGCAGAATCCGGCGGCATCAAATGCTGGGTATACCTTGATCCCACTACAACAGTTGTACCTATACCAGAGTTGCTAGATGAACCAGAGCTACCCACAGTTGATGAAAATGCTTCTGAGGCTGTTATTGATAGGGCTTTAAAGCAATATCAGATGCAACTAGAGAACTATCGTATCAAGAATACCAAATACGAGAAAATCAACAAGGCCATTTCAGAGGTTCTCAAGTACATACTTTCATCAATCAACCGCAATTGCGAAAAGTTTATTAGTACCACCAGTATCACAGCACCTCAAGTGCTTGCTGATTTACGCAAAAGGCTAGCACCAACTGATCGTGCGAGAGAGCTTACCGTCGTAGCACGATACAATTGTGTAAAGCAACCCTACAAATCCAATCAGGATATTTATGAATGGTTGAACGAATGGGAACTCATCTACACTGAGGCTAAAACTCTCAATCTGCCAGACGTCGATCGAAATCGAGCTGCGTTCGACTTTTCTACAGCCCTTATGAATCACAGCTCCTCTTGGGCAACTTCAACTCTGTTGGAGATCACCAAAAAGCTCAAGAATCAGCCTGAAGAAACGATTGATGTGTACGATTTAATCGAAGACTTTCGAAACTACACTCGACTCACACAGGCATCAACTACTTCAACCTCTTCTACGTCATTTGCAACCTATAAGGATGGGAATAAAGATAAAAAGGAAGGAGAGAGAACCTGTCTATGTGGCAAGAAACATCTATATGAAAAATGCTACTATCTATATTCGGATAATCGACCAAGGAACTGGAAACCAATCGATGCCGATATTGAATACTTCAAGAAGTTCTGGGGAAGGCAATCAACAAAACGAAGGAACTGGTTTGTTCGTAGACATGAAGGAACTAAAGAACTTCTCAAGCTAGCAAATCTCTCTTGGGATCCAGCATGGAAGGAAACATTGACTAATCCTTCAGAATCTGGAAAAGAGAAAGATAAGGATCTTGGGGCTTTTCTCACTAAACAAAGTCCTACCTACAACAATGCTAGCATCCTTCACAAATGGCTAATTGATAGCGGTTCCGATACCCATGTCACCAACTCTCTACACAACTTTGTTCTTGAAGAGTTTGGAAAGCCATCCGATATGATAAGCGCTGGAAGGGACCGATTCCAAATTGAAGCATTCGGTACTATCACTATGTTGATCAATACACCAACTGGGCCAGGGCAAATAACCTTAAAAAGAGTGGCGTACATCCCAGGGTTTCTTACAAACCTAGTCTCTCTAGCTTTACTCTCAAAGAAAGGTGTACATTGGAACACTGAACACCCAGATGTCCTTACAAAAGAAGGCATTGCATTTATTACTCTGAAGCAAACAGGAGACCATTGGACCCTCGATCCTATTATCCCTTCTCAGCATGCTTCGTTTGCCACCAAAAACCACACCAAATCAATATGCCGAAAGGTTACAACAACAGAGTTACATGATCTTCTAGGCCATCCTTCTCTCGAAGCCCTTCAGCACCTAGAATCAGCAACTACTGATATCATTATCGACAAAACGATTTCGACACCTTCCTTCTCTACCTGCAAAGTTTGTAATCTCTCGAAGGCTCAACAGATTATATCTCGTAATCCAAGGAAGGAGATGCCAGAGAACGGCCATGTCGGAGATCGATTGGCATGGGATCTGTTCGAGATGGATGAGGCTTATAATAATACCCGATATATCAGCCACTTCTGGTGTACGACACACAAAATACAATGGGTGTATGTTCTAACTAGGAAAACAGAGATGATCGATATTATGGATACTCAATTCTCTCTGATACAAACACAATTCGGCTCAAAGGTCCGATTCATACGCCTCGACGGTGAAACTACGTTAGGGGGCGACTTCAAGAGGATCACAGACAAACGTGGCATCATTGTCGAACGCACTCCACCAGATACACCAGCACAGAATGGCGCTGCAGAGAATGCTGGTAAAATGCTCATGGTCAGAGCAAGAGCCCTCCTCCTTTCAGCAAACCTACCACAAAACCTTTGGCCAGAAGCAATTAAAACAGCCGGTTATCTTGAAAACCGTACTCCAAAAAGAGCTCTTCAATGGAAAACACCATTTGAAAGTGCTACTGGCAATAAACCTTCGCTAGCACATCTACATCCATATGGGTGCTTGGCATATGTGCTCAACAAGCAGATTCCAAGACGTGCGAAGATGCAACCTCGTGCAAAACTGGGCTATCTTGTAGGGTATGATTCAACGAATATCTTCAGGATCTGGCTCCCTTCCATAAATCGCATCATTCGAAGTAGGGATGTCAAATTTGATGAAACCCGGTATTATCGACCAGAAGATATAGATATTGGCTTTCTTATTAAGGATCAACTTCGGGATACTGCAGCTATTCACGAAAAGAGGGCAGAAGAGATAGAAATATCGAATCTGTTGAGTGAAGAATCAGATGAGAGTATTGGTGATATAATTGTAGTTGAAGGGCCATGGAACTTACAACACAATCGCTTAAACGAGCGACCAACGAATGAAAGCTCTTCAAACAAGACGGATGATGGTATTCCAACCAATGAGGGGGTTCCTCAAACTAACCCTCAATTGCCAACGCCTAGAGCAACCTTATCACCAGAAGCACTTACAAGACAATCTACTGGAGATGTTCCTATACCATCATTACCGGAGTCAGAACTCTCATCTTCCCCATCATCATCGTTAAGTCAACATGATATCATCACTACAACATCATCTCATAATACAGCACCTTTGGCAGAGCAAATACGTGCCGATATCGACGTATCCCATATAATTCAGGGTTCTAGACGTTCACAAAGGAAAGAACATCATGCTGCAGCACTTTCATCACTTCCTCAACTATCCAGCTACTTTGCAGCATTTGCTATCGGAAGGTCTAAATTACGAACTCCTAGATTACATCAAAATGATCTACCACCTCCACCTCGATTTTATCATGAGCTAGTACATACATTGCAATACCTTGAGAATACCAAATTCTATGCTATCATGTTCGATGGGAAGAAAGCAACAACTACCAGGAACTTTCAAATCTGGAGTGACGCCTCCCATGCTGACGATATCGATACAAGAGTTTCTTCAATGGGATATTGCCTCATACTCTTTGGAGGTTTGATCCACTTCAAAAGCACTAAGCTGAAGTCGGTGACTACTTCCAGCACACACTCTGAAATACTGGCTCTTTCCGTTACTGCTCGAGAGCTTATGTGGTGGATACGCTTCTTTAAGAATGTTGGTTTAGATCTCGAAGAAAAGGCTTCAATTTTCTGTGATAATCGCCAAACCATTCGACTTCTTCAGCATAGTACTCCTAGACTTGTTACAAAACTCCGGCATGTTGATATACACTCCTGTTGGCTTCGCCAGGAAGTGCAAGCAGGAAGGCTACAAGTCGAATGGGTTCCAACTACTGAAATGGTTGCAGATGGTTTCACTAAACCTCTACCACCACAGAAACACACTCATTTTATCAATCTTTTGGGAATGGTTGACATTCGGTCTCAGGTTCAGGAATAACCTCATTATTAACTAACTCGGTAATCCCTGAGGGGGCGTGTTGACCTCCTGGGATCTTGGCAGCATATGCATATATAGTACATATGCATATAAGGAGCAAACAAAACTCAACTTTTAATTCATTCTTTCCTTTTTGGTATACTGTTTGTTTGCTTTCAATATTTTGATTTCAAAGCACTTTAATTCCGAAGGCTGAATACCTAACCTTATTCCTTCATTTTTTGAATATATACTCGCAGCTTAACTGCTTAGCTAGAGAATCAATCAATTCAATCTGATACTCTTTCTAGTCTCAAGAAACCCAACAGTTGTGAATCATTTTAGATATTGAATATTATATCTTCATTTGTCTATATTGTGGTATAGTCAAAACAACAGATCGTAGAGGAAGATATGACTCCGGATGAATCACAGCTAGGTCAATGGACTTTCGACGATCCAAAAATCTTGCAAAATGCAGTATTGTAAGAAATGGAAGTAATAAATAAGCAATCGATGAGCGCTTAGTGCTAATCAAAGAGTATAGAAGCAAAATGAAATAGCAAATAAAGGCAGCACATCACACTCTCTTCTCGTCTATTCCTCACTTTCATCTTTCGCCCTCCTGTTCACTCCACCGCCATGTAAATAAACATCAACACAATCAAAGATGTTGCCCCCCGAAGAACAATAAATCAAAAACTCTCAAAGTTCTCATAGCTCACTGGTCTGACCATTCGATTTCTGATTCAAATATGCTAACATTAGATTATAGAACTCTCTTACACCAACCGGCATATCACTCATCATTTTTCCTTTCTGGCATCTCAACTGGTAACCAGGTACAGGTACAACGAGATTCGATCAGGTACTACATTCAGGTACTACATTCACATTCACAACAAGGTACACATTGGTGTAAGCCTGCATGGATTCCGCTAGGGTGAGTTCCTTTCTTTCATTCAACATTAATAACTGTGGCAGGCTGTGGGCTATGAGAACTGAGAACTATTTTTTGGACTCCTTTTTGTTTTGTGTGGGTGATGAACTGGTACATTACTCTAGAGTGGTATATAAGAAACAAAGATGTACAGAAGATGTGGATATATTATAGAATTGATGAATAAAGGAGAAAGAAGATAATAAGTCAATATTAAATTCTTATTAGTATATCAAACTGAAGTTCTCATAGCTCAATGGTCCAGCCATTCACTTCCAAACTCGAATATACTAACATCGAATTATAGACCTCGTCTTATATCTACTGAAAACGCATGAAAACCTGAGCGAATGAAGACATGAACGACTGAAGACATGAACTTCATATGAACTTCCACAAACTCGACTGGTAAACACGGCCAATGAAAAAAGCCAACAACAGCGCAAAGCGTGAAGCAACAAAACGCAAAAAGCACAACAAGAAGAACATAGTAACTCAATTGACTTATACCTCGAATACGACATCTAGTCGGATATCACAATTGAAATAGTCCCGGGCCCGGGCAACTGACATCAACTTATTCTGAGTAAGTTCCATCTCTTCATTCAATATTAACTATAGCAGACTTGCGGGCTATGAGAACTGAGTACTATTTTTTTTAAGTTTTATTTTTTCTTTACCTAGACTTTGAGATTAATTGGCGCCAAGAGGTAGAGGGGATGTGCAAATGGGAGTTTTGAGATTAAAGGAAGGGGAAGAAAGGTAATCATCTCTATTATTTCAGTATTTATACTGAAGATGTTGGATAATCCGATTGGTAACAGTTGCAGCTGCAGTTGCTAACATTTGGTTTAATGGTAAGTCAGTCATTTGAATGAAGAGCCTTGTCTTCCATCCTGGTCATTTTTGGACCTTTGCTGTTTAAATCGGCTGCTTAGAAGATATTCTAGCAACAAAGTCAACGAAATGAAGGTAAACACAGTCACTACTCGTGATACTTAGACAAATGGGAAGGTATTCGCTCTCACTATCATCATACCTTCATGATGATCACGGGATCACCATCAAACAACTCAATATTCAACATCCACCTTACCTCTCACTCCTTCCCCTCTTCCACCACCCGTCACCCACAACACCCCCATTCCTTCCTCATTCCCATCATCCAGCATCCCATACATAACCCACAATACCCTCACTCAACAAACAAATTCATCAAAAGTCCTCACCTTTAGTCTTACAGTCAACCATCAACTCAAAAATTCCCCAAAAATACTAACCAAAACCCCAAGATACAATCAAGGAAACACTCTCACTAAGTACTATTATGCCAAAAAGAGTGATATGATTCCACTCTTACACCTTGGGAACGATATATTTGGTTCGACAATTACCGTCTCGACGCATTTAGCACGTGCAAAAGTCGACAATGTGGAAAGGACGGAGAGTATTCAATTATCGCAAGCAATCATAGAGAAGGAACTCGATGGTCTACAGCATGTACTTTCAATAGATCCATTAGCACGAACGAAGAATGTACCGACTATCACCAACCAAACACTTACAGACAATCACGTTTTCTACCTAGACTCAACATTCGACGCAGCAAGCTAGTCAAGATCACACAACGCAAACATTGGAATGCGAACACGAGTTAGGAATGAACCTATCGGAGTCGCGACCCGATATGCCTGTTCACTTGGAAAACCCTTGCATACGAATACGACGACAAGAATTCGACATACCAAGATCTTTGATTTCCCAAGAATTTGATACCCCGGAATATGAGCCATGAAGTATTATGATTCATGAAGTACGATTCATGAATTATGATCCTCACGTTTCAAATTTCAAGTTTAAAAGTCTCAATTTGATTTGTGCGAGTTTAACCAAAAAAATAAAAAAACGTCCATCACGACAACCAAAAAAAAAGAACCCAACAACCCCCGCTTTCGATAACAGCATTCGGATATATGTATAAATATATTTGGAGACAGTCATTCGAAAGCAGCTTGCTTGAAAAAGTAAATTTATCAAAAAGCATAAAGCATTTATACCAAAAGATCAGTACTACCTATCGGGCTGTGTGAGAGGGACTTTCCTTAGTTGTGAGTTTCTCCCATTCCTTGAGTGATGTTGCGAGACTTGTGAGGTGTGAGGACTTATTTTTTTGGGTGGGGAGGTGAAAGGGAGTTTGGACTTGGGCTGATTGAATGAGGTAGTGTTTCTTGTGATTTGGACATTGGAGTTTGGAGGCTAGGGGTTGGAGATTGGATGTTGGATGTTGAAGGTTGGACGCTGGATGGTGTAACTTTGGATTGCAATCTAACGATCAGAAGATCTACCCTTTGCATTGATCCATATCCAAGCTATTTGGAGGACTAAGATAATTGGCAAAATATATGCAAGTGAAGAAGGGAACGTTTCTCAGATTTTCATGGCTTTCTAAACAAAACACGGTCATTGAGATGTTCAAATCAGGACTGCAGTCCAAATTAATGAAAATCCTAGGTTGAAGTACAAAAAATGGGAATAGAATTAAACTCACCACGCTATTTGATCGTGATTACTTTACATGAAATGCCATCTAATCATTTCATCAACTTCTCAACCCTCTTCTCCAAACTCCTCTCAAACTCCGCCACACCACCTTCCAGCACCTTAACCCCACCACCCTTAACCACATAAACCAATCTCCTCCTCTGTTCCTCATCTTCTTCATCCTCATCCTCACTTCCCTCCTCCTCTTCACCCTCCCTCCACCCCTCCACCACCTTCCTCACCAACCACCGATCATGACTAACCACCACAACTCCACCATTCCACCCCCTCATCACCTCCCCTACCGCTCTCACAGTCCAAAAATCCAAATGCGTCGTCACCTCATCCAAAACTAATAATTGCGGTTCCTTCCACACTAATCTCGCTAATGCTAATCGTACAAGTTGACCACCTGACAGTTTGGAAATGGGAACATCGGAGACGATTCGACCTTGTAAGCCTAAGCCGCCGAGGATACTGCGGATTTGTTGCTCGTTGAGGAGATTGGATATATCGGCCGTCATGAGAGAGAGGGCTGTTAGGTCAGGAGTGCCGTGTGAGAGGATTTGGAGATCTTCGACGGAATGTTGGGAGTAATAGGCTAATCTTAATCGTGGATGTTTGGTTACGGTTCCTTTGGTGGGTTTTGCTGTTTCGGTTAGGAGGGAAAGGAGTGTGGATTTTCCACTTCCGTTTAATCCTACGATGCCGATTCGATCACCCATGTGGATTGTTAGATTAACATTCTCTAGAATGAACGGTGAGGCGGCCGCATTTGTTTTCGAAGACCCGGTAGCAGGATATCGAAATGAGATGTTCTCCAAAGAGATTAATGGTCCTGGAAATCGTAAATCAGGAGCCAGAGGAATTATCATGGAAATACCTTTCTCCTCAGGCGGAATCTCAATATCTGCTCTAGATTTTAAGTGATAGCCAGCTAGATCACGATTAAGTTTGAATCTTGTTCCTTTAGCACTAACTTCAATGCCCATCCTATTATCCAATTTCTTTTGTCGCGATTTAGCTTGGCGAAGTTTATTTTCATCGCCGCTTGCTTTTCCTTGTTTGATATTTTGTTGAATCGTTTGTTGGATGTGCGATTTTTGCTTTTCCTGCGCATCGCGCATACGGGTTAGGTAAAGGGCTTTTTCGCGAATAGTGGATTCATATGTGAACAGAGAACCGCGGAAGTAGGCGAGGGTTTGGGTTTGGAGGATGATAAGTTCTTGGGATGTGGCGGTGATGAAATCCCGATCGTGGGAGACAATTACGATGGTTGGAGGATTAGGGGTGGAATCTTTGAGCGTTTTGATATATTTTTGTAGCCAAATTATTCCGAGGAGATCGAGGAAGTTGGTGGGTTCATCGAGGATTAGGATATCAGTTGGTTGAAGAAGTATAGATGCGAGATTTGTGCGCATTCTCCATCCACCAGAGAGGGTATTGACTGGTTTATCGAGATTTGCTTTGGGAAATCCCAAACCAGCGAGTATATTTCGTGCTTTCGTCTCGATATCGGCAAGTCGAGTAGGTTCTAGCTGTAGTTGCAACTCTGCAAGAAGTTCTGCTGCTAGATCCGTTTCCTCCTTGATTGTCCTTTCATCTATCTCTTCGTTTTTCTGATTGATACTGATTTCGAATTAGAACTCATAATCTAACTCAAACTAGCAACACCTACCGTTCCTCGGAATCTGCAACTGTCTTCTCAAAGGCAATCAATGCTTTTCGTGCTGCCATACCACGTGTTCCACTCCTGAGCCTAGCATCCTTGTCTTTTTCGAATAGCTCTCTCTTCAACCTTTCATGCTGTACTTGCCGCATAGCTCGGATAGGTGTCAATGCATCTTCCTGGTTGTCTACAGCCTTGGACAGTACTGTGGTCTTTGTCAATAATTATCAATCAACCATTGAAGTGCTAAGACATACTATCAACCTCATGTTGAATTTCACTTCTTGAAGTAGCTCTGTCAATAACTTCTTCCAAAACTGACAGCTTACTTCCCTTTTTCTCGTCAGACCCAGCATCTCCGCTACTACCCTCTTCATCGCTCTCCTTTGAATCTGCATCTGTTTGTTGCAAGATGGAAATTCTGGTCTGTACAGGAATCCCTGGAATCAATTTCTCCGCAATGGCCTTCAACAAAGCTTGATATCATCAGTCCTCACTTTTTGACTTGGCACGGGATGGAGAGGACATACTCGATTTTCCCGTTCCATTTTTTCCAATCAGCGCGTAACATATTCCAGCCTTAAGTCTTAAACTCGCATTGGATAAAATTTCAAGACCCTCTGCTTTAGATTTTCCTTTTGGTTTCACAGCAGATTTAACCGATGATGTAACCGTGATATTTAATCCTTCAATATCGAGCTATGATATTTATCAGAGTTCTTTTCATAATGAAACGATGTTGAAGTATCGCATTGCGAAGAAGGGAATGGTGTACTTACCTCTTGGTAAACCGGATTCTCAATATGAAATCTTGTTTGTTTACACGAACACAAGATCGTGGTTGCTGATTCTCCTTGAGACGACATTTTTTTTTTTGCTCTGCTCCAATTGCACTCAAATATACAGAATGTCTAACAAACAGTATAAAAGATTGGAATGAACAGATGAAAGAAGCAAAAATAATAATTGAACGTAGTAGAGTAGTGAACCTGATTTCAATGGCAAGCAATTCAGGATTGAGGATATCGACATTAAATAATCAATACGCAGGAGAGGAGGTCTACTAGAAAAGTACCGAGAACCCCCTTGAGCTAATGATCAAGGGTCGCTTGCCGCTTTCCGAATCTCCACTCAACTCGTTCGGCCTGAGTCACATCTCCGAAGGCCAAGACGCAACGCAACACACCCAACACATGTGCAACTTCTCTTTTGTTTAATCTTGATGCGCATTCAAGCGAATTCAAGCTTTAATATGTTATGTAACCATGGTTGACTCATTATCTCGACGCCGTGTTTAAGTTTGTGCAATTGATGAGAAGTTGTCGAATATTTTGGTGGAGAGGAGAGTCTGGCAGGGTCGATATTCTCCCGATTGGTATCTCGAGTTTAGATCACGTGCCATCCAGCCACTCCTATGGCTGAGACGAGATACATCAATTCATATGGATGTCACAACACTTCGTTTGAACTTGACCTCCCAAGACGGACCCAGGGAAAGGGGGATTAATTGGATTAATTGGATTTCTCAACACCCAGCACTCGCTGCTATTCCCATGGTCATCACCTCAATTTGACACTATTGGATGATTTAAAACTTATCCTCTATCACACACAGAGGCAATAAATTGATTCAATACCAGAGGATCAGTGATAATAAGTACATATATTCTAATTTTACTATCCGTACTTCTACAAACAGTCTAAATTAATGACCGACTGATCTCTCCACCAACAAGTACGTGGCTATCTTGTCTTTTCGCCACCATTGAATCTCATGTACAGATGTAATGGAGAACCATTTTTTATGTCTCTATTCGACTCTCAAACTTTGTAATCTGGCTTCTGTTGCAATTACCTGGGAGTTGTTAGTAATCGTAACGTTGAAGGAACGTGAAAGTAACAGAAATGATAAACTTACATCAAGAGCTTGCTGAACCTCAAGAACCTTTCTAACCTCGCCCAACCAATCCTTACTTAAAGTCTTTGCCCACCCCTTTAATCCATTCATTTCCCTAGCTGCACCATCCAAATCACCCTCTTCAAGGAAAGTCTCCGTCCGAGTCAAGATACTCTCTACATCATCACCAGTTGCCAAACCCTTCTTCTTGAAAAGAAGCTTGCTCAATACGTAACTCGAAGCGTGACTGGCAACACCAGCCTCCTCAGGTAACAATGACGCTTTGCGAACTTCAGATGCAACACGACGGAAACGATCAATGAGCGCAGCTGAGCTCGGAACACCCTTTTGGTAAGCGACTGGATTGATGGATGCGATTGCAGCATTGACAACTGGGTCATCGGATGCAATCTCCTTCAGGGCAGCAAGTTCTCTTGTGAAAGGTCGTGGGATTTGAGACTTCTCAAGGTTAGCACGGACAGCTTCGACAGCAACATGAAGATGTTGAGTCTTGAGGTTTTGGTCCACGACGGTGTTGAAGTCACCAGTAAGCTTCTCGAGGTCGTTGACGGTGCTAGTTAGCTCGGAAAGCTTGCCAAGACGCCCTTCCCGTTCTTGCTCAACACGGTTCTTGACATCAGCCAAAAATGCACGTTTAAGTTCAAGAGCTTGTTCCGTCAAATTGTTCTGGAGTGTTTTCTCGTTCACCTCATTTGCGCGATCAAGCTCTGACTTGAGCTTTTGCTCGTAGTTTTCATGAATCCTCTTGCGTTCGGCTTCATATTCGGCTCTGAATTGAGCTTCTTGCTCTGCTTGCTGATTTTTGAAGTTTTGCATGAGTTGCATAGCAGCGCGATCAAATTCTGCATCGGAAGACTTGATCTTCTCGTCAGCTTGCTTCAATGCTGCATCCTTCATGTCCAGAATCTTGGCTCCAACTCTGTTCAATTCTGCCTTTGCCTTATCCATAGTAGACGTAAATCTAGCATTTGCATTGTCGGCATTGACAACCGCAATGATATCGTTCATAATCTTAACCAATTCCTGGACCACAGGCTCGTTTCCGTTGGGAATGTTAATGGGGTCAATTCGCTCAATTTTCTTGTATGCTCTGGATGGCTCATTGACTTCTGGATCCTTTTGAACATTGCTTGGCTTAGATTCTGGAGTTGCTGGTGGAGCTGGGGAATTCTTTACTGGAGAATTTCCGCTCTTTACTTGCTCGACTGCCTTGACTCTATCGGCTGGTTTTGAATCATGTGGTGTTTGAACAGCTTCCGATGGCTTTACCTTATCCTTCGCAGAACTAGTGTGTCGTCCCGTAGAGTCCTTGTTTTCATTCGCAACCCTCCATGATACACCACTTTGGCTTGGAATTTTAACCTGTTCACCAGTGTCTCTAGGAGGCCTTGAAGCTCGACTCGAGATCAAAGGGAAACGTTTTCGGAATTCCTGTTCCTCGAAGTAGAGAACTGCGTCCTCTCCAAAAGGTACATATTCTGTGAAGAAGTCATGGAAGTTATCATTGATCCGGGAATAGTAGACTCCTCCACCAAAGCCCAACGTAGTTAACAGAAATAAGGTTGTAAAGAATTTGCGGAAGAAGCGTCTCTTTGGCTTTGGCGCGGGAGGTGGTGGGCTCGAAGATGGAGGGGGAGGTCCTGGTGATTGAACTCCTGGAGGCGGGGGGGTAAGAGGGACATTTTCTGCAGGAATTGTTGAAGAGGTTGGAGTTGCTGGTGTTGGAGCAGCTGAATTTGGAGTTGCTACAGCTCCAGGTGGTAGTGGTTCAGATGTAGCCTCGCTGGCAGATCCAGGGAGTACTGGAGGCCTCGAATCTGATATACTTGATTTGTCGGCAAAGGTTCTCTAAAAACGTAACAGCTATCAGCATTCATTACACCAATTAATTGCCCGAAATAGGATATCTTGAAGCTCCATACCATAGTATCCGAAATCACCCGGGCATTCTGTGCTCTCCATTGACGTCCAGGACTGACAACGTTGGGTCTGAGACCCAACGCCCTCGAAGAACGAAGACCAGCTCGCAGCATGACAGGCTGCGTGGAGGGACGGGTTATATTTGAGGTTGGTGATGTTGAAAACTGCGCGTACTCTTCTGCCAATTATCCTGTTCGGGATAAAAACACTTTCAAGTTCCTAGGAAAAGCTCGGACCACTTCACTTTTTTGGCCGATGATGTAGAAAATCCCAGGGTTGAAATTCGATCAGCCAAATGTGCAAGGCTACAAAATATTGCCAGAATAATTTTCTATGATTTTTATATTCTCGAATTGGTTTGTTAGATCAAATTTAAAATAACATTCATTAATGAAATGATAATATAAACTCATGTATTAAAACAATCCCTATGATGATCATTCTCCACACAAGTCTTGTGCATTGTGAAAATCGTTCAATGCATGGTGGTTCTATTGCATATCATACATCCCAAATGCTGAAAGAACTAATTCATCAAAAAAAGGAAGAAACCCTCTCACGCCTGGCAAGCAGAAAATCTGCTGCAAATCAAACCCCTTCCTACGAGAAATCAGAGACATCAAGGTATTAAAACGATTGCTCTCGTAAAGTGTTGAAGTGGCCACATGTATGCTACACTCAACCAAGCAATCTTGTTCGAAAAGGAACATTATTTGTGGAAAGCCCTGAGAATAGCTCATTCTTGGTATCAAAGGTTCATTCCACCCAATATGTCCCATACTCCACCGCATATTCATCACAAAGTTCCTTTAACAAGCACAACCCGGGCCTGCTTGTGTTCCTGGCGCTTCGGGTCTGAGATCAACACCTGTTCCTCGTGGGCCACCAGCTCTTGGATTTCTTGGACCAGCTTGATCTAAAGGCAGTTTCTTTGCAATGGCCGTGAACAATTCTCTCACGTTTTCAGAGGTTTTGGCGGAAGTTTCGAAGAATAGTAATCCGGCTTCCCTCGCATAATTTGATGCATCTTCAGTGGTAATAGCACGTTTATCCGGTTGTTCCGTGACTAAATCGAGTTTGTTTCCGGCTAAAGCGATAATGATGTTCTCGTTTGCTTGTCGTTGAAGTTCTTTCACCCAAGATTTGGCCTTATCCAATGAGGACTACCAGACATGTTAGTAGGTAATACGTTATCCAGAAATAGAGGAGCTAACAGCTTGTGTAATATCATAAACAACAACAGCACAGTTGGCATTTCGGTAATACATTGGTGCCAGTGACTTGTATCTCTCCTGACCTGCAGTATCCCATATTTCGAATTTGACTGTAGTATTTTCATCGAGGGAAATCGTCTGAGTTAAGAAAGCTGCGCCGATGGTACTCTCGCGGTCTGTCGTCAGTCAGCGGTGTGCTCTTTGTCCATTCCCAATCCCTTGCTCGAATTGTGCCTAGGCCTCTGGTATAAGAACGAGATTTGTTGAAAGCCACTTACAATCATCGAATTGATCCTAGTGTCAAGGTCAGTTTGAAACAATCTTCTGGCTTGGAGTGGTGATAAATACCTTAACGAATCGTAAAACCAAGGAGCTCTATCCCAAATGTCAGTGTGTAGAATAAATATGCCCAGCAGACAGCAAGCTCATACCTTTCCGACGGCAGATTCCCCTATCGTACAATATTAGCAGGTAATTTAATGAAATAAATGAGGTACTCATGAGAACCACCTACCAAGTAGCACCAATTTAAACTGCGCAAATCGTGAGTTTCCGGCGCGGGAGCCTGGTGGACCTCGAGCAGCCATGTTGGAATGTGGATGAAATTTAATGAAGTGAAGTGTATTGTCGAACAAGTTGTATATGGTTGTATAGTACTTTGGCGAATTTGTTTGGTAGGAGGGAGGTGGAAATGTCGGAGGTAAAGTTAAATGTTATCTTGATCTGGAGAAGCGGCAACGGGCTCAACCTGGAAAGTGACGATGATCCTGAATCGCTTCGATTGCTGGGACAATCACGTGCAACATATTTAGATGTAATGTTTCTTTGAAGGTGAATGTATCAAAATTCATCATCAATGGCTAGATTCACACTTGGATTTGAACTGAATTACTACCACCACCACACCAGTTACCGAGTATTACTGACTGACTGCTGAATTACTATGATGAATCAATGACTTGGAATCTTTCCAAGCTAAGATTACAACAACACTCCTTCTCAAATAATATAAATTTAATTAATATGTTTTACTATTTCATATTACAAATCTCTTTTACAATGTCTTATCTTATACATACAGCAATTCTTCATAGAAGATATATGGAGTACATCGAACAAAGTCTCTGTTGAAACTTTTGATATTGATCTGGAACAAAGTCAAAGGAGACTAGCTAGTAATTATGGAGGGGTGCTTCTAGGGCATATCCACAAAGTTTAATTTTAGGTGTTGGCGAGGTTCCGAGCTTGGTATTAGAGAACAGCTATATCAAGCTTGGCTGGATCTATACATTTGGTTGTAGCTTGCTTGTACACGCTTGCAAAGGAGATTCTTTGATTTTTTGAGTCCTGGAGAGCTCGAGAATTGGAGCACTGGAAATCAGGAAAACTGTGAAACTACGATACATCCTATCCTGTCTGCGGGACAGATCACAAAATGGCTAGTTCTTTGCCCTTTAGGGATATCAATGTTCATGCCTCGACATCGCATTACGCATTTACATCACCATCTTCACCCTCAGCACCAACACTGGTAGTTGATCGACCAACAGGAGATATACGACTCAATGATGGACCACTTTTGGGAGGAAAACGTGTCTCCAGTATTGCTGGCATTTTGGGCATAATCAAACTAAGGCTGGGTATTTAACAACAGTACATTACTTGGGACTTTGGACTAACTTCTTCCTAGATAAGTACATTATTGTCATTACAAAGGCAGAGCCTATGGGAAGATTGAAGGGGCATATGGTATACAAAGTTATTGCAACCGAATTTCTACCTCTTCGAGAACGAGTACTTCGAGACCAAGATGAGGATACCTACCTTAGCCTCCTCAAGACTTTCATCAAGTCTGGACCAATGTACTTTTCCTATTCCACCGATATTACCAATACTTTCCAAAGGCAATCGCGAATCGATCCATCTGCCCCTCTTTGGAAAAGAGCCGATGATCGGTTTTTCTGGAATAAGTTTGTCCAATCAGATTTAATAGATTTCCGAACATCAGGGTCCAGACATCAACACGGACAGCAACCAGGGGTGGATCCATATATCTTACCAGTTATGTTTGGAATGTTCGAAATTGTTCAGACCCAAGTCAAGACCTCTCCATTAACATTTGTATTGATTACTCGAAGATCCAGGTATCGAGCGGGAACTAGATACTTCTCTCGGGGAGTGGATGAAGAAGGGCACGTTTCGAACTTTAATGAAACGGAACAAATCATCATCCTGAATGATAATACCAGTGGACTTGATGGTTTCGCTGGAGGCGCTGGAATGCAGAACGGCAAAGTTGGAGGGTCAGGCGGCAAGGAGGCGCAAATATTGTCATACGTACAAACCAGGGGAAGTGTTCCGGTATATTGGGCTGAAATAAACACTTTGCATTACACACCAAAACTTCAAATTCGAGGAGTAGAAACCGCTGTTCCTGCCGCCAGGGCACATTTTGACGAGCAAATCCGAATTTATGGAGACAATTACTTGGTAAATTTGGTGAACCAGAAGGGCCGAGAGCAACGGGTGAAAGAAGCCTATGAGCAGATGGTAAAGATTTTGGTTTCAGCACCAGCCGAAAGCAGACAAAGCGATCAAATCACAGATGAGAAATTCCGAGTGGTTGAACCCAGAGGAAAGAGACAGGAGATGGACAGACTACACTACATATACTTCGATTTCCACAACGAAACCAAAGGATTAAAATGGCACCGAGCACAACTACTGCTTGACCAACTTGGTGCTGCTCTTGAGGCGCAACAATATTTCCGTGGTGTTGACATGCCAGCTGATATTGATGGTCGTCTCGAGGTTCGCAATCACCAAACCAGCGTCGTCCGTACGAATTGCATGGATTGCCTCGACAGAACAAATGTTGTCCAAAGTATGCTTGGCCGCTGGACTCTTAATCGCCAATTAACAGATCTCGGTGTTCTCACCCGTGGGGAGAACTTCACGTTAGCTGACCCACAATTTGAAATCCTTTTCCGCAAACTTTGGGCGGACAACGCTGATGTTGTCTCAAAATCTTATTCTGGAACTGGTGCTCTCAAAACAGACTTCACGCGCACAGGTGTTCGAACTAAAGCCGGCGCTCTTCAAGATCTGCAAAATTCCATCACTCGATACGCGAGAAATAATTTCCTAGATGGACCCAAACAGGATTCATTCGATCTCTTCCTAGGCTATTATCTTCCCAGCAATGCAAACATTGGTTCTCATCTTATAACTGCTGATAGAAGACCATTAGTCATCCAAAGCATCCCTTATATCCTTGCCTTCAGTATCTTCTTTGTTCTTGTTGGCCTTTTCACTCCTCGTTTACCTAATGCCGCAGTATTGCCATTAAGAATATGGAATATTGTTTGGCTGGTGGTAGGAGCATGGTGTGCTAGTTTCGTCTTCCGCAATGGAATGCTATATGTATGTTTTTCTTTCCTCCTTCATTCCTCTCCTCTGCTATATATTACCTGCTGCCATCTTCGTACACCCATCACCTATATGTATTAATAAATCTTTCCACAGGTCAACTGGCCAAAACTCAACCCTCGTCCCTGGGCAACAGAAGGTTACAATGAAGCAATAAGCAACGTTACCAAAGACAAGGTAGTTGGAGGATTATTAACGACTCGACATGAGCGTGGATTAAGCACCGCACGATACGCGAATGCTGAGGAGGGAAAAAAGAGGATCGAGTAGATTTATTTTATTTTCATTTGTCTTTTTATTTGTTTCTCCAGAATCCGCAAAATGGCATGCAAGGTCTTTATTTTACCAATTTGAGATTTCGATTACCTCTGCGAGTGATTTTAATTTTTTTCTGTCTTTTCTTTTCGCTTGTGAAGTGTTGATGGCTGGGGAGCGGAGTGGGGAGTGATTACAATGCATGGGATATATTTGATAGCGGGAGCGTGCATGGTTATAGATTTGAAAAGATGTAGAATTTGAGAATTCTGTCATTTGAGAATATAGGTTAAAGGGAGGAAGGGAGAGGGAGAAGCAGGGATGGACTAGGCTAGGTAGGGTTGAATGGATGGAAAGATGGAAAGGATGGAACACAGGGAAAGGAAGGGAAAGGGATATAAGTAAACTTGAACTGGAGCACATACATTATATTGTATAAGAATTTCTATTGATACCATTGATACTGTGTTGATGAATATTCGTTTGTTTGTTTATTACATTCTGTTCTGTTCTTGCTGCAAAGGAGATGGAGTAGAGGTACAAGGAAGAGTGGTGATGAATGCCCAGTCGACAAACCTAGAGGTTCCCTTCCTTCAGAAATTTGAGTTTATCTAGGTAGATAAATAAGTGTGTAAGTGAGCTGGATAGGATAGCGAGATATACAAAAAAAAGTAGGGGAATAATTTCCTTGGATTGGATAGATACACTTATGGATATTGAATGTTAGATATGGGTGAAAACTGGATAATATGTATGGTTTGCGTAATATCTGTTATCTACTTGAATATAGGCTTGGAGTTGGGCTTGGATTTGGGGTAATGGTCTCTGTCCTGGATTAATGGATTACTGGATTTTATTTTAGGTTTAGTAGTGTTGAGATGATGGGATTTGAAATATTAAGATATAGTTGTAATTAAAGTTGATGGATTTATAAGGATTATTAAAGAAATAAAGGTAAATAAAGATAAATAAAGATAGATAAAGATAAATAGAGGTAGATAAAGATAGGTAGAGGTAGATAGGGATAAATTTAGTATTTTATTTTTTAATTATTTTTAATCTTAAGTCTAGTACCCTACTTTTGGGCCACCTGTTACGGCAGGTAACAATTAGGTCATAGGATTAGCAATAACACGTAATGCAAGGACTCGAAGAGCTCGAAGGCTTGGCCTCTCGAGCCCTTCGATCGAGGAGAGCGAAAGGACCGAAGCTCGATCCCCTCGCTCCCTTCGAGCCACGAAGCATGAAGGACTATATAATCAAGATGGATTTCCTTTGTATAGAGCTTTGTGCTCAAGATCAAGATCAATCATTTAGTATACTCTACTATTAGTTACGAATTGCATTGTTGTTACGTGACGGTTGTTACCCCACTAGTGGCTCACGTGCACTAGCCCTGTATATAAAGACCTTCTTACTTAGAATCTTCTTAGTTCTTTAGTTTTAGATTCTAAGTAATTGAATTGACTCCGTTTACGACTTTTCCGTCACAGTAGCTATCCCCATCTACAGGTGCTCTTCACCTGTAGATTCTAAGTTAAATACAATTGCTGGTCTATAAACACCCTTTTGTTACGAGGTTTGCCGTCTAGATCACGTGGAAGTGCTCTAGGCTCTCGAGGTGGTTTATAACTAGGCGTCAAGCAGGGACTTAAAGTAATGACAATAATGCAATTCGTAACTAATAGTAGAGTATACTAAATGATTGATCTTGAGCACGAAGCTCTATACAAAGGAAATCCATCTTGATTATATAGTCCTTCATGCTTCTATGATCACTACTGATCATTTATGATCACGTGCCTTGGTAGTTGTGTAGCCCGTCGTAACATCTACGAGCCACTACTTCCATATAATAAGTTTTATCACCCTTATTTGCGTGACCTCCCCACAGTCTCGACAACTTCATAACTGTAAGAGGAACAGAAAGCTTTGATTCCCTGATTTCCTCTGTTCATTACATTTCAATCCTACTCAATATGTCGTTCCGTTCTCGTGGTCGTTATTCCAACGACAAGAGTGGCTACTATCAACACATTCAGAATAGCTCTGATCATGGCCGCGCCGAGTCTTCTAAAGACGAATACTCCTCAAGCGATGAAGAACCTAAATTCGAATGCGAAGGTTGTGACACCTGGTTTTTGTCTATCGAGCTTCGAGAAAATCATTGAATCACCCAATACGATCATCGTTATTGCAGACCATGCAAAAAAATGTTACAAAATGAAAACAGCCTGATGCAGGTAAGTCATTACTATGAACGCCAGATGTGTTTCAAAAATTTGGCATCCTGTGCTACTTAGTATGAAAATAATATCTGACTTTCTCAGCATCAACATTCCAAAAGGCACCAGGGACCCGCCACAGAATGCCATTTCTGTCCCACTCACTACCCAACCGCCTCTGCCCTATTCACCCACTTGGAATCTGGTACTTGCTCTTCTGGTATAAATCGCCAAATAATTAGTACTCAAATGTGTCGTCTAGACACTAACCACTTAATCACTCGTCAAATCAAGCATCATTCCTCCTCTCCCACTAGCTTCGCCAGTGAAAGTTCCCGGTGGGTTGCATTATGAATGCCCCGTATGCTCTTTTGATACCCTGCCAGAATTGAATGGTCATTTGAATAGCCCGGTGCATGAGAAGAATATGTATAGATGTCCGGGTCCGGGATGTGCGAGCGAGTTTAATTACAGCATGTTGAGAGTGAGAGTTGTGGGTTTATAAATTTTCGGATGTGCAGAATATTGGGCGAGGTGTGGTTGATATGCTACAGGTAATAGGGCAATTATTTAATTCCGAAATGAACTGTAGTAATTCTGAAATGGATTAATTCATTAATTATTAATATTTTAAATTTTTTATTAAGAAACTTTATTTTAGAATAAGCTAGTTTATTGCTTGTTGTATTTTGTTTAATCAAAATTGAAATTATAATACTAAATACAAAATAAAGATTATATTTTTATATTATTATTTTTAAAAATATATATAATCATTTCAATTCTGAGAATTAAAATTCAAAAAATTTGAAAACCATTTTATTTATCTTTTATTCTATTTTAAGCAAAAAAAATAAATTTCTTTCAATAGTTATATTATAATTTATAGATTTGTATAAATTTTATAAATTCAAAAGTATAAAAAATAATTTTTAATCAGTCTCTGTACAAGATCATCGTTATATTACATGAATACACTATTCAATTTTGAATTATATAAAATTTCTAAAGGGTTTTTTTATCCTACATCCTTTTGATATAGAATAGAAGTGATAATGAGGTACCTAGAAAGGGCAGATTTGGCTAGCAGGAGGAGTTTATAATAAAGGAGCTAAGAAAAGAGGGCTAATTCGATCGAAACAACTTAGACGCCGATGACTGAAAAGACTAGAAAAACCTTTATCTCAAGTTCCGGCTACATATGATGTTTAAATTTTCTTTTATTAATAAAAATCTATGAAAATTCATCATACATGACTCACAAATACGAACTAGGGAGTACTTTAGGAAAAGTAAAAGCCAAGCGGAAGGAACCAAAACTAAGTTCGACCCACACATCATGGTAATTCCTCCAAGAGCATACAGAAGTTTTCCTAGTACGTGGGAGAATCGTCAGTCAAAAAGAAGGGGAAAAAAAAAAAAGTAGTAGTTTTCATGCCCCGCCAATCTGCCGTTAATATCACATCAAGGGAATGTAAGCTTACCGTTTGTTTGTTCAGATTCTCCTTGGATGTTGTCACATCTGAGATGAACTTTAAATTATAAATTATGAATTATATATTATATTATCTTCTGTGGTATGATTTGCTTTACGCTTTTTGTTAAGATTCTTCTTAGATGTCATCACATCTGAAATGAACCTTAGATTGTACTGTTCTTCTGGTATAAATGCTTTTCGCTTTTTTGAGCCGACTTCGTTGACTCGCGGTTATGGTGGATGATCTTTGCAGACCATGTGGATCCTTTGCACTTTTCTTTTTGGCCATCTGGCCTCCTGTATCGACATTATGCCAAATGTAGCCTTCGTGTGTTGTTTCTAGACCTATCGGCTTCATAGGATGGACGGCGATTCAAAGCTAGTTGATCAACTGTCGAATTCCCCAACTTTTCTTTTCGTATGACTTATAAGCCAAGATCTATGGATCAAATTGTCTATGAGATGTTAGCGAGTACTTCTTAGAAACCGAGTCAAACGATCAGACCGATAGGCCATGAGAACTATTTTTATTGTTACCAGCTTGAATCCTAGTTGAAAATATATAACTCGCCGTCTGTGAGGTTGAAGTGAACAGAAAGACTAGTATTGAACAGATAATGCCATCTTTGGGTGAAAATAGATGAACGTAGATCTGGTATGTCACAGCGGAGTACGGCCTCAAGATTTTGATAGAAGTTTCGGGACACTGTAAATCATCTCGATTTGAAGTAAAATCGACAAGCTCCTCATCTCCTTACGACTTCTCGTTTCAACATTCCATCGATAGGGACTTCACGATTGACTTGACCAACTCTTACGTCTCAACCAATCGGTAATACGACGAAGTTAGCCCGGAGAATGAAAGGCCTAGTCAAACAGAGCTCTCATAGATTAGTTAGAGCCAGTTATTTGCATCGATATCGAATTAGTCGTAGGCAAAGAGTGCTTTTATGAAAGTTTATGGCGAGCTGGGAGTTAACTTGTTACTTCAACCAATTTGTTATGCCTCCATTACTTCCGGCGAGAAAGTGAGATCAAACAGCAAGAGCCAGTTTCATTTTGCTTCATGATGTTGAAAGTACCGGCGGAGTACGGGTTCATGGTATCTAGTGACTAAGGCGAACTCGTTGCCTAGCATTGGGATACACCCCCTTATGAGTGAAAGACGCGATTTGTCGTTTAAATCATAACATGCACCTGTAAATTCGTTTATTCAAATGCAACGGCTTTGAAACTAAGAAATTCGAGTCTACTTAATAGATGAAGGAACTTAACCGAGGCAGTGCATCCGGTCCTTGTGTAGACAAAACCCCCTTTTCAATGCTTGAGGAATCATGAATCTTCTCGAGTGGTAAACCTCAGAAAAGGAATCCAGTATTGAACTGCGTCCTCTAATCCTTATCTTCGAAAACCTTGGAATCACGCGTGTTCACTATCATGTCTAACCTCCTTTCTCGTAGTAAAAAAAAAGAGCAAGAAAATAGTTATTTTCATGGACTCGCAGATCTACTTTCGTTATAATATGGTGGATGGAAAGGCTACTAACTTTTGACGCCCTATTTGCTTCTTTTTCAGTATCTTATTAGAGTATGAACGCAGCTGGTGGTTTTGCTCTGGATTGGGTAGGTGTTGCCGATCCGAGGTATCTGATGTGACGTGTTACGAGATATTGCTGGCATGGTACGCCCTTGCCGTTTATTGTTATTAATTTCACTGATTTTTGATGATTTTTGTGTTTTGAGTGTAATGAAATGCCTCCTAGTGAAACAGCGCGGGTGCGGTTGTTTCGGAGTCGATGCATACTCCTGCAGTGGAGGCAGTTCTGCTGGAACGTTAAAAATTTTAGCGGAGTTTTCCTATGAGAGCCTGAGCCGAGCAATGAGACTTTTTGTCCATGAAAACCTTTTTAAATTGATAGAGTAAAAGAGGAGTTCCTAACAGATCGGTGAAATATATTGTAGTTCTCACAGGCGTCGCTAATCTGCCATAGAAATTGGAATTTTACCTCCCACATAATAACAACACACTCATTGGCCACGCTCAATCCTTCAAGTGTGAAGATTAGCTAAGAACCGATTATATCTATCTACCACGTGTGTTACTGTAGTATTATGTATTTGTTTATGTTGCATTTTGATTTAGGTGCATTGCCGCTGTCCCTCGACTTCACAACATCCACATTGTGCTTCGGATTTTTTGTTTTGTTTTGGTTTCGACTTCAGTCGGGTGTTAATTTTCTTATTTTTTCATTTTTTGCATAGGGGAATGCCGCGAGAAACATACAGACGATTTCATTCAAGTAAATGTGTTTGTAAGACTGATATCTATTCAATTCTTCGCATATTGGGACTGGACTAGTAGCTTGTAAGAGTTTGTGGCAAAAGGCAAAGAAAGTCTGGTTGAAATATAAGAATATTAGCAAGATATTCGCGAATAGGGCATAATTTGGTCAGGCGTTAATAACTTTTCCTTTGCATTTTTAATTGCGGGAATCTAAATCAAAGCATACTGAGTGTCTTTTAGAAGAGCTACGGTGAAATATGGGAGTGGTTATTTTCCTGTGAATTTTGACATCTCTTTCCCATAGAGCTTCACTACTTTAAACTCTATCCTGTCACCTTTCAGCATTGTGTCTTTGTATAGACTCATATGAAAGATATTTTACTTATATCAATGAATGTGGGAACCATCTCAGGTTCATAGGAGAACGACATTAAGCCACCTGACAAGATAAAAGGATGATGGCTGATGTATTAAGCTTCAGAACCTTTAAGTTTCTATTATAATTAAAATGCTTTCCATAATGATGTGCTTGTGGAATGTAGCAAATGTTAGACTGCCATGGCAATAAATTGGTCGAGAACTGGCAACTCTATTATTGCCTCTTCCATCCACTATAGTATCTTAATCTAAGCCCAAGCAATAAGAAGGTTTTTTCTCCAAACCTGATGAAAGTCTAATACGGAAGGATCCAATCACCTGCCCAGCCAAATCAAGTATATTACAAAACAAAAACAAGGATATGTATTTCATTAGACATGAGATCCACATTACTACATGCTAAAATCTCAGAAATTCTATGAAAGCTAGCAAAGTGTACCAATGAAGATGTACCTTTTAGATTCCAACCATGACTTGCGTCTTTTCTTTAAGCCTCACATATATACCATGCTAGCTAATTTACTTTTGAACTAAAACCATCACACAACTCCAAGGATGCATAAAAAATATATGGAGTACAAAGTCAAAACCAAAGTGAAACAGCAATGAGCACAACACAGCAATCATTGCACAACATGACCAAGGCTCTAATAGATACACTTATATACAACATGTGACACCGTATCTATGTTCAAGTATCCACAAGATGTCCCATGGTACCATGACCCCGGAAAATGCGGGGTGATTCAGAAGCACGTAAAGTGGCTTCTTCGGCACCAAGGGCCGTAAAGCCTAGCAGCTAAGGTACATCCCCCAAGTACCTTTAAAGAACCCGTACGCACCACCAGAAAGCTTCTTAGACTGCGGCCAAGCCCCAATTTCATGAATATCGTGGCTTATCCCCAGGCTTGACTGGTCGAAAAGAATACCCTATCTTTTCCAAAATCTGGACATTCGGCCCTTTTGGCTCTTGCCACTTACAGTTCCTTCAGGCTTCTAATCATGTGCCAATTCTTGTCACTTTTTGCAGATTCATTTCTGACAGTTTGTGAGATTCTGTAGGATCAACAATCAGCCGCCAAGGTAGCTGCGTCTTCGCATCTCGGCTTCCCTGATTATTTCGGCAGAAAGACTTAAACTGGGAGCTAGATGGGCGTATCTTTCGATTTCCATGACTACGTCGTTTATGATGCCATCGATTGTGTCGTGGATGACGAGGGAGTTGATTATGGCGGATAGTGAGGGGGACATGGTGGCGCCCATCACGAGAAGGGTTTGAGAAACGATGCTGAGAGCTCCTTGCCAGAGATAGGGCATGTGACCTGCATGACTGGAAGTGAGTTAGTCAGGTGATTGTCGTAAGGAAGCGGAAAGTGTAGACTTACTGTGCGCTGATATGCTCTAGTTGTCGAATTGAAGCTTCAAGACATTTCCGACAGTTTTCTCGAACTGACGGATCCATAGCTGCCTGCTCATTATCCAACACAGCAAGAATATATGGTCTGAAGATGATCGTTCGACAAGCAAAATATCGCAGTCTCAACACAGTCTGGACAGGATCCGCTAGAGGTGTTCGAGTATATGGGAATTGTAAAGGAATAGGTAGACTTTCGTACCATTGTGACAATTGGAAATCCAATTCCGCCACGACAGGCTCCAAACTAGATGTCGATGACATCGAATCTTTCGAGTAGATTAGTTGGCTGACGCGATTCAGTAGTCGGCGAAGTGCGATTTCGGCCAAAAAGTACCAGAGCTCATCTCGACCCACTCCATCCTCATCTTCCTGCTCAAAGCCTCCGGGTAGTCCAACCACTTCTTCATAATGGACGATACCGGAGTGCGGTAAATCTAGTTCAGCCAAAAGGTCGCTCTCGAACAACAATGAATTCCAATACACTCGTTCGCATAGCTCCCTTTGATTCGGTGGTATCCTTCCAGGCGCACTCAAAAGAAGTTGAAGCTTCGTGCTCGTACTACTCAATAGTGTCCACGCTTCCAATGGTCTCACGAGATAAAACAAATACGCAGAAGCAAGAACTGTACACTGAGCAGATAAAACCGAGCTCCTCGTCATCAAACTTGGAAGGAGTGCCCAAGCGGCTGCAAAATATGGAAGCCCAGGAGGATCCTCAGAACTAACCGCTCTAGATATGCTTCCACTGCAACTAGCTTGACCCAGCGCCAGCACTAAAAGAACAATGCAGCTTTCCGGACCATCGCGGAATCCATTTGATAAAGCAACTCGGTAGTGATTATTCCAGTTGTATGGGTTAACACATGCATACCATACATTTACCTTTGCGAAAAATGCTTCGATATATGCGGAGGTATTGGAGAGATCTAAACAAGGCGTTTTTGACAGAACAAGCGGCTCTCTAGCCATTTCGAGCTGAAGAAGGATTTGAGGATCGTAAGGTCGTGATACTAAATCGCGGATCAACGGCCATTGAAGTAGGTGTAATGCAGCATTTGTGTGAATTTTTGGCATCGTGGAAATATTTGTGGGATTGGTCCAAGTGCCAAGACCTGTGGCAGGAAGTAGAGAGACAAAGCCTCCGTTGGCTGCAATCATCAAATCATCACCACTGGTCGTGGTTCCTCCATTGATAGACGGCGAGCCGGTGGAAAGAGCAAGATTGGATGTTTGCCCGATTAATGTCGATTGAAGTAATCCTTCGATTCGAGTAAGATGCTCTAATATGAGTTTATCCCCAGCATCAAGTTTGATACCTGGCTCACGATAAATACATTCGGCACCTAATTCTGTGCAAAGTTTGCACTTGGGCTTGGTTCCGTCACATCGTGATTTCCGAGATCGACAAATCTCGCACTGTTATTTTTCGTCGGTATTATTGTCATTAACCCCAAAGACCGAAGTACTTACGGCGATGGTGGCTCTCCGTCTGGGGTAGTCAATTCCAGCATCAGTGCTTCTTCTCTTCAATGGATTGATCCCGTCATCGCTATGCCCATTCTGATTATGATTTCCATTCTGATTATGGTTCTGATTTTGGTTTTGTCTGTTTTGTAGCCCATTTATGATTGATTCTCTGTCTGCGGAAGATTGTGACAAATTCCTGGCTTTCTGAGCGGATCCCAAAATACCTTCCCGGGAAAAAGTGGCGATGCGACGAGTACCCGGTGACTTTAATGATGTTGGAGATGTTAAATCACCATTTGATACGAGAGAAATTTGAGGTGAGGGAATATTGATGTCGAATTTGTCTCGAGACATTGAGAAATGTCTACCACTTCCGGTGGTAGAGTTGGGTGAATCTTGGGATGAGACGGACATTGCGCCGACGTAAGGCATGTAAGCTGTTAGTTCATGAAATATTCTGTGGCTTAGGATACGTTAAGTGAAAATGAAGAACGATTCTTGAAGGTAGTATTCATTCATATAATAATATAATATTAGAGATTCCCAAAAAAGTTTCTGTGTGCAACCCCAACTCGGCTGTTTGAGAGCGAATGTTGAGGTTTTTGTTGGCTTGGGCTTATAATATCATTCTTACAAAGATATTATTGATTACATGCACCGTGAACACGCTTATGAAATACTACACGAGCGTGAACGGCGTCCTGCAATGTCCGAAAGAGGGGGATGCACAGCATGGATGGGGATATCAGACGATGTGTTTAGGGTTGTCTGCGATCTTTACAGCTTGCCATGGAGTAGACCCTTGTGAATGTTTATGCAGGTTCAAAATTTTAAAAAAAATCTGGGGTTCGGTAGAAAGCAACCGGCCGAAGGGAGAAGGAATCGATCCAAGAAGTTTTGATGAACATCTTAATGCTGGCTACTGGATAGGAGTAAATTGACCTGGCAAGATATTCAAGTGGTAAGATAGATTCCTTGTAATAGAGATCACATTGCAGAGTGATTCTGCGTTGCATGAAGAAATATGGAGAAATGACCATAGTGGTATAGGATCTGATTGCTGTAAGGGGAGAATGAAAGGGGAATAGAATGCCCAAAGTTTGGTTCTATATTCGATGGTGGCTTTTAGTTCCAAATGTTGATTGTGCCGTGCATGATAGTTCGTTCGGTTTCGCTGTTGTAGTCAACAAAATAATGGTAAATTTTGTGGGTAACGTGTTACGGAGATTTAAGCTCCGTGAACCAGAAGCAGGAGAAAAATGAAGGTCTTGATTGGATTTGCAAGACGATGTGCATAAGCGAAACTGACAGGGGGGTTTCTCTATTTGTACCTGACTCACAACTTTGCAAGGTTCACTCGGGGCCTTATGTAAGCAAATAATTGATTTCAACCTATTGAGAGCTTGAGATAGCAACAAGACAATTTCCTTTACGCAGCAGCCAATATAAATTCACACACACACACACTCAAAAACACACACAGACTCAGAGAGAGATGAAAATACACATGGCACCACCAATCATTCCTTCTTTGCATTCTGCCTATAATCAAGATCATCTCCGAAGTCTGGGGAAATTATGACGTGAAGCGGGGTCAAATCGCCGTGACTTTCTACAGAAGGAAGTTGTACTGTAGGAACATCTTCATCGCCGCGATAACCATACCATAGTTCGCATTGGGAACATTTTGACTAGTGAACTATATCGAGATATGTCTTGAGCTGAGATATGAGATGCATACATGTGGCATTATGGAGATCTCAAGCTGGCAATAATAGATTTCAAGAACCGGCAAGATATACGCGGAACTCTATCTTTGGGGACCTTGACCTCAATGCATTAAGTCCCCACTTGGTATTTTTCTCATTGATGTCCTCTTTCATGTTACTAGGAGAATGTAAATCCCCAGTTACCTCGGTATTATTGTTGACTCTTCAACTGTCCTAAAAATATCAAATAAAGCCCGAATTTCTTAGATGTCTTATGGAGATCGTCATAGCATTTCGATTAATATCTTCCGGTAGGTATATTGCCAAAATGTGTAAAGTATCAACGAAAGTACACTCGTTGCACGAGCTTTCAAGAGACCCAATATAATTGGATTGCACTAACATAGGTCTCAGGGATTAGTATCATTCACGAGTATTTTCGTACCGGAAAAATCTCACATGGAGACCCACCCATTGTTGAAGAAATACCCCCGCTCGCATAGTGCCGAGATATGCAGTACACCCTTCACAGGTCCCCAATAATCCTGGTGGCGCTTGCCACAAAATAAACTATGGGTTCGTCGAAGAACATGTGGTCGGCTTTCCCGATGTAGCATTGGATGTCGGTTATTGAATATACTTGGGACACTCTCGGAAAGGTTCGGTACTAGGTACAAACATGTGTACCCACCTACTCAAGAACGGGCTTAAACTTCATATCGTCAGACACGATCAATTTCAGAGCGCCAAAATAGAAGGCTATCTACGCAATCACAGTCCTAGGATGGAGAGGTGTGCCTCGACCTTGGTGGAATTTATCGTGGTCAACCACGCCACTTGGGATATTCAAAAATTTTATCATGGCGGAGATTGCTCTTCCTGAAATATGCAGAATCTTTATGATATTGGGCTGCCATATGACCAAGCTCTTGTATGCCTGACGAATTCAATGCGGAAACACAGTCAGCATGATGCCATGGTAAGCCGCCCCTGAGATTTCATCTAAACATGAAATTTGAGATCGATCCAAAAATGATTTGCACGCCACTACGGTGGATAGAGGGCATATCAATGTTGGTTGTCTAGACAGCAGCCCTACGAATTGAGACGTTCAATCCTTCAGATGAAGATGATAGAATTAAGCTCGCCTTTGGCTTTCATCGAGTCTTTTACATGACTTCACTTCAAATTCAAAATAAATCACGTGCATAAGAGAGCCATCTGCAGACTGAGCCGATATTTGTTGTACACTATCGATGGAAAATTTTAGCTCTTCTAGGTTTCGGCTTTGGAAACCCAGTGATGGAAGTTTTGGCATCAAATTAGTCACAATAGTGACTGGCACTGGCACAACATGAAGCAAGTCTAGTAGAAGTGGAGTACGCACACGTATTATGATTTATTTCTTCATTTTATTTTATCATTGTAGTATACGTACTTCCTGTCTTTACACTAGCTATAGTGGGCATTCGTGTCTGCAAGGCTTTCACAAACAGAACAATATCAAAATGCCGCACGAGCTGGTTCAAGCTATACCAGAAATGCACGGTAACGGCGGAGTGTCTTAGCAATATGCTTTGCTACCAGCACTGAACTGGTTCTAGCCCGTCAATATGCTCTCGGCATACATCGGATTTTCTTAACTGCGAGTTCGCATTCGGCTCGCACCCAAAGACCTTGTATCGTTTTCACCGGCTGTGATATTAGTGTCTTTTAGCTTCAGGCAACTCTAAACTAATGCGAACCATCTATAGTGAGCTGCCGAGCTAGAATTCACAGCCGAGTGTTATGCGGACGTTCTGACAGGAAGAGGGGGTGGCGCACCGCACGATCCTCATCATTCTAACAATCGCCGCCAAGAGGAGAACAAATACTGAGATGCAAGAGGTGTTAGTGAAGCCGAACTGCATCACAGGGCTACATCCTATTGGACTGGCGGGCATCGATATTGGGGGCAATACATAAACTTGGAAGATCTGGGCAAATGGGGCAATATACATAAGTTCGTCCTCTTAGCACCATAACGTTCTTACACTCAGCTTCATTAGGTTATTTGGCCAAGAATCAATGCGGCTTCTGCGAAGGCTAAAGGTGACGCCTCATATATTGTGGCTTGATATTCGAAACACGGAAACATTGTTGGCGAATCGGCATATGGAATGTAAGTACAACCATTTGGCTAAATAGATCTTTAGCAGATCCCCAGGTTTCGGCAGTGATAACGAGCATCATATAGGGCTCATAAGACTGGGATATTCCCTGTAAGCAATAGTAATGACATGAGGAAAGAAGGAAGTCAAATTTCTCACTGAGCCCATCTAGGCCATACGAGACGCCTCGAGAAGCACTCACATTTGCTCAACTTTACCCTTTCTACAATTAGGAAGTCATGGGAATATTTCAGATCTTCACAATCAGCGGCGGGTAACTGAAGTAGGAGATGCACTGCAGAAGAAAAGATAATACTTGGCAGGGTTCGAATTTATCAAGCTGCAAGAAACGAGATTCAGAGGCAAAAACTAACTGCAAATTCAATGCCAACTAATGAAACAATAGAAAATTCAGGCCCTGTAGATCCATACGATCTTGGGAAAATAAATACGGTCGAGAATGTCAAGAGTTTCTTCAAAAAGATTGAACTTCTCATCCCGCAAACTTTCCGCTCGGAAGCTACTTTAGTAAACAGCAAACTCCTTACTCATGCGGCCAGAAATTATGCAACTCCAAAACTCTATGCACGTGCCAGAAGATGGTAAACCTCGAGAGGAATACCCTTATTTCTCTAGCGTCTGGGGTTTATACTTTTTGGCAGCAGCACGAGCGAAAAACGAAATAGACCGAACAGAAATTACTTAAGATGGTTTTCTACGCGTGAAGCGATGTTTTCTTCACCTAGCATACTAGATATTATCAAAATACACCAAAGTCATGACAAGAATCACGAGCCATATACTACTAAGTAACGCGTTGTCACGACCATGATCCCTATCACATAGTACTAATAATTTCCAAACTTTGGTAAAAGTTCTTACTGGATGAAAACAGATCTTATGATACGATCATAAATTACCTCTTTTGGCACTTAATGACTCGTAAAAACCGAAAAGTCCCGCAAAAATGGGGTGCGGAGAATGTCAAATATGTAACTAGCATTGGTGGAATGGGGCCACCTGTAATTTATCGTATTTTCGGTCAACCGATTGATGGAGCGGACGAACTATGACAGGTTCGAATAATGATACGAATAAAAATCGTGAGGAAAATAAGCAAATAAGCAGATACGCGAGCAATCAACGGCGAACGAAAATATGGAGCTTAATAAATGAGGTTATTTTCGGGAAACATGTAGGCCTACAAGTGGATATTTGAAGACATCTAATCATGACAACCAACCACCCGATAAATCCCTTGACTATTCTTACAGACGGATATGAAAAAGAAAGAATGACGAAATACCGTTCCAGCAAAAGAACTAACGACGTGGTGTATATGCACCCCACATTTCCCCGAAACACACAGGTCTTACATTATCTGCCCGCCAAGTTACACTGTACTCTGTACAACAAAGGATACATCGGCAAGTTACACGAAAACGATTTTTTAATGAGACATTTCTGGGGTGCATGTTTTGTCATACAACCATTTACTTTCTCGGAATTCTCGTCTGCAAGCTCGAGCTTGGTAAACGTGGTAATGGTGTTCTGTATCAAGCTTGCATGTACATGTATACCCCAGGCCCATCCTAGTCGGTCGTCCTATCTTGGTGATTGCCGGCCGGGGTACGTACCTATCTAAGTATTCTTCACGCCATGTGCGGGTACATGACGGAAATAGCATAGGGGGTTGTGGGAGGTGAAGTGGACGAAAGTTTAAGGTTAAGGTTCACTTGAATAGCCTGAAAAGTTTATCCGGACGACTTGCATCGTTTCTTATTTTCTGTCTAATTTTTCCTTACTAGTTTTTCCTTAGGAGATTTCTTTGGATGTAGCGCCATGGCAACGCCCGTGGCGTGAGGGGACACGTGAGGGTTACTGGATGGATTAGAGGTACCCACTTCATGGAGAATTCGCGGTGATGGAGTGACTCGGGCCTCGGGGCTTGGCATCGTAATTTTAGGGGATATCTCCGAATCCTTGAGTGGATGTAGGATGGATTGCATGTACCTTGGTATCTTACATCGCTGTGAAGAAGATGCATTAGAGGATGGAGTGCATATTTCTTCAGTCACACGATGTCGTGGTGTTTGTCAGGGCCACGGGGGACGTTGATTTGTGGCAGTTACGCCGGCTGATTGTTGATGGGTGTCTAGCTGGTTTGTCCAGTGTTCATTAATCTGCGGTTGTCTCGGAATATCTTCTCTGGGTAGTCCTCGGGTGATTTTGTGTGATTCTTCATCTGGAAAGTTGTCGTTGTAAAGGAAGACGAGCCAGAGGATGAGCAGGACTCTTGCATTCTGTGTGGAAGAAAATCAGAGATCAACAGAATAGTGAAGTCGCTATGCCTATCAGTGGCAAGTGATTGAAGATATCAGGGTGGCGATCAGTACCTGTGCACTGGGAGATACCCGTTGACAGTTCAGTAGAGGTTGTGACAGATAACCGTCCAGGTATCGGATGGAACTTTCAAAGTGGGGCTAGTCACTTTAACATGGGCATTGCAAATCTTTTGATATTAGCATGCTATGATCATATCTTTGAGTTTTCCCATTCTGGAAACGATCAGAATAATTGTCTATCATGCATATCAAAGATGAGCTCTTTGCGCGAGTTGCTCATCCAGGTTCGGGATGATCAGGAATGTTCTAGAAAGGAGCGAAGAATATTAGACAATATGATATATCTCGAGCTGAGTACCGCGGAGTGTAGGATCCCGAAAGTAGGAATATCTGCCTGCGAGTTTTGCGTGTGGTCAAGTGACAAGGAGATCTGCGGTTGAGCAATGCTCTTCTCGTCACAAACTTAGCTTTTCCATCTCGGCTATGATCAAACAGTTAGAGAGTCTCCCAAATATCGTGCCAAGAGATAATTATAGAGTAGTTCACGTTAGCAATGATATCTTTAAGATGATCGGTAGTTTTTGATGAAATATATTGCGGTTAAATCATTCCTGCTGCTGTAGCAGTAGCGCCACACCTAGACCTGAAATGCCATTTTGATGCCCAAGTCAGTCATATTGAAATGCACTATTTTATATGGTAACCCGAGGAATTGTTTGTTTGTCCGATTTTAGATCTAGATGGTAGTAGGTACTATGAGATACTGATAAAAAGTCGTCTTAAGAAGTGTTTTGGAGGGGGCAAAAGTCACGGAAGATTAGGTACATATATGAAATATCAAGCGTGCGTCTCTCCAAGGCCCTAAACATATCAAAGTCCTAGCTTGAGAATCATGGATGTTAAATAGTATGCAGGAAACTTGTAGATGAGCAACTGTAGTATTATTAGTACTCTCAAGCGACTGTTTCGGTAAGTGTCTCGATTTCTCTTGTCCTTAAATTACCCCGCGTAGATCACCGTTGATTGACTGAATCAAACGGAACGGCTTGTACCAGTAACTAATCCCAGAGGGTCCATCCTACTAGGATTCCTAGTAGCATGACAAATAGGATAGAGCTCAATGAGAATATCTATTTCTTGGCTCACGGTAAAAGAAGTGAATTCAGTCACCTCAACTTCCACTTGAAAGTAATATGATTCTCACACAGACTTCCCGCAATCGAGTTAAACACAAACTCTGTAGTCTCGAGGTCTTATAAACTACCTCTCGACGCTAACATATGAAAATAGAAGCTAACGGCATTTCAATTTTAGACGCTTGGTGCTGAATACTTCAAAATCTTTTCAGCCTAAATCTTCCAACACAACTCATCGAAGCGTCGAGAGCAACAAAAGATGACCAATAACCGCTCATTTACCCTTACTATTATCCGTCGAGCTGCCCTTATGCGCCAACAACTTTTTCGCGGGGAAGCGGGGAAGGATAAGCTCACCGGCTGCTTACTGCGTTCTAAGATTTCCTCTTATGCATCTTGGAGACCTGCATAACGCGCCAGTCCCAATGATACCATCTATGACCCTCAGATTCCCCCTTTTGTCAAGAAGCGACGTTGGGAAGATATATACAAGTTTGTAGTGGAGAAGCAATACAATGTGCAGCACGGATGAATGTGTTAGATACGGATAAAATGGTTGTGAAAAAAGAAGAGGTCCAGTATGAATAGTATGAATGTATGTATGGCAAACATGGGAGCTGGGAAGGATATTTCATGATCTTTCAACCGAGTTGTTTGAGTTGTCTTGTGTACTTGTGTTTCATTCTATTTCGGTAAGACTGACATCGCGAACACAAAGCAAAGTACCTCATGCACAGAATTAAGAAGTTTATAATCTTTCTGACAACGCTTCCAACATCTTTTAGGATTGATTTTGCGCTTCTGTCACATCACGTGATGGAATATATCATACGGAACACTCAATTCCTGTTCTTAGGATCTTGACCTTGTCTGATAATCTGTATCATGTCAATTTGTGTTTTTGGAACTTATGAAATAGCTTTTGGCTACTTACTATACAACTTGCATGTAATTTCATCCATCTACCATGTTTGATTTTCATCTCAGCATCTTTCACCATCTGCAGCTTCACAAATAAAATTTCATACCACACTAGAATTCATCTTGCTTGACATGAAATTCTTTGATATATCTGGCAGAATATTGATGCTCAAATGAGAAATAACAATCTTTGCTTGGAGTGCCTTCATTTCCTTTGAATCACAAACACTTTCTCGCAATTCAAAAGATGCGACTCAAATTCACCTTTCTTCACTTCATCTGATAGAAACCAAGAGGAAAGTTGTCAATGGAAGTTTCAAGCGTAAATTTAGACGAAATCTTGGACTTTTTTCATATTTCACTCCTCATTCTTCTTACACCATTCCGTGTTTTGACATCTTTCTCATGATATTCATGCCATTGAACACTCAAACGGATATTCTAAACTCGAAAGCGCCAATTCAACCACCAGAGTCACCAACGGCGCGCGCATACTAGTTAGCAAAGACATTTCTCAGTGTAAGAATGCTCCCCATTCTCAAGATGTTTGCTAATGTGCCGCAGTCAGCAGAAAGGACGCCGCATCTCGAGGTAAGGAAGACCAGCACAGCTCTAACGTGCCGATTCATCAACGAAACACCGAGACTATGATACGGAACAAAATCATGTGGGAGAAGAACATACTTCCTAAGGGTCGTATTGATTGGGTTATAGTTGGTTTTAATGCACCAGCATCGGTCGAGAAGAAGGCTGAGGCGCAGATTGACTTCGAGAAGACTGTTGAGAAGGATAGTAAAGATTCTGAAGATAATATCACTGCTACAATACCACTTGAGCTAGAACCTACAATCAAAGAGAATGCGCTACGTCTGGTCATTAGAGAAAGCCCAAGAAACTGGTTGCAGAAGCTGTCAAGAAGCCAGAGTTCATTGCCACGAAATCTGTCACAAACGAGATCGCTGTCCTCGAGAAGAAGGTAATATTGGGGAGCAAACGTGGAACAACACATACTGGAGAGTCGCATGGGAAATATAGGAGTGCTGCAGAAGCAACGCTTGGTTTGGACAGAGAGGCAAAACCGACACCTTTGCAATATTCACGAGATAGGAAAGTCAGCGAGGTTCTACCCACAGTAGGAGGGGTCTTTAGGCCTTAGAAGTGGCTAAGGCAATCAAGTCTCACAATTTCCCTGTCAGAGCTGAAAGAAAAAGTAGGGTTGTCGAAAGAGGGAGCAGAGACCTACGATTGATTACACAGAGCAACCAGAAGTCAAAGACCACATCGTCAACCCCAACCCCACATAGACCACTCAGTAATCCTCATTCGTGTAATGTGTCACCTAAATCACCACTGGCGAATGAATTACATCCTGCCGAAGTCTTAAGATCATACCAAGGAAGCATAAATTCGAGTCGGGACAACTTTACTCCAATTTACTGCCCTAATGTCGATATACAAGGCCAAAAAGCACGACTTACGACCTCAATCTATCCCAGGGCCAATCAAACCTTGACCATTCGACCCAAGAAATCGGTCAGTGTCGCTTCGAGAATGATAACGCACGCTTTAGGTGTAAGAACCATTCCGAGAATACTATAACCTGAGATTTGATCTAAATGAAGGCTCGAGGGCCCTCCGCATGGCGTGTGGTATGGAGAATTAGGGAAGATTCAGATGTTGGACTTTTACTGGATGCATCACACATATTGGCGTTAGATGTTCTTAATCTTTTAAGTCTGAAATGTTAGAACCGTAGGTGATACCCTCAAATAGAAGGCCCAGTTTTGTTATGAGGAATAGATTTGTCGAATGCAGAAAGAACGAATGGTACAATTTGACAAAACCTCCTTCTGCGATGAACAAATGATCCGTGGTTTTCTTCCCTTTCTCCTTTTCTTTTCTTTTAACAAAATAACAAACATTAATACTGCATCAATAATACCACAACTGTTCCATAGCATCGCTAGTTTGCTGTCTCGTCATCTAATATATTTCTGCTGCTTCTTATCGTACTTCATCCTTCTCTACAATCTTTAATTCTTCTCCAAAAATTCATCTTTTTTCCATCAGTCAAGTCTTCGATAGTGGTAACATCAAGTCCGGCAACGAATAGAACCACACAAAAGGCTGATAGCACATTCACCTCTCTCGTCTTACTTCTTCTTTATTCCTGCGAATGATCAGACAGATCTGATATCAAACTCAGAATGTCATTTCAAGAGGCTTTGAGCCCCCGAGTTAGGAAAGATTCTCTCTGGTCTGTTGATGTAGCTTCCGACGACTGCTCAACAAAACCTTCAGATGTTTCTGACGATGAGCTGCAAAACGATGAGTCCTCAAGATGGGCCAAGGTTTTCAAAGAGGCATTCGGTTTGTCTGACGATGATAAACTCGAAGAAGATGGGGAGGTACTTGATCATGAGTGTATGGATAATATGGATTATGATATCGATCAATGTGCTTCGCTGTCCCTACCCGACATGCTATCGCAACAAGTGGTATGAGAAGGAAATTGTTTCAGAACTTTCAAGGAATATTTTGCTAATTTGAAAAAGAAAATCGAGGAGTTTTGGAATCTGTCTGACTCACTGTCTATAAATCAGAACCGTGATGGACCATTATCAAAGTTTAAAAATTTTAGTCATTATTTCAACTCAACAACTTCGGCAGGGGTGGTATCCCACATGATTACGGGAATTCACGAACTCATATATTTGAAAGCCAGAGGTGATCCGATTGAGCTTGAGGCTCTGAAATACTTCGATTTTAATACGCTTGAATTATCTGCTGAGAAAAGACCAGAGAGAAATACTTTCAATACCTCCGACGACCAATCACGGTTTCGAATAAATGTGAAGGCTTCTAAGACTTACGCCTTCATGGCTGCCTTTAAAATTTTTATCTCTAAATACATTAATTCACCTGCAGAGCTCAGTCCAGGCATTTTCTGTACGCTTAATCGATTCCTAACGTCCCCTGGTGATGAAAAAGCGACTCGAACCATGGGGTCGAACTCTTCAGAACAGTACTTTGGTCTCTCAAACCAATGCCAATGCAAAATAGGAGTCCACAGCTGGTTGAAAGGTTTCATTCAACAAATCAATGCTAAAGACCGGAAGGCAGGAAAATTAAAGAATCCAATTTATGATATATCTCGGCTCTATCTGAGGTTTATCAACCGCAACTGTTTCGGTGAACAATCCAAACAGGTGGCTATGATACTACTTCAGTCATTTGCCATAAAGTGGATGCACTCTATGGTGTTACCTTTTGATGAAAATGAGGAGGGATTTCGAGATATCATGAGTAAACCGTCAGATATGCCAATCCGAAAGTTACTGAAGTATCTAGAGAGGGTATTGGCCAGAAACTTCGATAGAATTATTGCAAATTCAACAGGGAGAAGTATCCAACTGAATGCTTCAAGCTATAGTTTATATCCAGAAGCCGCGGCCATTTATCCCCAGACAAGTGGTGGGAAAACGGAACCAAATTATCATGAAGACATTAGCGAAACCAAATTGCTACTTAACAGAGTCTCTTCCGAGTTAGAATCTGTCTCAGTATCTCAGGCCCGAAATTCTCGGGATTGTGTAAATGGAGAAAGCCCTACCGATGCTACCACATCCCCAGGTTTCCATTCCGAAATATCCACATCAAATCGATCTTGCAAAAGATCACCAATTGGCACAGGACCACCTCCTACGCCCGAGAGAAGAAACTCATGTCTCAAATGCTCCGCAGTTTGGTTCTGGAACAAGAGATGTGATATTTGTGGCTGGAAGCTGGTCCAAGAAGATTTCTCTAACAAACAGACACAAGCGCCCAAGATGACAAAGATGTTCAATAAAATCCAAGTATCTAAGAGGGGACGCCCAGGGTGTTATGAATGTGAAAAGCCTGAGTTTTTAGGTTTATGTGATACTTGTAGCTTCGAAAGGTCCTTGACGGTGGTATCTGATGGATGGTCAACATTGGCATCACCGGATAAGAAGAATCCCCCTCCCGAGAGGAAAGATCCATCTCCTGACGCGAACAGTTGTCCCCAATGTGGAGCAGGTGAATTCTATGGTATCTGTTATATCTGTAGCTTCGGAATTTGGATAGCGCCATCAACTATGAAGAGGAAAAGTCTCAGCTTGGACTGTAACAATGGTACCGCCGAAGAATCTAATAGATATAGGACCACTAAAGGGCACGATCAAATGGTTTTCAGAAATTTTATGTACAGTCAACAAACTAGGCATCGTTGTGCGCGTCTCGGGCGTACAGCGAGGAGAATTAAGGAAAATGGAAGGAACTGTAGGCTCCCCACTCCGCTGCGTCGCCGTTTAGCTTCCCATTGGAAGCCCTTCGCTCCCCGAACGGCAATAGGTGCTCCGCACATAACTTCTGATGAAAACTTGAGGGTCATGAGGGCATTTCCGAAGACCGAAGTTACACACATGCAGATGGCGGAAGCTAATCCTCATGTCACCAGTGAAATTGATCAGGAAAGCCCACAAGCTAATATTTTGGAAGCAACGAGAACAGAGAAAGCAAATATTGAGGTTTATGTGAATACTACTCAATATTCAAAGGAAGAATCGGCAGAGGAACATCATGCATCATCAAGGTATTCAAAGGAAGAAAGTCCCAATACGACTCCATCTAATTACTCCACTTTGGTGAAAAGACGTAGAGGTTATAATGCTCTACCTTACTTAGAAAACCGGGATACAAGGAAAGTTGAAAGTTATGTTCCAACAAATGAATGGCCTACCGAATGTGAAATTCCACCTTCATCTCTTGTAAGAAGAGGAACGCAGTGGCTTTCCACCATCCCCCGAGCGATGATTGTCGGTGTTAGCAGTCTCTTGGGCTTTCGGAAAGTCCGTACTTTATACGATGAGGAAGCAGCTGTCGATACTGAGCTTGCACGATGGGTAGACGAGAAGATGAACTGATTTCGGCGTGTGAGGTTGCACTTTTGAAGAGCTGGTTGGGTTATGGGAGCCGTAGGAGAGGAGCATTGGTAACGGCTACTTTACCTCAGCGTATAGTTATTTATGGGACGGTATTGTTTTGTATGGTTTGTATGTTTGTATTCTTTTTCTCACATTTGCTGGGTTTCATAGCGGATTACCCGGCGAATGGGGATGATATCAGCGGGTTTACATAAAATTTATCAGAAGCAATACAATAGAATAGCGAACAAATATATATAAATAATTCTTAGTAAATCCAAACAATTTTTCTTTTCGTCACTGTGTGAATATCCCTTAATTAAAGAAATATTTTTTTACAAGTATTTTGTATGTTATGTTATATATGATGGAAAATATGAAATAAATCACGCAATTAAATAATATGGAAATCAGTCCCACCCTCAAATTCCTAATAAATTAACCCTAAATTCAATCTTGAAAAAATAAGGATATAAGAACTTTGTGGCGCCCATTAATACATAAACCCTTCCTTGCATTGATTATTAGAGGATTCATCTTCAATCTATAACAAGTAACATCTAATGAACACTATATACGGCAAGGGGAAATTATCAGCTGCGAAGATAGAGGTCACTTTATTAATGATGTAGCTTTTTGTTGATGTAAGATTAAGCATGTATATTTAAATGCGTTTTTTGGTATTTTGTAATGGGATGGGAGGGGTATTTGGTATTTGGAATTTGGGTTTGAAGGGCTTTAATTAAGTGGCATTTGATAGCTTGGGGTGAGGGGGAGGTAGTTTCCCGATAAGGTATAAGGTACCTACGTATAACTATTTAGGTTCGATTACTAACGCTGGCTTCCTGATGGGATGCTTTATATTATTCACTATTATATTCATTGGTTTTCTGAGTGAAAGGGCGGAGGGGAAAGGCGGAGGGGAAGGGAAAAACGAGGGATGAGGAGGAAGGCACGTGAGTGACAGAGAAAAACTTGACAAAAGAGTAGACTAGTTTAAAGGTAGCTCTATCGAGTAAGTAGAGGATTAGCTGGGGAATGAGTATCATATTACCCTGCTTTTTCACGCTAGAGAAGTCGATAATTCTGCCGCCTTTTTAGCTTGAGTACTCAATCTTTGCAGTTGGGGCGGATTTCTGTTTCTTTCAATTACTTCTTCTCTTTTCAATCTTTCTTCATCTGTTTGAAAATCTTTCCAGTCTGTAGCTATGCAGAAGTTACTGGAGAGGAAGGAGCACAAGGAGATGGTGACACGGTTTATACATCGCATCATGTGCTTCGTCCTCTCAAGGTGAATGAATATTATCATAGTATGTGAGATCAAACACTCTGTTTAACCTACTTTTCCCTCTAATATCATCATAATTCATCGGTGTCATCTCCGTTCATTGGATATAAACACAGATGAATTATCTACTAACAGTCAAATTGTTCTAGAAATCTCCTTTGATCCTCAGTTTCCAAACGAAATCGAGAAGACGGCGCACACAGCTTGGGTCGATTGCACTGATGAGATCAAGATGGCTCAGAGGGAATCATTCGTCCTGAGCAGCTGTCCTTCCTCCTCTCAAAGTGAAACAAATATATTGGTGGTATGTGAGATTGAGCGCTTCCCATCTTAGCCGTGTCTTTCATCATGAATATTCACCACCGTCACTCACCTTTATCTTGTGACACTTAGTAAACTTAGACCTGATCATGTACTAACACCTAGTTCTTTACAGAATATTTGGCGTCAAACAGTAATTGGAGCGGCCTGCTTCGGGTTTATTAAACAGGTGGTGCTGGGGTTGTCTGCAGGCACGTTCATTCGAATTCGAGGTCCTCCGTCACCACCTCTTACTCAAGTTTCGAGCATTACTACCCGTCTCAGCCACAGAAAATCAAACGCCTGAAGATGCAATCATCAACAAGCCATGGGAGTGGATCTGGTTCTCTGGAGAAAAGTAAACTCTGCCCAAATACTTTGCAGTAACCTCACAACTTCAAAGGACTAGCTCTCCGGCTATTTCGATATGCATGCCTCCATCCAACCAGAGGGTTTAAGCCCAAATAAAGGGGTTCCTGATTACAGCATCACTATGGAGCATCGTTGTTCTAATCCAGAGATGTTAATGCTCAAAATATGCAATTCGCACCAGTGAATATTTTCAATTGTCACCAGACGAAGATAATATTGCCCCCGTCGTCACGCAGCGGGGGGAGGAGGTTTGTGAGGGGGCGGTAGTGGTGAGTATATTGAGTGAGTTATTACACTGCTTCACCAAAGTCGACTCTTAATAACCAGTTCAAGTAGTAAAAAGTCAAACGACTGAAACGGGAAGTCTGATTGGGAGCGATGGTGATGGTGTGCAAGTGGACGCCGCGGGTAAATTTTCTCCTTCCTCCCTTCTCACCTTTCTTCCTCCCATCCAATTCGAATTTCTGCTCGAAATAAGTCAAAACAAATCAGGCAGGATGGCAATCAAACAGCTCAGAAGGCTACCATACCCTTTATTAACAGTGCTAAGAAGATTTCCATTCCAGAGCAATACAAACGGCGATGCAATCTACTTGCCAGAACCGGAAATGCAAAGCCATGTAAATGGTAATTAACCAGGTTTCGTACCCTAGTCATGATGTTGGAGTTCCTGTACCTTCGGGATAAATTATGGTCGTGAGGCGACTAAGTCTCGTAGTGAATATGCTGCTGGGGCTATTGTGGTCGGGTTTACAAGTGAGTTTCTTACTTTCTTTTGGTTTATAAATTCCTTGCTTGCATATGATTTTTGCTAACCAGTATAGAATAAACAGGTCATGTGACTGAGAAGAAGAAGTCTATGAGGGGATATGGCAGTGGTGCAGTTGTGGGCATTCCAAGTATGCTTCTTTCTTCCTATCCCTTTGGCCTGAGTGAATGCTCCTGGCAGTGGAGACTGCTTCTTGATGTATGTTCGAGGCTAATCAAACGGTCTAGCAGACTTTGAAAGGAGGAAAATCACATCAACTCTTCACACTCTTCTATTTCTGCCAATAGGAGCTACGAAAATGATAAGTTTCAACAATGGTCTCTGTGAGGGTTGGTTAAAACTCTGGATGGAAAAATGAAGCGTAAGTAATATCTATCTCTCACGCCTCAAGAAAGCTAATTGACGATTTTAGTACCTCAAGAATTGGGGGTTTGTTCGAAAAAAGCTTCCTCTCTAAAGGCTTAGGCTCCGTATTTTTTCTCCCTTTGATCTCGCTAGTCTCTAGAAAAAATCGAAATGCGCTAGAGATAGACCCCAAGAGAAAAAAACAAGGAGCCTAGGAAAATCCGGCGTAATTGTCCTAGAACTCCAATAATTAGTGGCTTATTCGAAAATTGCTTCCGAAGCAAGGGCGTAGGCTCCATGTTCCTTCTCTACTTGAACTCAACCATCTCTACCGCAATCGAGAGATGGGCGTTCAATAGGACAAAAACAGAAGGAGAACAAGGAGCGTAGATCCAGTGAACGCCAATCGACCTGAAAGCAGAGCTCGACATGCTAGTCAGCATTAGATTGCTCAAGCTTTACAGCGGCAACTATAGGAACAGTAGCCAAATAACAACGGTTGTTCTTTTCCTCGGTGATCGATCAGCAGGGAGGCAGGCTATAACCCTTGCAACAATCCCTCGCGCGCTCAATCAAACAGAGTTGCTCCTAAAAATGCGATGAAGAAGATATGATTTCTACACAACTCCCACTGCTACTTTAAACAAGTAGGTGCTTCCTGTACTAGTATCAAGGACAGAGTGATAACTAACCACTTACAGGTACGACAATGTCGCGGAAAAACACCGGAGGTCATCACTGCTGTTTTGCGATTCACAGAAGTTAAGATTTGATGTTGAAGTAATTATCAGGATTATATAGTAATACGATTAGCTCTTTCTAGCCACATAGACATGGGCTCTTGTTGACGTGAATTTTTGTATTTGTGATTGTAAAATCGAAAATGGAAGAACTTCCAGTCGGCCCTTAACTTTGAGTACTTTTCATGATTTCATTTTCTCTCGTCATATCCTTGAGCTTTTGCTAACCATGTTTGCTGCGGATCGATCTCAACTTTTTTTGAGTGCTCCATCTTCGATGTTTTGAGGAGTGATGGGTATATGAGTATTTATACTATTACTGTTGATCAAGAAATGCTTGTGAGCTGCACCTCCCACTGACTACGTATCCGTCGGTTTCTTCTCTCTGTCACAATATTGCACAAAGTGAATCAGGAATTTATGGAGGAAACCAGAATATAAAGGATTAGACAACTTCTTTCCGCACATGATTCGGACATTACCGTGGTTCTCGGTCAACAATAAATCCCGAACCCGATTATATATATAGCGGGAATCCGCGCTCTCGCCTGACTAATAAGAGAAGTAAGCCAATTCATTCTTCCTTATTGAAAAGTTTCAGCTAACGTAGTAGTACCGTTGCAATGAGCGACAAGTACATGCAGAGAACCACTCCCAAGGGTTTTGGTACGCATGGTATGCATATCGTTGATAAAATTCCTTTACAGACAACCTTGTATAATCACTGACAGCCACCGCCACCATAATAAAGTCACAAACACCAAAGGGAAGAAGATTCCCTATCACTTGGAGTATATTTGTATCAAATTTGGAATTCTTCCTACCAATGTTCGTACTCTGATTAGGTGGTCTGCAAACTACAATACAACTAAACTTGCTAGCGCCAAATCTCATGATATCGCATTGGCATGGGTCAGATCGAACCTAATCATGTTGAATGTTTTTTGGGTTGCAGCGCTCGGCGTGATTAGAACCGTATGCCCATCATTCAAAAAGAAGTACCCTAGGAGAGTCAGCGACCACTAGCGGAATCTATAAAGATTTCCGTCATAGGGTGGACACAAACTTATTGCTCTTCCAATCATCCTATCGTTGCCGAACAAATTACCGCTTATGAATACTATCCGCTAACTTTTTTCTTGAGTCAGTAAGATTCCTCCAGGGGATTCAAAGATCACCTTAACTGTAGTTCCATGTCTTTGAACCAGGGCTATGTAGCCAGTGGGACATCAGATCTCAGGTTTAGTGTCCCTTCTCCAAGCCATAGCCAAAATACAGGATGTTGCGGGGTGTCAAATTGAAACTATGACTGGCAAAATTGCGGAGGTAGTCACTGCATGGTGATCGGGCTACCAAAAACCAGAAGGATATGACAAGTTGCAATTTGATTTGGTACAGCAGCAAATTCATGGTGTATACGACTGATCTTGACTGTACAAAACGTCTTTTAGAGGCTGGTACTGAGTCGCATTACAACTTGGTGTATTCAACTCGGTTGTCATATTATTGTATACTATTAGTCCGTTGAATAGTAATATAATATGTTTTCCTTTAGCCACCTCTGCCTACACAGTGATGGGTGATGGGTGATGGCTATAGTGATATTTGTGTTTGTGTTTGTACAGTTTTTCCATTTTAGCTCAACTACCAGAAGGTCAATTCTCTCTTACACAATGATCGAGCTAGATGAGCTAGTATGTTCGCCGTGTTGTTCTGACTTCTTTCTTCTCTCAGCACTTATTTGTTCTATTCACTCATGTATATCTTTTTAATTAAAAAAACAATACATTCATTTCTTCTCTATCAATTTGCTATCTGTACAATAAAAAAAGTATGGCGCGAATAAAATAAATGAGTTGCGAAAATAAATTTCAATACAAAAACTCTCTAGAAACTCTATCAACTGATCTCCATCTCGTTATATATCTTTTTTATCACCATCTTGATCTTTCTATTTATTTATCAAATCAAACGCAGAGGGAAAACCAGAAAAAAACAAACAGAAGAACTAAAAGACATAAAAAGATGAAGCACTACATTTCAGTCATTTACAAAAAACGACTATAGCAATACATCATTAACACGACTTCCAACACCATCTCAACTGCACTTTTACTGCCCCCGTCTAGCTTCTGTTACTTAGAGAATATCTTCGCACAAATTATCTCAACCGGAGGCTCCTCAATAGATAGAGGGTTTGTTTCGGCATTGGAATCTGAATCATCTTCAGGATCCGATTAGATATTCTCAGGCACCATATCCTCGTCTTTCTCTTCTTCTTCTTCTGGTACGATACTTAGAGCTTTTGCCTTCCCTGAGACACTTGGAGCTTTTGACTTCGCTGAGATACTTGGCGATTTTGCCTTCTCTGAGACATTTGGAGATTTTGAGACACTTGATCTTGTCCTTTTGGCTGGAGGTTCCGCAGATTCATCTGCGGATCTTTTTTTCTCGCCTTCCTTTGCAGTTGACGATTTTGGAGCCGCAGGTTTTGGGGCAGCTTTTGCTTTTGGAGCTGGTGCCTTACTGGCAGCTTCTTCCTTTTTTGGTTTAGGCTCACTTTCCCAGCCAGCATCCTTCCTCATGTCACCTATGATTCTGTTCCACCTCAAAATATCAAGTTCAACCCCCCATGCTCCTTTTATCGGCTCAAGATTATCCTCATCTATCCTGCCATACCGTCCTTCATAATCTCTTACCCACGTTGCCGGATTTTCAGCATTACCTTTACCTATCTCCAACACTATTTCAGTTACGTGGAATGGAGGTGTCTTAGGCGGACCAGCATTTCTTGGAACGTCTGCGATAACACGTCTCATAGGTAGTCCGAATCCTTCATCGGGCTCAGCTGCTTTAACTTCCTTAGCTTTGCTCACAATGACTTCGCTTGAATCGTACTTGACAAGAGCTGCTAACATAGTGACTTTACTTCTTCCATATTCTTGAAAATCGAGACCTCGAGCTTGACAGTGAAGCCTTAGGTCCTTGATCTTGAAATCTTGTACATCCATATTTTTTAAATATTTGTATCTAGCGTCTGTTTTATCCTCTATGCTTGCGACGGCTTTCATTCCCGGAAGAATTACGGGGTGTGGCTTGTTTTTATCGCCCTTGCCTGCTATGGGAAGCTCTTCACCGAGGCCCCATGGCTTTTCCAAAAATTGAAGGTTGCGAGGTTTGACTCTTCCCGAAGTGCCATCCATTCTAGTCATGCGAGCGTATAGATGTTTGAGGGGTTCGTGACTATCTAGGAGAAATTCACCATCTTCAAACGTGAAGCCTTTCACGTACTTCTTTGCCGGCTCTTTTGGGTCTTCATATTTCGTACCAATCTTAGACGTTGGTTCGATAGTACGATGAATAAAGAAATCTAGCCATAGGCCTTTGTCATCTTTCTTAACACCATCCTTTTTGAGAATATTGACAGCAGTCGCACCCGCGGCATCATGAGCATTTTTGAGAACATTCCTCTCAATCTTTTTTATCTTCCTAAGTGGGATAAGTCCGACCATTCCTGGCTTAGGACCGCCGTCAGCATATGGACCGGATTGGACCCATTTGTAACCTCGCGGAGCAACATCTTTTTGAGCTACCGCAGGCTCCCTAACAAAGCAGCCCTTAAATATCTCAATCTCCCTGGGATCTTGATGATCTTCATGGTCGGCTTGGTATCCTTGGCTGTCCTCCGTTACTATCCAAACCCCATCTTTCAAATAGGCGTCCAATTGTCAGTCATTGAGCCACGAATTTGCTGATCAATCAAACCTTCATCTAAGTCCCTGTGCAAAGCTGTTATGGAGCAAGAAGTTAGCAATTACTTATTAGAAATTATTTAAGGAAACTGGGGGTTGGGAAGCAGTATTAGGAGGTCAAAAACATTGCGTTTGGGAATGAAAAAAATATGAGGTTTGGTATCGGAAACGGAATTGAGTGCAGAAGAAGCGTGGAAATGTGAAACAGTTACTAACTCGAGAAACCCATCCAATGGCCTATGCCGGCTTTTCTACCTGGCACTTTTCGGTGAAGCGACTCATCTTCCACTTCATAATTGTCGTTGTAAAGCCACAACACTGGCCGGACTCCCCTTCCACCATCCTTGGACTGTGTCGGAACCTTGTATGCCAGATCCCACACTTTGTTTTGTACGTCCCATCTAACATTGTAGCCTTGGGTAACATCTGCTATAGTATATTGCGTTCCGTATCTCTTATTTAGGTACCCGAGAAGACAATGGAGATCTGCAATTGTATAGGTGTTTCTTAAGTCTGGTATAAACTGCTTCACTTGTACTGATATTTGCGCTTCACTCTGCGGCACCCCGAATGCGTCAGCGAAAGCGATGTGGCCCCCAGCAGTTAAATACTCCAGCGCCTCTTGCCAAAATTCTTCTGACCGTCTGAAAGTTATCAACTCCTGCGCAGTTACACTGTCTGCCAAAGGCACTGGTGTGCCTTCAGGAGCAGCAAGGTCTCGTGCTGCATTGTAACTGTATACAAGAGCATGAAGGCCGCAAAGGTAGCCAGCGGCAGTGGTTGACACTGGATGTAACCCAGAAGCAAGTATGGGCAATAGATTCCATCTTTCTATGTCCGAAAAATCGACATCAACAGGCCCTCTTCTTGCAGCGAGTGCTGCTGGATTTTTTTGAATTTCGGGCGCATTTTCCCATCCGTCATCATCGGCCTTGGCTGCTTTTGCCTTCTTTTTCCCCTTCTGAGCTGGCGCAGCTGGAGGGGCAGCCGCATCAGGGACGGCTGCATCAGGGGCAGCCGGGACAGGGGCTATTGGAGCTTTTTTAGCCGACATTCTAGCTGCTAAGTTATATCAAGATTGTAAGATCTTATTAAAAAAGACTCAATTATGCTTATAAATATAGAAACTCTGCAAAAATTGTGGTAAAGTATCACAATTTAAAATTAAAAAGTTTTCTCAAGTTGAATGTTAATAGTCCAATTTTTGTACTTGTCCATTCCTTTGTCCGCCTCCTGAGTATCCCCATTTCTTTGCGAAAACTTATTTTGGTTAAAATCTACAAAGAAGATAACAATTTGAATTCCGCATTTGGATAGATAATTTATTGAAATTATTTAGTCGCAACAATAATTGGTGATGGAAAAGAAAGTGGTCAATAGAGTCCAACAAGAACTATGATTTTGAATTAGACGTTTCGGGCATTAGGGCTTCTTTGGATTGTTTGAATAGACCCACAGACTGCGATTCCCATTGTGCCTCAGCTCTCTACTAATATTTATTAGTCGTTTTAGACGCTAATTGATTGTTAATGGCTAATAATAGTTTTGTAAAGGTATTGTGATCTCTTTAGGTGACCAATTTAGGACTCGGTCTCAGCCGAGAAAAACACCTAAAGATTTGCCGAAAATCCCAAACACAAGATATCTTTGTTGATACATCGAATGTTGTAGAGAAACTCCTTATAGTTAATTAGATTTGGTGAAGAGACCAGATATCGATTTAACATTGAAAATCAAAAGCTTTTGATTTTAGATGAGTTGATGATCCATTGTTCATGAAGGTTTGTACGGCTATCAGCAGCTTTAGGGTTGCATGGCGCTATAACGGTATGCTAAGAATAGTGTCCAACACGCTAAAAGAACCTCACCTAAATACTTACTATTACCTAATATCTTTATCTCCACTGTTGCTTCAAAACATTTAATCAGTTTCCATTATTCAGAAATCATCTTTATTAAAGCACTTGAATTTCAATATACCAACCAAGGAGGGAGACAAGGGAGGAATTAATTTTTTTAACCGTTCGCCGTCAAGTTAATAAGTTCCAACTCACTTTATTGCAGCACAAACGGCTTCAGATGCTAAGATCTTACCAAACCTGATATACCCATTAGTGAGTATCCAAAATATATGGAAGCGTATTTATGGTGAGCGGAAGATATTCTTTCAAAATTATACTCCATTAGCCGACATGGCGTAGTTTTCATTGTCCATTCTAGTGAATGCGCGGCGCTGAGGTCATCTGTTAATGTGTATACTTCCAAAATTTATCTCTTTATACATTACATTTTCACAAGTTCTGAAAGAAAAACACGAAGGGTGGTCAATTATTGTGTTTCTTTAAGTTGCCGGATGTAGTAAGTCAGTCGACGGTATAGATGTAGATTTGTGATCTATGTACCGTCTCTTTTTTATCCTGTCGTCAAAATTGTCTCTTTGTGGTCACTGACCTGACCGCTTCCCCTTTCATTCTATTTCTGTCATTTTTATTTTCTGTCCCCAATCCCCAATCCCTAACAGCAAATACGCTTTATCGCCATTTCCTGGAACTCAAGTTCGAGTAACGTCTTTCGTTCCTACTAAACAGCTTGACAGATTTATATTTGTGAGCGATGTATGCTTGCTATCTCCTCATGACTGGAAAGTAGTGTATCCGGCTATGTTTTGCACTTTTCTGTTCTTCTGGTCTTGCAGAGATCTTAAACGGCAGTGCGTGGTATCTATTTTAATTTTCTTTCAAAAGCGGACGAATAATTATAGTTCCCCATGCTGCGCCAACTTATCTGAGTTTTCTTGCTAAAAATTGTGAATTGTATCATTCACAGCACCAATGTCCTTCAGAAATAATGTGACAAGCTCTCGAGGATCTTAAACTTTTCTCAATATACCAAGAATCCGAGAGTGCTTAAAGACGAAGCTTATGTGACCACTGTCAATAGAACACTAATATCGTTTATTACTTGCTTGGAAGCCAAGACATTAATTTTCATGGAGTAGGAAATCAGAAGGATATTGCGAAATCATCGTTATCATCTAGAATATTACTGCCTTATACCTAACTGCAACGTTTTTCCTTCAATATTTACTGTCCCCAGTATGTAATTTTACAAAAGTCTGTGATGATTGCGGCGTAACCTATCATCCTGAAATATACAAAATTATACTCCATCCCTCTGCTCATCTCACCATTTCCTTATCCATTCTTTCGCTAATCAATCAAAAGTCACCTCCTCTTAAATACCAATTCACATTTCGGCACCCCACTCGTGAAATGATCTTTAATCTCATTAAAGAACGCCTTCTCATCAAACTTCGTATTCTCTGGAAAGAGCACTTCATACTCAAGTATGGTTCTCGCAATCACGGAACGTAGTTCCATCATCGCGAGCCCTTTTCCAATACAACTATATGCACCCATTGAAAATGGCAGGTAGGCGGATTTGTTAAGAACGAGCTCTGGACGAGTTGTCCAGCGCTCAGGAATAAATTGGGTTGGATCCTTGAAATTGCGATGGTCTAGATTTTCAGGGTTAGTGGATTAGTCTGGAAGCGGAGAAGTGCAGGAGACAAAAAGAAGAAAACTTACCGCGCTGTATTTGCCAGGTTGCAATACTAACAACGGTATCACCAGGTATATATACCGTCCCAATACTCAGCCCATCCTTAGGTATGACCCTCTGAGATGTAAAGGTAACAGACGGATACAGTCTTAGGGCTTCTTGAATGATACCATCAAGCAGTGGCGAGGTCCTTAAATTACTATATTTCTCGTCCTTGAATATCGATGTCAATTCTTTGTGAAGTTGAGCTTGGTAATGTGGATAATTGGCAAGAATAATAAAGAGGACCGAAAGTGTTGAAGCGGTAGTGTCACTTCCTGCTCCTATAATCACGCGGGAGTCGGCGTTTAGGAGAGCGCGGCCAGAGGATGTATTTTCAGTGTGTTCAATAAGATGACCCATGATGTCTGGTTTTGGATTTTGCATCTGTTGGACCATTAGCACTGAAATTTGGCAGATCAGATCTAAAAAACAAACATGTCTTCTCGCTTCTACCTGGCATGCCGACCAGTCGTTAAACTCTTTCATTGGGCCCCCTAGAACACTCAATGTCTCAAGAATTGTCAAAACCCATGGAACATGGACTAGAAGTCCTATAGCGACTATGCCACTTTGGATATTATCTAAAATATTTTTGACTTCGGCTGTTTGCGTTCCATCTAAAAATTGCGTGAAAATACCGAATGCTAATGCACTTATGACATCATAACTGTAATAAATACATAAATCATTGATGACTACCTGAGTAGCTACACTTTTAGAAAGACGGGAAAGAAATAATGTTGTGAACTCTTCGATGCGGGGTCCATAGTCGGTGAGGGCTAAAATGTCATTGTCAGTTGATGAGTAAAACAGGAAAAAAGAAGCGAATACATTGTTTAAAAGCAATATCCCAAATCTTTCTTCTTTTCCTGTGGAAATCAGTATCTCTTGTCGTATGTAGCGATTGTGGCGTCGTCGCCCCATAAAATGGACCCTTTTGTAATTTGGATGAAGAGCCAAGAATTAAATTAATGGCTGCAGGATCAAATATCATAAGCTCACGAGGTCCTTGCATATAAATCAGCTTCAATCCGTGGTCAAACTAGTTTCCCTAGACATTCACAATGCATTTCATACCTGTCCTAACATAATCCCCATACTCCTCTTTCAAGTCACCAAGAACCTGGTACCACCTAAATTTTGATTGCATAACTTTTCCCAAGCTCCAAAATTTGGAAAGTCTAGCACCAAATGGACCGGGAAAATGCCTCAGGGGGTGAAAAAATGCTCGATAGACAAGTATATTTGTCCATAGCGACACTACCACCATCGACACAAGCTTAAATGCGAGTTTTTGACCTTGTCTACTTGCGAGGTTTTCATTGTCGCTTTTATACTGGAGTAATATCGAAAGTATAAGATAAACTGCTATGACTGCAAAAATGATCGAAAAGGGATGACGATCGAATTCCCTTTTTCTTACAATATTGTGAAAGAATGCGCCTGCTGCGGCAGCGATGATACACGAATTTGACATTGTCAATATTGATGAAGGTTATCTTTATCAAATCGTGAATTTTCTGTTAACGCGGGAAGAATAAACGAACATGTGAAAATTTCGGAACAGCAATAAGTGAAACTACGAACTTTAAAGTTCAGAAAAGGAAGGTGGAGAAGGACGTAGGTTGACAGCCGGCTCTCACCCGGGTGGAGAAACATTGAGACTGTTCCTTTTTGAGGGCACCTGAAATGGTTATAGAGCGCCAGGTCTCTCACTAATACTCATATTCAACTTAAATCATTTATAGTATCAATTCAAGTAAACATTTATATAAATTATATGATTAAACTTTTTGAATTACAAATACATATTTATAAATAAAATATTATATTATTTATCTTTTCAATAAAGTAATATATTTAATTTAAAATAAAATAAAATAAAATATTATAATTAATAATTAATTTAATTAAAAATTAGTACTTAAAATATTAAAAACTTTTTGTTTTCATAATTCAGGATCTAAAAAGATGTCTATAGATTATGAATACTAAAGAAAAGGTAAAAAGAAAGTTCCAAGTTCTTGATTGTGACAGGGATAATTTTTGAATATCGGCATATCGGAATATCGGATGCTGTTTAAGGGCCTGGCGTTCTACAGCCATGTCAGACGCTCCCCAAGCCGCTCCCTTCCCCATCATAATCTGGCCTTTGCTCTAAGATTAGTCAATTTCATTTTGTCCCTAATAATGGCATTGCTGACTGTTCTGGTATCAATGCATTGTCGTCGAAACGAGCTTATGCATCTAACGGCAATATGCCTTCCTTCCGTTTCTTCGTTGCAGCACTGAGCGCTGTGGTATCCACCATGCCCTGCTCTTTTATTTTCAGCTCCTTAAATTAATTGATTAGTAACCTGGAGCACATAGGAGAATATTATCAAATCCAAAGGGGCACCGAGTTGGGCCAATCATAAGTACGATTGCGGTTCCAATCCATGCAAGATTCTCGACACAGGAGCCATCAAGCGCATACCGGGATAACTGTCACTGGTTTTTAAACGATGAATCGAATATTTTATAGGATGGTTAGAATATCATTGCTTTTCCCGGGGGCACTTTTTATTCCATGAATTCGGAATAGATAATGATGATCACGATTCCAAGCAGCATCGTATGAAAATTTCTTTTTGCTCGACATACATACAAAAATGAATCCTTCTCCCAAATTCCGTTCACAGAGCTTCAACATCTTTCTGTATTCACAGTAAGAGAGCAGCGCAAATATGTCTACCGGTCTTCTTCCACCTCCTAGTGGTGTAACACCAAATTTCAACTCTGGAATTTTGTCGGGAACCCAGGTAGCTTTTATTCTTGCATATACTATTACTCTTGCTCTTGCGAGTAGCACACTTGGTATTCGATTGTATACAAGAATTAGTATAATGAAATCTTTTGGTTTAGATGATGGTACGTTTCCCATCAAGTTCGGACGCTTATTTGGCGTGGATGCTAATTGGGATTTATAGTTGCGATTCTTCTTTCTTTTGTAAGAAATCCGCTCCCTGTATAAAAAATCCGATGAAGCTGAGTTATAATAGATGTGCTCAATTGCATATTTTGCCATTAGTGTAAATTGTGAGTGTCGACGTCATTAACTGAAGATGGAGGGCTAATGCTTAATGACTCGAAGGCATGAGATTTGGATTTGGTAGACATCTATGGGAAGTGACTCCTCAACAAATGGCACAATATCTCAAAGTTAGTCAAAGCTTGTCGATTACTACGAAACATTCAAACTTATAGAACTAGCAACTAAGCCCTATGGTAGCCACCTACGCTTTGGCCCCAGCTTTCACTAAACTTTCCATCCTCATCCTGTCCGTCATCCGGTTCTACAATCCTCAAACTCAAGCATTGACAAAGCTAACTCACTACCTAGTCTCCATCGTGTGAATCCAAGCCGTTACTTCCGTCTAAGCTGTTACATCGTTGCCCTCATCATCATAACCTACACTCTCACCATATCACTCATTGTTGCAATTCCTTGCATCCCCACCAACCCTAAAAATGGGGAATGCCTCAACAAATGTGGGCTCTGGCAAGCAATTTTCAATATACTTACTGATTCTGCTATTCTGATACTTCCATCATATATGCTGTATCTTCTGAAATTGCCTTTGAGGCAGAAGTTAGCAGTTGGATCTATCTTTGGGACTGGTATTTTGTGAGTCATTCCTTGAGCCACTGAATCTTGTTGTAGATCATTGCAGCTAAGTATCTTTTTGGAAAGTTGCTGACGTATTAAATGGCAGTGTGATAATCATTTGTGTCGTTCGCATAACATATATCATGGCACTGCAAGATAATCCAGATGTTCTATACACACAAGGCAGAGCAGCAATATGGTCGTTCGTGTTCCCTCTTTTCTAAACCTCTTTCTACATCGAAACCCTCATATTATTGCAAAACAACTAACCATCCACTGTTCTAGAACCGTAGAAGTAAACATCGGTATCTTCTGCAACACACTCGTTGTCCTTCGCCCCTTCTTCCGTCAATATTTTCCCGGTTTATTCTCCTCACAAATATTATCTGATGATCATCACCATCATCATGGAACACCTGATCATGAAGCAAATCTTAGATCTGGAAAAAGAAGAATTTTAAAATTGAGGGAAGATCATTCGCTGAGTACTTTGGCGATAAATAACCGAGTTGGTGAAGAAGATAAAGAACCGGGGATATTGAGAAGGTTCGAGGTTAAAGTGGAGAGTTTTAGTATAGGGGGGAGCAGTGATGAGAGAACACGGAGAGATAGCGAAGAAGAAATACAGAGGTAATAAGAGACGCGGAAAGTGTGAATGATATGATTGGGCGTTTGGGAAGAGTAAAGACATTGTGAAGGGAGAAATATTAAAAGTGGCACGACTAATCACTGTCGAATATGATTATATGAATGAATGCTAGGATTTCTTCGGATCAAATGTCATAGAAGACAAGCAATAAGCTTGAATTTAATATCAACCCTAATTAAATATAATTACAAGTATCTTAATTGCAAAAGTAAAAAGGAGAGTGAGTTCCTGGGTCTTACGAAATATAGAAACTAGACAAATCTTCAATTTTGATAGGGTCAGTCTTTATCTTTGTTGAATGTGTATCAAGTGTGTAATATTAGAGTGTAGAATGCTATAGTAGAACTATATATGGTATAGTAAGTTATTGTAGTAATAGTAGTGAATATGCATGTGCTTTCTAACAATGTTAGTAGCTTTTGTAATTGAGGTATATATATATATAAATCTAAAAACTTTATCAATATAAAATATTTCTATATTTGGGATCATGTTACGAGGTTTGCCGTCTAGATCACGTGGAAGTGCTCTAGGCTCTCGAGGTGGTTTATAACTAGGCGTCAAGCAGGGACTTAAGTAATGACAATAATGATATGCAATTCGTAACTAATAGTAGAGTATAATAAATGATTGATCTTGAGCACGAAGCTCTATACAAAGGAAATCCATCTTGATTATATAGTCCTTCATGCTTCTATGATCACTGGTGATCCTTAATGATCACTACTGATCATTTGTGATTACGTGTCTTGGTAGCTGTGTAGCCCGTCGTAACATTCTGAATAATCTTCCAGCCCCGTTTTTACTATTATCTTTCATTTCAAATATATTAAATCCAGAAGATCTAGATCTTTCTTTATTTAATAGTTCTCCCCTAAATGATATTGAGCTATAATAAGCAAATAAGATATTCAATTCAGCTTTATCTGCTAATAATCTATCTACTTCTCCAGTATAGAGATATACAAAGCGAATTACTCATCAGATTGAAAGCTTAAATACTGAAAATATTATTCTTCAAAAGAAACTTCAAGAATATAAAGAATTACTTGAAATACAAAAAAAACAAAAAAATAAAAAGAAAATAAAATTAAAAGGTAAATTTATATTTAGTATTAAAAAAATATTGAAAATTATTAAGGAGATTGAATAGATACTTTTATTAAAACAACAATATAATAGACTATTCAAGCGTCAAATTGATCAGATAGAAAAGGAAATAAAAGAAGAAAAGAATAATAATAGTTCAATTGGATCAGTGATAATTGTAGATCACTCTGTAGCATATAGGACAAGGTCAAATAGGAAAATATGATTTTTGTAACCTATATCATGACATGACTCACTTCTAGTCAAGTTACGTTATAATAATACTCAAGAATGTTAAAAGGAATAGAAGTTACCGGTACTAATCACGTGTCGTGATTAGTAATACGGTTACCTAAACAGGCTAGATTAGACGAACCATAAGCAGGCATATTGGTCCCCTCCGAGGATACTAAGAGGAGATTAATATGCCTACAGACGTAGTAATATAGTCAATATAGAGGCCTCTTCCACCCAATCTTTTAATAAAGAAATATAATAATACCTCAGTACTCATCTAAATATAATACTTCTCCAACTAAAGAAAATAATAAATTAATATAAATAAATCCCCGAAATTCAAAATTCATATAATTCAGAATTTAACACCAACTCAAAAATATAACAATAGAAGATAAAATCATCCATGGGAAAAACTCAGAAAGTCATTAGGCGAAATTGTTATTATCAATCCTTGTTTCTTCTTCATATACACCCTATGATCTAAGCCATTAAGTATTCTTCTCTCAAAATGATTGAGTGGTATATCCATCTATCTAACTTGTAGGATCGGTACATCATGGGGGTGCCTATTGAATCATATCCTGTTTTTCAACTTATCTCTGTCTTTGAAATATCAAAACTTCGATAATTGAGGTTTTTATACTCGATGTTATTGATAATTCGTATATATATTGGTCATGAGTTTATAATTAATAAGAACATATTTTAGGAATCAGAATAAATTTGCGAGTACGGAAAGAGGGGTAGTTATCGCTTTAAATTTACCGAGGCATTCTTGGCTTTGAGAATCTGTAACGGGCCATGGTACTGTATCATGGCTAGTGATCCATTGCTGTGCAGGTTGTTTCAGGAGATATTTATATTGGGAAAAGGAATTTTCTGAAAGATGTACTCGAGTATATAGGGACGAATTAATTGTATGTTAGTAAGTGAACGTTTGTATATATATATTGTGGTTTTTGGTGGGTGTTATTATGGTGACTATTTGAATGAATTAAATATTCTTATCCAAGTCGAGTGACTGAGAGAGTAACTGTCATTAATTTCACACTCCTTCATGGTGTACTTCAGAAAACGTGTTTTTATGTATAAACCTCAATTATCTGTACTGTCAAATACGGAGAAGTAATTTGATGATGAAGAAGCGAGATAGAATTTGTGGATGATTGAAGTACTGGCACAGTAAGACTTGACTTGACATTCATTGATTTGATTGGACGAGTAGTTTTATTATCACTGCCACGATATTAGGTATGATTGAAAGCCATGTTGCGTTAATTCGCTAGAGTTTCAATACCGGGAACCAGGTAAAGGGGTGAGATTTTAATATCTGGTTGGTGGTTCTTGAAGATGAGAATTAATGCACTGGCGAAGTTTGCCGAAGGTGTACCAGATATATATTTCTACATCCGAGCATTCTCAATTATATACGCCGTATTACTTATCCCAGAATATCCCCGTAAGCAAGCGGTTCTTGTTAATTGGATAAAATGTATAATTGTATTGATAAAATAGTTTACTATGTATAACAATGCCCTTTTAAGGAGTTTCTGTATAAATATATATGTGAATATACAGTACGAGTCAGGAGCGGCAGGGGCTGAGTTGACTCGCGTGTGGTATGTTGATAGACTAGTTACCTGAAGGATGAGCAGGCAAGTTTCCCGTCTTAGATATTCATAGACTCAGTGTAGACGTTAATTTAATCAATCAATCAAGCAGGCAAGTTTTGACGAAAACTAGGCTAGGATAATGTTTATGGAGAATAAATCAGGCTATGATCCAAACAGTTACATTACCAAAGCGATGATTAGGCTTTACGTATATCCTGTTTCGAAGATGATTTGTTTAGGAAAGTGGTACGAATATCTTGTTCAGGGACGAGTGTATGATTATCACGCCTATATTTAGGATGGTCAGTTTTCGAGAAGAAAGGATGCTGCTTGAAGAAGGAGGGAGAAGTGAATAGAAGGTCTGGGGAGAGCGATCTGAGTGTGACTAGATTCGTGTGCGGAGCCCCGGATCTGGTGATTTTCAAGTTATGCGTGTGTTGTTTTACGGTCGCAATTTTTATGGCGGTGTAGAAATGTATATTTTTGATTGAAATATCTACAGGAATGTGTATTTATTTGAAAGCGATGAGGTGTATAATCATTTCAATGTAGGTATGTATCTTATTTTAATAGCTCCAGGTTAGATTTATACGCTGTAGTGGTACAGCATCAAGTTATAGAATGGATGTTCTTGTTATTTGCGGCATTATCGGTAAGCGATCACTATACTAATTCCATCATTTATTGACACTAAAAGATCGACGACTCACAGTCTTTCCTTTCCTTTTCCTTCTAACTTCCTCATTTCGACAAATCAACACTTCAAATTATCTCCCATATTACTTACTCCCTTACTCCTCTCATAAAGATCATCTCAAATTTGACTCAATTCCCCAATTAATGCATTAAAAAAACAACCAGAACCATCTAACAAAACTCCACTGCAAAAATCACCCCAAACAAACATCACCTCATCAACTCCCAGCCAATCCCCATAATTACCCCAGACAACCCTACCCAATTCTCCGACGGTAAGTGGATACATTCACCCAATAGCGGGGCTTATTAATCAATTCTCTATGCATCCTGCATTTCCGCGAGTGCTAAACCCCAGGTATTAAACCATTAGTGTCTCATTACGCATTTTTGGTGCGTTTAGCGAATGCTAATTTGAGATTAGTGGGAATCGTGTCTTGGACTTACCCCGCACGATGGACCAGTCATACGAGTTGTTTTGTAGAACAGGAGATTCGGGATATGGGCTGAGGAAAGAGGTGATGAAAGGGAGGGAGGAGGAAGGTACAAATGGTGGTGGTGTCCTCGTATTTTGTACTCTTTATCTTTCTTTTTATTTCAATACAATATAACACAATCTTATACATACAACATATCACTCAAATACAAAACTTTCATCGAATTTTATCGAATTTCATCACGGTGATACTCCAGACATCACTTGAAGAGTACGAGATATCGGAATACGATAGGATAAAGGAATTACACTGCATTTAACCTTATTACATCAATAAATCAGGCATCATGGTTGCTGTTACTGGAGTCGTTACTGCTGGTGGTAAGTGTTTGCATTTTATATCTATATTCTCTCTGAAGAGTCTCAAATTATTGTATTTCATTACTTGATGTGTATATGGTGTCGGTGTGGTACTACTTATCTACGTTGCACACCGTTACCTTCCTCTCCTATATCCCCCATCGCCACTCACATCACTCTTTTCCTTTCCTTCAGTCCCTTCATCTCTTCCCATGCTTCATCATCCCTTCCCATCACTCCTCGCCTCTTCCACTCAAACTAACACACCTCCTACAGCCTCAGCTCTCGGCCTCGCTGCCGCTCTCGCATCCATGCATCTCCCAGCCAAAACCTACCGCGTAGAACGTACCCGTCGTCTCTCCCAACCCGCAGACCAAGACCAAGGTGAAATGACTCGATTGGCATTGCAGAAAACCAACTCTGCTGGTTCTATCACCGAAAAAACAAAGGGTTCTTTCCAACCTGGAAAGAAAGTCTTGGGTCGGGTTAAGGAATAAGTGAAGAGTTATTGATGGGGTGGATGGATATGGTGTTAGGGTTTATGATGTCGATGGATAGGGATATGGACACGGATTGATATGTTGCTATGAGTTTATGAATGAGTAGCTACCAGGCTGTCTCAAATGGGTATGATGGTGCGATGGAGTTAATTTGCTTATTGTTGCTTTGGGTTTATACCTTCTTTTATCTACACATACATACTCTCATGTTACATGGGGAAAATCTAGAAATAGATAGATTTCATGATTGATACTTTGGAGATGGATTGTAATTGATATCACTCTTTTTTCTGGGAATGGCATTTAGCATGAAATATCAGAATGAGAATGAAATGAACACATACTTCATTCATACGTGAACAAATTTGATTGAATATCTAAATGTGAAGTTTACTTCTAGCTGATTAATTCCCAAAAGGACTAGAGGGGAGAGGATCTCGATTCATGAGTAATCTTATTTCTAAATTCGAACAGATCGACCGATGATGACGTGGCTGGAGTATACAATCTGTCAGTCAGTAGACTGGGAATGTCTTGATTTGGAATACAAGCTGTTGTATCCGGAGGTAGCTTGAAGATATCTATACCTAGCTACTTGGGTTTAAATTATATTTTTATTCTTTTAATGTTACTGGTTTAAGATTAGGATATGGGTATTTGATTTGTTGATTTGTTGCTTTGTTGGGTTGGAGGTATTATATGGAAGGAGGATATGAGGAAGTGATGTGAGTTGTTTATTTGATTGTGTTTTTGTAGGTTGGGTGGCGGTGGATTGCTGATGGTGATGAGGAATTTAATATCTTATTATTTATATCGACAATACTAAATAATTAGAACTATAATTAAATAATCAATAATAAAACATTCCCTTTTAATTTTGATATTAGTTTCTTTTTATCACCTGGTGTATTTGTTTATCTACTAGTACTTTTCTATATATCCAGACCTTAATCACCACTGTATTCAATTCTCAAGTCTCAGAGTAATAAACCATCTAAATAGAAACCCAGTCATACGTATCCTCATTGTTTTGTAAATCTACAGATAGATATTTTTATAAGAGAGAGATAAGGTGGGGGACTAAGGATATTTATAAGTAAATGAGTTGGAATTTATTAGATGGGATGTGGGTGGAGGGTGTTAATCATATCTTGTTCCATTCTCCTTTCTATACAAGAAATTATTTTCATTTCAAATTCATTTTTCTACTATATAATACTGTAAAGAAACCTTTCTAGGATTTTCTCTTCAGATAATAGAAGCCTAACTCCGATTGACAGGAACATGACCTAGGTTTTGGGAATTGGGGATGGGCCTTTGTAGAGTAGGTGATTAAATTTCTACTCTCTGAAGGGGAGGTATGAGAGATTTGAGATGGATTTACTGAGTTGATGTTGTGTATTAAGTGATATTATATGTATTAAGTGATTAAAGAAAAGATAACAGTGTTGAAGTTTTAATAACGGTAATTATTGTTATTAAATAATCTCTCTTTAATGGTCATGGCAAGACAAGTGGAGATATTGATAACTCATATATCTCTCCTCCTTTGTAATATCTTTTATCATTCTACAGAATATAAAAACACATTTCTACTACTCGAGAGGAAGAAGAAGATGAGGAATACTGAATCCCTAGTTCCTCAATTTATATATTCTAAACAAGTACCGGTTTTCTTTTATCTTTAGAAAACTATTTTCAAAGATGATATTTGAGGTTTTTTGTTTCTCCTATGATGTACAAGATCTAGCTGTATGGATTGTTATGGTAGAATCTAGAAAGATATGAGGAGGTTATGGGGATAATATATCTATAAGATCTGGAGATTAAAACTTGGGATTTAGTATTTACTCGGTGCTGGAATGTGAAGTACGAGGTCTGGATACTGGTGCTGAAAAGGGTGTGAATGAGGGGAAGGAGGACAGTGAATGTGTCGATTAGAATATAAGCTCATTCAACTATGTAGGTATTTCCTAAATTCATATTCATGGTTGCTCTATATAACAGATTCGTAATCCAGGGGAGAATTTTTAAAGGCTTTTCATGGAAGATGAATAGAGGATATGGTTTTAAGTACAGGTACCAGGTTTGCTTCTGTTATTTCCTGGGAGTGGCTAAAAACTGCTGGAACATCATTTTTGGAATGCAGATACTATGGGAGCTAGGGAGAAAGATGGTTGATGGGATGATTTTAATATACATTTTGTAACAACAAGAAACTAATAAATAATCATAAATTCTGTCTAATGGTAATCAATCTCTCATCTTTAAATCTTTTATACTGATGAAAAGGAATGACGATAACTAATACCTATAACATTACAATTTCTCTCTATTGGTTTTTATGACCTCATTGATCTAGGACCATAAATTCGCTAAGGATTTTGTACGACGACACTCCTGGGCGTAGTCTTCCATTTTGTATATTTAGTAATAAAAAGTCTAGATCAAGTTAGATTGTATTGATGTTTAAACTTCCCGGGGTCACATTTGGAACTCCGATCTTGGAGTTAGCGCGTCAGCTTCATAATGCGGATTAAGAGATATCGATAGGGGCAACAATTGAGTTGAATCTTATCAAATCGCAATCTTTCAAGTTGGTAGACTAGATTGAGGTAGAATCTTTGCGCAAATCTCATCACCTTAGTTGAAGAGTCAACTGGGGAAACATCAGTGTCAAGTCTTTGCTCGGGTATATACGTATACATACACTCTCCTCTTTTTCCTCCTCTTCTCCGGTGACACAATACAACAAATCCGGCTTGAAGGAGACTAGGCATGGTTGTGCAAAGGTGTTCTGAGTAAATCCTGCGGAGAACCAATATGTTCTTCTAGGACATATTGAGTCCCGAGTACATGATTACTGGTGTTAAGGATACTATGCACTACTATCTCGGACCGTCATTTCGTAATGATGGGAACAGGGTGGAAGAAAGTGATAAGTGATACCTTTTGTTGTCACTTATACATGTTTTACCTTCATCATATATCATAATCAAATTCGCAGTCTCTAGCCCTTAAGAAAGCAAAAAGTACATACATAAAGTACATTATATTCCTTCATGAACATACAGAAAATATATATACATAAAGTATACTATATATATATATCTTTATATAAATAAATATCCAAAAATGAGACTCTTGAAATTTGAAGTATAGTACATCCAGAAAGTATATATTAGCCTTATTTCTAGTTCGGCAAAAGTGAGGCCCTTCACTTCGATCTTTACGTCTTTAATTATAAATCATTTTCTATTATTTTTTTATTTTTTTTCAAAGATCACTCACTTTACCATTAAACCACAAGAATATTTTAATTATATAATAAATTTGATTATTTCAAATATATAGTTTTCAAAAGATTTAAATTTAGTATTAATAATTTTGATTCAAAATTAATAATTTTAGTTTAATATTGATGATCTAAATTCAAAATTAATAATTTTAATTTAAAACTAAAAACTTAAATTCAATTGATCTTCAAAAAAGTACAGTAATACTTTCTAGAAATACTTGAAATATATTTTGAAATACTTCTAGGAAATATCATTATATTTCTAGAAAATATTATTCTGAATTTTTGATTGGATTTAACTTCACTTTTTCTTTAGTGATAATTAATATTCAAGAAAAGTACTTCATTTATATACCTTTTGCTTTCTTAGGGATTCATCTATATCACCAGCTCAACAAAAAGTCTCCGGCTCCTCAGCAGACTCTTTTGTTGACTTACTTGCCGTTGGTATATTGTTACGCTTTCTCCTAGAAATAATAATCGGTGAACTTTTATATACAGTTAATTTGAACTTCAACTGCAGATTCACGGATTAGCACCGCGGGATCTGCTGGCCCTACAGGTAATGAAATGGAATTTACCCGTTCTAATAGGTTGAGAAGTATTTTCATCGTATAGGAATCGAGTTATTGTATTCACCTTCATATATAGATCTTTTACGCCAAGATACTGCCCCTCTTTTAGAATAAGGAGTAGTGGGATGGAATATAAATTGACTTGGATTCCCGGGAATGCTACAGAATCATAGAAAATATACATTCAAATGTCAATGATACAAGGTTTTCGAAGTCTTGAATTAGATTCTTTGATTATGATATATAATTCGGCCCTCAAGATCTATAAGTCTGAAAGTATCAGAGGCTTCAAAACGAATTTTGGTTCTCAATAAGGTTGGTGTTAAGATTTTGACAGCAGTGAAATATTATTCTTTTGATAATTATTGAATAAAACTGTTAGAGAAAAAAACGGCAATAGACCAGATTCGAATATTGCCGAATTTTGTCTGATTATAAATACAAAATAACACGTTCAAATTTATTAGTATATAAATAATATCGATATATAAAAAGCTATTCAAAGTTCAAAATGAGTTTCTGTGACTCGGGCTAGAGAAATTCCTGCCTCTATTTTTGATTATGAAAACGTTGTTTACAAGGGATAGCCATGCCATTCACTTGAGCTGAAGATCTCAGAATAACTTATTGGATTGCAGTCATTTCACATTCACTACTATTTTCCCCTCCTTAAATTAATCATAACTCTGTATTCTGTCTGCCACAGGCCTTATATAATTAGCTCTGTGAATAGTACTCTATACATGGTAGCTGGATAGGAAGCCTCATTGAGATCACAATGGGTTTTCTCGTTTTACTATTCTTGTAAGGTATATTCTAAGGCTTTTTAGTTCTGATTTAAATTGAGTTTATTGGATATAGAGCGGAATTTCGTAGATTCATATTCTTTTCTACTCAGATAATATATTGATAAGACTTATCTTTAATGACAGTGAGAATAGAAATGCCAAAAACAATGATAGGAATTTCCATTTATTAATTTTTTCATTAAGGATTTTAAGGAGCTTTGTTTATTTACTATCAAAATATTAAGTAGAAAATTAAAACAAATTAGAAGTTGATAGAAGCAATTTGAACTTGCCCAAGTCGGTGATATTGCTGTATTCCATGTGCTATTTCCCATCTTGATTTTCTCTTCAGTGTTTGAGGAGACTTGAATATTGGAAAAGTTAATCATTCACTGGTATCTCTCTAGCGTGTATTAAGCTTTCCGTCGTAGGAAAACTTGGGCTGAGAAGTATGTCTTTAAATACCGATTATAACGGAGAGGTGCAAAGTTAATACGAAATCCCGATAGTTCACGAAAGCCAACATAATGTCCAGGCCATAGATTTCTATCCAAGGAGTGTCTAGGTCTGATTAGCAACTCCAATTCAATTTGCCAAGTATCAATAACCATAATCATTTGTTTGTTCAGAATTGGTGATGGATGGTAGGATTTTGTATTAGGTTTAGGGCTAATCGTAGGAGATGGGGTCATTGTTCTTAGATTGATTGGTATCATCGTCGCATATTATATTACACATTTTATTAGATAAAGAGACAGTAGATAGAGAATCTTATAAAAACGAAAGTGTTAAAAAGGAAACCAACATTAGATAGTAGTAGCATACGACGGGTGAAAGACATTGAAACCTGTATAGGTCATGTCAACTTCCCGACCAATAACTGAAAATATTTCATCTAGTAAGAATAGCTCGCAAACCATGCGGGTATTCTTGGTTGGAATATAAACGACACCAATTAGTTTCTCGGGTAGAAGGCATTCATTTTAAGGAGTAATTAAGAAAGGTGTATTAAAATTTTAGTTTATGACTGGGGTTAGTAAGTAAATCTATAGACATATTATCCTAAACGGATTTGTATAAACTAGACTTATCATGAACAGACGGAATTATTCCTGGGCACATTGTGTTTATATTTATATTTGTAATTATCAAGTTCGGTTTTCTATTCTCGGTTTTCGTTTTAAAGCTAAAAGACTTGGCAATAATCCTGATACCTAGTGGCAGTAACAGCAACAGAGTAAGCACTTTGTTGTCACCACTTGGCGAAGATATAATCTCACATCTGATCAATCAATTCCTCAAGCTATTTTCTCTACGATTTTCGCTGCAGAATCGCGGCCCCAGGTGAAACTCTAGCCATAAATACCCGGTACCCCTTGTTCGAGATATATTACTTCACTGACTTATGTATTCATAAACTCAAAACATCATGAGATCATACGATTTATATAGCAGCAGAGTAATTCTAAGTATCGGAAAGTAATCCCTTCCGTATTCAGTCGGTGAATAGCTCCTCTAGTTCTTGTTGATCATGCCGGTTTTGTACGTATTAAGCGAGATTTCGGGATTTCGAAAAGGAGATATAAAATTGACCCGGGGCCCTGACTAGTTTAAATAGGTCAACAAGTAACAAGTCCGTCCGAACACAATAGGATCTTGTTGGGATAATATTTATGATTGATGTGGGTATTTATTAAAGTAAGGTAGAAAGAATACACTTCTGTACTGTTGTATAGTGCTTGATATCGTTGCCCGAGACACTTACTGCCACTAATCGTTTTATCAACATTTCTCGGGTTCATTTATCGCTGTCGAAGTGTGATGTGGGGGGTGAGAACTCTAGAAAAATACTGAACTCTGTATCCGTTCCCGTCATCATCTTCACATTCTTTCTATCTATGTCCTTCCGGCCAGTTTTCTTTTGAACCTCTAAGACTCATAAATCTTGTGGGCTGAACTTGTTACAAAGTGGTAAATTCTGCCTGCGCACTAATCTGCGCAAAGATATCGTCCAAGTTGGCAAACTTAGCGAAACCTTAACTGTTTCTTCAACTTTGATGGAGTAAGGATTTCATCCGAAGTTTTTGAATTTTGCTTGTCGATTGATGAAATATATATCACCCAGAAGCATTGTTGCATGTTGTCATGACTAGTAACTATGAGGAATTTCCCTCAAATAAAAAACATACTGGGAGTATATTATGCTGGAATGGAGTCCTCGAAGAAGGAAGTCGATCTTAGAAACTTGGCCTACCACTTCTTCATATAACTCAAATTCAAAGCAGTTTCTGATAGTGTTAATTATAACTTGAAAAGTGTGAGTGATATCGATGAAATATGTGGGATGTCAATCATGTAACCATGATGAGTTAGTATTCACTAGTCGAGAAGCGAGGATAAATTCTGGATAAACTTCAACTTGGTACGGTGCTTAGTGTGCATTAAGTTTCACTGCAATCTACGAAATGATACCAAAGACATCCAGAAAAGTCTAACGCAGATAAATTAGCGTCTAATCATGCTGCAAATCCAGTGTTTTATATTCAATACATCATATATCCAGCTCAATAAAAGAGATGGTGTATGAAACTATCAAGTTGGCCAAGCTTTTCCTTTTCTTGATTCTTCGTGTATGATTGCTCAGCGCAAAAGATAACCCGGAAAAGTTGGAGTTCTGTCGTAAGTGACACTATTAATTAATATCGAAGTTTTTGGGTGGACACCATACTCATCCCAGAACTTTCCAGTTTTCCCCAATAACTGTCTCAATCCCTTACTGCCGCAAAACACATAAATATCTTGCCCAAAATTGACGTCTGGCAAAGAAGAGGGAAACCGAAAACAATACAAATACACATTACACCGTTCAAACAAGACAACGAGTGCGTCAAGTTTCGTACATACACCCCTACAAAGCCGTCTCCGCATCATCACCAATGCAGTTCAAATTCAAAGAGCGACCACCAACCATTCGTTTCTATAACTTTATCATAACACTCGAATCGTCTCTTGATAGTTTCTATGAAAACAATTTCGCCACAAACCTCGAGTTGAGATATATAGGTAGGTAATAATATATGCCAAGGGACAGGATCCACTTCCCTGATCGTCCCAGGCTTCTTTTTTTAATGTAATATTATTCACCCCAATGACGTAGTTTAGGGAGAAGGAAGAGCTAATTAGTTATGAAAGGAAACACTTCAGTCCGACCCCTTTTGTCCCTCAAAAGCTACCGCTCACTTCTTGGGAAATGATGTAGGTATCAGAGGATTCGAAGATTGCAGAATTATGTTCGCCGTAAAAGCTATGTATTTACAATACCAAAGTTGACATAATTTCTCATCATTGTAGTTCTTTATAAATAAGACTGACTTGTCTTTCACTGTTATCCCTTCTATAAAATGATATATTTTCGTCAATTTATGGGAGTTATATGATCGAAAATGAAAACGAAACTTCAACAATAATTAAGGCAATGTTTTCCATTTTATTATATCATGAATGTAAGTAGATTAGATGTGAATAACTCTGCTGCAATGTGAATCACGGAAAGTTATTTATGTCAGGGGAACCAGAAAAACAAAAACAGTTTCCCATAACTCGTCTCCATGAGTTTCGCTCTCCTTAGTATTACAAGAAACAAGGAGAGATAAAATACGAGAATATATAATACATCGCTGATGCTGGCCAGCCATTCAATGTTTTTGATTTTGTATTTTAAGTAGCTACGCAATAGACCCCGCTATTTTTATTACTATTTCTCAATGTCATTCACTAGAATACGGCATTGATAAGAGCTTAACGTCCAAGCACTGCTGAACTGGTTTTGTACTTTATATGCACTAATATGCACCATTATATGTAACTGGACGGATATAAAAGCGAGGCTCTGGAAAAGCTTCCGAAGTTCATACAAAGCGCGCCGAACACAGTTTCAAAAGAATCAAAGGAAGCTGATCGGAATTCTTTCTAATATTCTAGATACCTCTATTACTAACATTATGTCTCCTACCTTAGACTTTATCCGCTAGAAATAATTGGGATTAGATCCGGTACCTCATCTGAATTGAGTCTTGGACTACTCGCAGACTGACAATGCGAAGAACATCCTAGCTATAGGACAACTCCTCAAAAGAAAAATACGATCATCAACAACAACAAACAACAAAGCACCTTTACCGTCCCAAATCTACCCCTTCCCAATTATATCATCCCCTGCCTTTCTATCACTATAAACCTCTCTAACTGCGTCCCTCCACTCAAACCATCCGGATTCTTGATTTGGATTCTGATAACGAACCGAAAGAAGAGTACAATATGAGGATATATATAGACTTCCAAGGGGTGATGTTTACTACCTACAAAATTGTCGTTGTGCGCTAAAAGGCTACTAATTCGTCATTCACCCCATTCACATTATCCACCCGTTATGCATCATCAATCTACAATCTATCCAATATATATCTCTCTCTTTCTCTCACCCCTTTCTCCGTTTACCATACCAATCACAAGAACCAAGAGAACCAAAAATTAAAGTCAGTAACATACATGCGTTTAAAAATTTAGATAATGAAAAAGCAATACATCCCAATTCACTTAGATCCAACTATCTCTTTTCTGATCCCTTTCATACTCTACACAAGCGATGCGTTAAAAATCTCCAAGTAACTTTGCTTCCATATCCTGAATAAGTAAAATATAGTACTCCTAGATATAGTTACATGGGTATAAAAACCTTGGATCAACGAATCATTAAACCCCTTGCCCAAGCAACCAAATGATGGAAATATGACTGGATGTGTGTTAGCTAGGAAAGATATCAGAGCTTTTCGCTTATAAGTGAAGAGGAATTAGAGGAATTACTAGGCTTGCGCTGCGTATTTTGTATTGGATGGATTATGGATTTTTGGTTGTGGTGTCAATATCTTAGGATTAAAATAGAAACAGGAAGCCACGACGATAATGATTTCTTTACCAATAAACTTTCCTCCCCTTCTTCGTTTTGGGCCGGGACTTAGGAGATAGGAAAGAAAGATGGTGGATACGTAACCTAACTACAAGTATAAATAAAAATACATATTCAAAAACAAATGAAATCAACTCCAATTCTTTGTAGACTGATAGTTGGCTATCCCTTCATTGTAGAGATCTCGAGAAGAGAAGGATGGAGTGCTTAAATAGATGGATTGACAGATTTAACGTATTTTAGATGTGGAATTTAAGGAAATAGATGGATATAGTGAGGTGGTGAGGCGAAGTGAAGTATTCCGGAATGATGGATTGAATGATGTATAGATATTGTTTTTATTAAATAAAACTACAATTGAATTCAAGTTATAAATCTAATACCCTACTTCTGGATTACTTCTCTTTTGGATTATTCTTTTACATCAAAAATTATCATTTTCAATTACTAATAATTCAACAATCAATAAACAAAATCAATTGAAATTTTAATTATAATATTTCTATATAAATATAAAAAGATTCTAAAAATTTCAGATTTTTTATGATTTTATTAATTGATATTTTGAAGATTGAAATTTCAATTTTCGATTTATATAAGATTTATATATAAATTCAAATAATATTAAATTTTAGAATAATTTTTCAATAAAAATTATAAAAAATAAATTTTACATCTTTTTCGAATATTTATATTATAATTGATCAAATAAATTAATTTATTATTTATTGAATATTCTCTTATATAAAATTTATAAAATCAATCAATATTTATATATTAAATCTATCATTAAAATTTGAATTAGTTTAATTCATTGATTATTGAATTATTAATAATTGAAAATGGTAATTTTTGATATAAAAAAGTGATCCAAAAGAGGGGTGATCCAAAAGTAAAGTACTAGACTTAAATATTATTTTTATTAAATAAAACTACAATTGAATTCAAGTTATACACTTAAAACAATAATCGGTAATCAAAAAACGAAAATAAACACCATAAGGAAACAATAACAATAACCCCCCCCCCCGGCGGGGAAAAAGAAAACTTCTCTTTGTCACGATTCACCATTAGGATTGATGGTGTTACGATGGTAGCAAACTGATTAATTAGGAGAGCTTAGGCCTTGTGCAAACACGATCAGATTTCATCGAATTAGTATGTGATCTTGGTCACCTGAAGATCGTGTATGCACGCATCATCAGAAATCACGTGATAAGGAGCCCTAGGAGCCCTCAAAGCTCCTAGAGCTCCAGGAGCCCTGAGGAGCCAGAAAGCTCCTGGGGGCTCCCTTCTTCGTTCATTATATAGTCAGAGTAGTTTCATAGTTTAGGAGCTTCGTGCTCAACTTAGTTATCAATTAGTTTACCTACATTCTATTTGATCTAGTAACGAATTCACTTTCAAGTGAATACCAGTGATAAAGCCTTAACCTATAACTACCAACCGACGAACCTTAGGCAGCCGCTGCCTCTAGTACAGTATCATTACACTCTTCCCCCTTCCCACTTCCCCTATACACCACCTATTCTCACCTCCCTCCAAAAACCCCCCAAAAACCCCCCAAAATATATCCAAACTCAAATCAACTTTAATTTCCCACGTTCCCCGGCTGAGACTTGATTAGTTTCTTGAGAATAGAAGAATTTGAGTGCTTAAATAGATGAAGAAAAGTATTTGTGACTAAATGAAATGGAGAGGTGAGGAGTAAGCAAGAAGTGAATGTTTATCTAGACTTCTAGTCATCTATCTACTCCGCAACCAATGACGGAAACACTTCAAGTTAGCCCAATATCCTAATATCTTATTATCCTAATCACCATCAAATCATTCAAGTATCCCACTTAATCCCAAGGAAAGTTAATCTAAAGATCTAAAGAGAATATCTGATATCGGTATGGACTTTGAGATATGATCTTGCCTTATGAATTTATTGATGTGACTTTTTGGGTTGGAGAGTTGAGATATCATATAATAAGGAAGCGATAAATATAAATATAACTCACCTACCAAAACCACCTTAACCTCCAACCTTCTTTCCCCCCGCACCCCCACCCACTCTCTCTGCTCCTAAGACATCTCTTCTTTTCTCTCCCCTCTATATTATATTCCCTCCCTGCTCCCTAGCCTCTGATACGTCACAGTCTCACATCCTCACCATGCCACATCCCCCCCCCCGGCCTACCCAGTTTCCCAAATCTCAGACAATAAACCTCAAAACATCTCAATCACTCAAATCACCCATTTTCACTCAACACACCCAACAAAATAAACAAGAATACAGTATTGTAATACCACTCATTATACTATATCATACCATACTAGGTAATAGGTATACTATACTACCTGCACCATACTATACTATATAATAAACCACCATTATTCATCACACCATCACCACCATCATTAAGACTCATTCCAGCCCGTTCTAATCCAATCCATTCCAGTTCATAGCATCATTGTTCTTTTTTATTTTTCCATAGTGAGGGTATATGTGGATATATGTGTGAAAGGGTATATAATGTAGATCTCTTCAAAAAGAGAGAAGATGAGATGAGATGGGAGAGGTGAGGTGATGAGGTAAATGAAGAGGATAAAGAGGTATCTCAGGATATACCTAAGTATGCATGGACCCTTCCTCCTGCCCGGACTAGCCATCCGGAAAAATGAAATCTTGGATATTCCCTAGTCTTTTCTTGGCACTTGGCTCAGGACACATTGCACAGGGCACAAGACACTGTGCCCAATCCAAGAACAAAATAATCACCATTCATCCCCGGCTCGTAAGAACCCCACCATTTCCATACCCCTCAATCCCACTTCCATTTCCACCTCCCTCCACTTCTCCTCCCCTAATACCCACTACAACCCCGCCGCACTATCCGCCAAAACCCTCCCAACATTCAACTCTAAACTCAAAACATTATTCGAAAGCGCCTTCTCATAATAAACCAAATGCTGTCCATTAAACACTGCACTCTTCCCCTTAATGATCAACCCCACCAACTGGGTTTTAGCATCCATACTCGCAATCACCTTTGCCTGATTCAATGTTCCCACCATCGGAAGCGTACTTTTCCCCGGTACTAGCGTCATATTTTCAATCGTGGTATTACCCACCACGCCGGCCGTCGAGGTGCTAAGTTCCAAGGTGACGTTACCCATGACGATGGTCATGTTGGAGGGATTGGGAATGTATGCGTCTCCGGAGAGATTGGGGCCTGTTAATGCGGTGAGGTTGACGCGGACGTTGGTTACGTTGAAACCTTTTAAACCGTTGAGTCCTTTGTATGTGCTTGTTTTGTTGTATTTGATAGAGGTGACTGGGAGGGCTCCTTCGTGTAATTTCGTTTTTCCGACGAGAGCAGTGGTGACGTATTCGTTGCTTAGGACTGCAGTGGTGTAGTCTGATAGGGCGTCGATGTTGTAGATAGATACTTCTTGGTTTTTCACTGAGATGGTGGATTTGGGGTGAAGAGCGTGGATTTTGGGAAGTGGAATGATTACCATCGGTTCTGATGCGTATGTTCCGTTTGTTACTAGGTAGGAGGAAGCGTTGAATGGATCTAATGTAGGTGTGTACATTGATGGACTGTGAAGTGTGCCTACTTGACTAAGAACAATGGTATCTGGAGCTGGATTTGTGAATTGAAGTTCAGTGATTTCGAGAGAAGAATCATTAACGCCATCTTGGGCAATCTTTGGCATGGCGACATAAACACTGATTTTGTTAGTATAAATTTGGAATGGGTGATTTTGAAAAATACTTACAGACATAATGCAATGATGAGGAATACTATGCAAAAAACAATAAGATGAATCCACCAAAATCGAGCACAATGTCTCTTTACTTTTCCACCAAATGATCTCTTTACTGGTGAAGGGTCTCTCTGATATTGTTCAACCTCCTGTCTCTCCGTCGTCTTATTATCATAATCATCTGAACCACCCGACATTTTGATTATTCAACGACTAATTGTTCGAAATAAATGAATTATGAAATATGGTTTTTTTCGAAGTTTTTTTCTTTTCGGGTGGTAAAATCTCGGAGTTATTTCCGCTCGCTCGATGGGATTTCGAATGAAATATGGTAATTTATAGTCAAGATGGAAAACCAATAAATCTCATAGAATGACGTCTCATTCCCAAATAAACAAAGAAACAATTTCCCGTTCTAAAGATGACGAGGACGGTAGAGCAAAAAATCTATAAAAAAAAAAATCCAATAAAGAAAAAATTGCGAAACTTTCAATACTTCTATAACTTGAAAATGGACTGTGGGGAAGGAAGGGAAACTAGTTACTAATGCGGAGTATATAGCATGTGTACGGAGTAAAGGGAGGGGTTCTCACTAGGACAAGGTGACATGTATCAGAAAAGGTAACAAGGAAGGGTATAGATCTACTTTTGAAAGCTCTATGAGGAATCATCTCCGATTAGGAGAAAAGTATCATATTATTACAAGCATGTGAATTGTAAAATGAATGGCAAAAACCATACACACACACTCAAGGTTTCTAAATGGCTTATTTTAGTTTCGTCCTTCGCGATGCCCGATGAGATTTACACGACTGGGAAAATGACAAATTAGCTGAACGAGTTGGTTAAGCTTTTGGGCGTAATTAAAGGAATGATGTACTAAACCTATACAGATGAAGATTGACATAGCTTAATCCATTTAGATGGTAGTGCCAGTGTACCACATACCATATGAAGGTTTCTACCGAGAAAAGAATTCTCACCAGTTCACAGAGTAGGATCACAAGGTGAATGGTTTGTACCCATATTACCGCCACTTACATGCACTTACAACCATTCCCATGTTATACACATCAGATGCCAGATCTCAATTTCATCTTCTTCGGTGGATTAAGTATATTAACTATTAGCCTCGGTGGACGGGACGGCGATGTTCCTTGTATTGGGTAAAGCTTCAGATGTTGGTTTGATTTGAACCTGGCTATTTGATATGTGGTTACATACTAACTTATGTGTTACCCCGGAATATACCTAATACCCCTGTATCTAGCGATCCATTCGGTAGGAGGTCTTGAGTTGGTATAATGAGGTTGTATTGAATGAATAGTAACGTATTGATATTCAAACAGAGGGAGAAGATTTACAAGGGGATTATCTAGCGAGATTAGCGCAATTTGTTTGGTTGGCCAATTATGAATTGAAATTCTCTCTCTTATGAATCAAGAGTTACTCAAGTACGTATACAGAGTATTGATTGAAAAGAATTTTTAAAGAATATTCCCGATTAGGTTTTTTCTGCAGTGATAGAGTTTTGTTGATCTATTAGTGCTAGTACAACTTAGGAAGTGGCTTAATAATGTTAGATTTGATTTGATCAATTCCGATCAATTTTAACCAATCAACGACTTTAGAATTGAAAATATCCTGTACCGGTACTAGTTTGCCCCATTTAAGCCCCGCGAATTTTGGGGTAGATTTATTTACTCCACTATGCTTAAGTTGGTCTTTGCTCAAATGAACAACAACAAAACTTTTTAACTCTTTAACTGCCGTTGGAAAATTAGAATAAAAGTTTTAGAACTGATTTCTTATATTGTCAGGAAGTCTAAAGCTTAACGTGGACGAAATTAGTCGATTCTTTTGCCAGTTTATCATTTTATGGTATATACACATGGAATTTCCGAATTGTATAGAACTACTTCCTGGCCTCACAAGTACCTAGCACAAAATCTATGGATACCACTGACCGATGCATGAGTAAGAGAACTAAGTAAGCTTTTCAGTAAGTGGGTAAGGTATCCATTCAGATCTCCACCGGCAGTCTAGAGAAATCTGCCTATCGGTCGAAATATCAGGTTTTGGAAAGTCCATGTCGAATCTACTCTACCGGACACATAACGGTACATACCGGTGCCAGTAGCGTACGTAGCGTACATATGCTCCCTTCAGGAACATTAGCTCATCCTTACATCCCTCATCATCATCATCATCATCATATTCTGTACTTTAACATTTCGAAAGTCTGCATTTTCACATGAACTGAATCGTGACCGAGGACTAATTGAAGTATCATGTATATCTTACCCTGAAACGATAAAGGAATGCGATAGATAAGGTATCTACCAGGTATTTGATCATCCCGAGCTATTTTGTTGTCTGCGGGATATAATGACCCCGCATTCATGTGGTTGTTGACGTGATAGTCGAAGATACAAACAGGATGCAAGAGAAATGAAGTTATTGCAACTACGACTTAGGATTTCAGGAGGATAAATGATGATATGAAGGTAGTAAGGTAGGATACGGGAGTGATGATAAATTCTAGAAATGCAAAGAAATGCATGGCAAATGCGGTACGATGCTACACAATGTATGTTGCGCACATGTCCCGGCTAGATGTGTTTAGAAGGAAGAGGTGGAAGATGCCAAGCACAAATATCCAACATATTGCCAACAACCCCGCACTTGAACCAAACTTCTGGGATTGAATGATCAAATCAGAAAAGTCTGAGGTAATTTCCAAAGATACGCGTTCAGTTCTCTGAATAGTTCGTTCGGTTTGTGATGGCATACGGAGTAAGTCTTTCCCAGCCTTTTTGCTTGGAACATCGTATTTTGGTTCGTGTTATTGATCAGTGTAGGATAGTAGTCTCTAATAGAAGGTATATGGCTAATAACTAACCTAAGTACATAAAGGAATATTTGCACTCAAATAGCCAAAAATAGACAGCTCGAAAATTTATATACAAGTTCTATACTTTTTGACGATAGGAATATAATATCAAGGAAGTATTTGAATCGCGCTATTTCATGATCAGAGGAAGACTTCCTTGAAGTCTAGATCAATCTTTGAATTTCAAACGAAGCTTATGAATAAAAGTAGATGGCCTCTAATCCAATTTGGACCAATGAGTTTTCTCACCAGTATCCAATGAATGATTGTCCCGTGTTTCGGTTCGGATAGGTACTTCAGTTTCGTGTCCTTTAGTCCCGATGATTGGCTTCGAAAGGCACGTGCTTGCTCAGAAGTTAGCACAGTCTAATTCACATCCAATAGCACAAGTGGATTTCAAACGAGTTCTTCAGTGTTAAGAAGATTTACAAATATTAAATAGTTGAAGGATTATCCATCAACTCTAGGATTATTATTGCGGTCAGTCCTTTCCCATCACGTGACAACCTCAAATCCAATGTAACCTGCGCACGTTCATCTCATCATCAAGAACAGGCAACATTTAACTATGATGAAGGCATCAAAAGTCTCTTAAAATTATGGTACGCCCGTCGATTCGACAAGAAATAGTACGTCAGCAGTACTCACAACTTTACCCATAAGGACAACTCAAACTCCCGAGACAACATATTTGTTGCATGTCGGATTTTGGCCAGACCTGGGTCTATAAAACGCCCTGGATTTTGTCGGAAACGATCTTGGAAAGAATCGTGGCCAGACTCAAATTCAATATTACACTCAGACAATTCAGGGTCTAGATGCAAGACGCACCTTCATATGAAATGAATTATTTGGTTCAATAATAGCAGGACTGAGCTGTAACGACGCATGAATTATATTTGATACCGACGCCTAGAGTGGACTTCTGTACACTTGTACGACAACAATCAAGCACACGCATTACAGTTTCAATATGGAAAACAATAAACGCATATTAAGATCCTCAAGCTCTGTTTCAAAAGTCTTAACATCACTTCTACCAAACTCGATGTCAAATCTAGACCAACCAGTGAATTTCATTTCTGTGGAAAAGTCCCCATCTCCAAATGTGGACGAAAAGATACAACTGGTACCATCCTCATCCAAATTACGAAGTCTAGACCGAGCCGAAGTGACACTTCTTCGCAAGAAACAATCTCGACTTACAGCTACTGCATTATCCACATTCAAAAATTTACCATCAGGAACTCATCTATTGAATTCAATGAAATCCACTTTGATATTCGCGCAATATGAGGCAGGAACAGCTATATGTATTGATCCAACTGGATGGATACTTACATGTTCTCATTGCTTTGGTGACACCGAAGACGAGTATCGGAAAAATCCACGTCGATGGCTTTTATATTATACCGGTCTTGCACTTGAAGTTGAATGTCGTGTTTGGGATCATAAACGTGATTTGGCATTGATGAAAGTTATCACCATCGAAGTCGATGATGATAATTCTGAAAATAATATTCCGCACTTTTCATTTGTGAATTTGGCAGCCCAACTTCCAGATGCTAAAACTCAAATTATATGTATCGGACAACCAGGAAGTGATGATTTAGAATCTTTAAATAACCGCAAGACAAAATATAAACTTATAGAAGTATCAGAAGGATTATATCAAGGAATGATATCTGAGAAAGATCCTCAAGATAACGAAGAGATTGTGTTGGTACGAGAAGGATACGGAAGACGTAGCACCCACGGATTATGTAGGTCCTGTATGTCTAATTGTATTCTGTCTAAAGAGCTAGCTACATATTGAAAGTAGTAAGTCTTATATAGACTTACTAAAAGAGCTAGTCTCTTTCGCGTTCGCTTAGTTCTTTATTACAGTAGTAATTGAATTGAAGTCATTCACTTCGTTCACACAGATTGGTACCCTAAAACATGATGCTTGGACTTATTGGGGTCATTCTGGAGCACCTTTGTTAAGAAGTGATGATGGATTATTGATCGGATTGCATTCTTCTTGGGATGATCAAACTGCTATGAGGCATGGTATTCCGGTTGTGGCTATAAGGGAATTTTTGGAAATATATTTACCGCGTGCGGAATGTCTTAAGGGTGGTGGGTCTGTGTGATTAGTGTCGTAAGACTTTTTGTTCTTTGTATTAGATTGGTAGTATATACTATTATGAAGCAGGATGAGATAAAAGGAGGGGAGAAGTCACTGGCTCGAGATACCTCTTTCGGCATCCAAGGAGGAATCTCGGGAAGTCCTTCGCTATCACAACAGCAGAATCTTCAAATCAATTACCCAGGCAGGCAGACATTCTGAAGACTCTCACGTACATGCTAGCTCTACATTATCCGCCGTAGGTTACGCACCCGCGTATTCCCGCCGAGAAATTCTCCTTTTCATCTAGCCTCCAAGTTAAGCCGTTTTCGTTCCTCTGTGTCGTCGACATCACTGTCGCCTCTTTCATCATCATCATCATCATCATCATCAAGCTTTCCATAATCTACTCATGATTCGGCCCAAACTCTTGTGCGGTCTCATTCACCAAGGCTACGTTTTTATTAGCACAGAAAAACACAAAACGATGCTTTTCATTCGTCTACAATATATCCATGTACTACTCTAGATTTGATATGCCATTTTCAGACTTATGTTAATCCCTATATTCAAGTGCGCCCATCCATCCATACCCTTTTCTTCTCCCCATCCTTTTCCACCTCATCCATCTATCCCATCTCCCCCTCATCCATCCATCCCCTCTCCCTCCATCTTCTCCCCCCTTCCCTTTCCCTGAAACAAAACCAATCACAAACATCCCTCACTAAACTCCCCCTTGATCCCTCATCTCTATACCCATCCATCAACACATCAACACAAAAAACTAATCACCCTATTACTTCCCTCTCCAGATACAATGAAATAAATCATCTGCTCTGCCGTTTGCTTCCCCTCCACCTACACCTACCTGCGTCTACGAGGGTGTGGTTGATTCGGGGTTTTTATTTTGGGGGTTTGTTTGGTTAGGGTAAAGTAGGGTAGAGTAAATGGGATTGGATTGGATTGTGTTAGTTGTGTTGGTTGTTTTGCTGGATTTGTGGTTTGAGAGGGTGAATTGTGAGGAGTTATGGACAAGGGGAGAAGGGTGGGAGTAAAAGAAGTAGGATAACTGACTTCTATGCTGAGGAGTGTTCTTCCGCAATTATTTAATTCGGGCTTACAGTTACGAGCTAGGGTGGTGGTGATGAGGGGTGAGGGCGAGAGTGAGGAGGAGAATGGGCCATCTGCGTTGATTTGCGTGAAGTATCATATCATATTTGTAAAATAACCTCTTCACTGGCCTTATAGTGTAGCTCTCACTGGGGAATAATTAAATATCACATAGCTGGGAACTGTATCGTGAAAGGTATGTCAGAACCACAGGGAAATCTATTAAAACTATTCCCGAAATCAGATCATGAGAATAGTATGACTTTGAAAGGCACAACCGAATCAGGATGGGATTGACAGTTTCACCGGACATTTATGTATGATAGAAAGAAGGAGAACTTTAGAGATGCACAATGCTGATATGATTTACTTGTACCACTTGAGTTAGAAGGATTATCTCATCTCATGGATGTATATGCTACTAAGCTACAGATCTTACTCATATCTATCCTTGAGAAAGTTTTGATGAGTAATATAATACATAGGTAGGTATTATATGTATGCTTATTATATATTTATTATGCAAGTAATATGTTGTACATATGTCCGTGTTCTTAAGAGTCCTAACATCTAATTATTATTTGTGTTATATATGTATAATGATCAGAGGGAGTGAGTAAGTCTATGTTACGAGGTTTGCCGTCTAGATCACGTGGAAGTGCTCTAGGCTCTCGAGGTAGGTTTATAACTAGGCGTCAAGTAGGGACTTAAAGTAATGACCATAATGATATGCTATTCGTAACTAATAGTAGAGTATACTAAATGATTGATCTTGAGCACGAAGCTCTATACAAAGGAAATCCATCTTGATTATATAGACCTTCATGCCTATCGTTCCTTCGGTCCCTTCGATCCCTTCGATCCCTTTACCGAAGGGATCGAAGTGTAACGATACTATACTGGAGGCAGCGGCTGCCTAAGGTTTCGTCTGGTTGGTAGTTATGGGTTAAGGCTTCATCACTGGTCTTCACTTAGAAGTGAAGTCGTTACTAGATCAAGTAGAATGTAGGTAAACTAATTGATAACTAAGTTGAGCACGAAGCTCCTTAACTATGAGACTAAATGAATGTTTATATACCCTATATCATCTTTTGAGGACCTTTGGGACCCTTCGGTCCTCAAGGTCCTCGAGGTCACGTGAATTAATGAATCGTGACACGAAGGGATCACATGACTTCGTACGTGGTCATATGATACGAGGCCAGAAGCCGTCGTAACACAAATGAATTAATTATTAAAAAAATTTTATCTTTATAAAATCAAAAGTATCAATAAAATTATTTTTATATAATATAATATTTAAAGTCTTAATTCAATTTTAAATATTTGATTTAAAAATTCTAAAAAAATTATATTTTAATTTTATTAAATTTTGTTGAAAAATTATTTAAGATGTTCAAGTTATTTAAATTTATATATAAATTCTTTATATATAGAAAATTTGAAATTAAGTTATTAATATCTCAAATAAAATTATTAAAAATCTGAAAGATTTACAACTTATTATTATATAAATACTAAACTTTTAATTAAAATCAGGATATTCTATAAATAAATGAAAAAGTTATTGATAAATAAAAATCGTTATTTTTGGTATAAAAAATGGTTTAAAAGGGGGATGGTCTAAGGATAAAGTATTAGACTTATAATCTTCTCATTCTTTCCCTCTCTCTATTCCAGATGCAAGGGCCAAAAGTAGACGCTAGATAATCCAGTACCTCTTTCTTTCTTCTAACCACTCACATCTCATAATCCCTAATTTTGATCGATATACAAATGAAATAATAAATCTCTCCTCATAGCTATTTCACACGCAAATTTCCGAGTCTACCAAATCGTGGCGGTGGCTGTCCTCGCCTACCTCCCACTGCTACACCTCTTCTCCAAAACCTCATCTAATCTCCTCACCATCTATCCATCCCATCCATCCTCTCCATCCCATCCATCCTCTCCATCCCATCCATCCCATCCATCCTCTCCATCCCATCCATCCTCTCCGCCCCCCCCGCCCCGCCCCCCCAGCCCTACCACTAAATGACCAAAGACAACCCCAATCTCCTCACATAATCTTTCCACTCTCCCCGGCCCTTTTCGAAACACCAGCACTACTAGCTGTACAAGCCATAGATTTTTCCAATGTAGGAACAATTACTCCATTAGGATATGTTACATCGACCTTTTATTTTGAGGTAGGGGTTAGTTTTGATTATTTGATTTGTGCATTGAGAAATTTGGGGATGTAAAAGGGAAAGGAAGGAGAGCGGGAAAAGCCAGAAAGGAAATACTAGATAATCAGAGAAAGGAGATGGAAAGCCTGGAAAGGGCAAGGAGAGAAATAATGAGGGATTACCACGGGAAGACAAAAAATATCTCTCCAAAATCATTGCACAAAAAAGTAATACATACGTAACTCTCACTCCATTCACAACATCCTGTATTAATTATCTTTCCATCAATGGGACTTGTACATTCCCATTCATTTGCGGTAAGTGTGGTGGGTATACCATTCCATGCGACGTTTTCGGCTAGTAATGTTGCGTTTGTACCTTTTTGGTTTGTTAGATCGGTCTGTTTCTTTTCTTGGGTGATGGAAGAAGGCACGACGAGGGCGAAGGGAGTGACGGAGGAGGTAGGCAATTAGGAGTGGGTAAGTAGACGTAGTGAAAAAAGTAGTGATGAAGCGATAGAGGAAAGAGGGATATCAATTCGGACAACATACAAGAACCATAAACCCCATACTCATCCACAACACAACAACCACCAAAATAACTACTCAAACATGTTGTAGTACGCGTAGACTGGATTTGAGCAGTATCTCTCGAAGATATTGAAGAATGAGTGTAGAGAGGAGATGCGGAGATAGTGAGCAGGAGGTTGAAGATTGTGAAGAGGCTTTGTTGAAGCATTTTCTGTAATTGTTGTGAGGTTTTGTGAGATGGGTTGTTTGGATATTTTGCTGTGGTGAGGTTTGGATTTCGAGTTTTGCTTATGCTGGATGTATGACAGAAAGATGGACTGAAATAGTTATGGTAATATAAAATTCAATCAATATCGATAAAAATCAACCCGATTTCCAATACCAATATCAATATCAACATCAAAACCAAGCCAAACTAAAAACACAATCACGAAACCCAAATTCCCAAAACCTCACACAGCGGAACCCATCCATTATAAACCACAACCTTTATCCTACCATCCTATTTAATCCTATCCATTATAAACCCACAGCCTTATCCTCCATTCCAACGAACTCCATCCATTCTATCCATTCCGTCCAATTCATCCCACCCATCCAACCAACCCAACAAATCCCAATCCACACCAACCCCCCAACCTAGGCCAAACCCCCGGCCCACAATCCCGAAATCCGGGGTAAACAGGGATGGATACACGGAAGAGTTTACCGAAAAAAAACCCCCCCCAAAAAATGTGGCAGTTTGTAAATTGCTGAGTCGTGTGAGAATATTTGGGGTAATATGGATAAATTTGATTAAGGTTAGTGGGGTCGTGAGGTCTTCTGGTGTTTTGTGGTTTATATGTGTGTGTGGGATTGGGGTTGGGATTGGTTTTGCGGAGTATTGTTTGGGGCTTGGGTATTGAGGTTGAGGTTGGGGTTGGGGTTGGGGTTGAAATGGGATTGGATGAGATGAGATGTCAACGTGATCTGTGTTAATTTTCGGAAAGGAATGAAGGAAAAGGAAGATGATGAGATCTTCAAGATGTGTTTGTAAATTCTTGGTATCTGAATCTTTTTCTTCTTCCCCCTCTTGTAACTTCTCCAAAGAAGAAGGCGAGGAGACTCTCTTGAATCCATAAACAGGCTCATAGACCCCAAGATCACGAGGAAATCATGTGATATAAGATGTAAGTCTTAAAAATATTAACGAGTACTACTTCATCTGATCCAGCTCGAAGATTAAGAAATACACATGCTTGGTGCAAACACATTCTCTCATCCATCGAAGACCAAAGCTGTTTATCCGAATTTCCAAGAGTCATCGTGATTTTGACAGCCCTCGATATATGAGTTTGACGTAAATGTAAGCTTCGTGCGGAAAACTCTGAATTTTTCAAATTTCCAGGAGTGATTGAGATTTGGAAGTACTCTGATATGTACCACTTGAATGCAGCTCCATGAACTGGACTTTATATTTATATAAATTTCCAGGACGGATAAATTCGTTCACTGTCGCATTTAGCCGGTCGGTCAGGTGTAGGTAGGCAGACTCGTTGCGGCAAACTGTGAAATAGCGATTTCCTCCCATCTTTTAGATGCTGTATGTCAATCGAAAGTAGGTCATATTGCGTGATAATAACGAATGAGTAAGTACCGCGTTAGGAGAATATTATTGAATTTTGATCGCGGCCTATCCCAATCCTTCAATAAAAGTCAAGTCGAAATAAATGTTGTTAATCTCCTGACATATGCATGTATGTACATTAGCATGCAATAATAGAATTCCAAGCCTCGGTGTATCTTGTACCGATTCATTCATTGGCTACAGCTTAATTGAACATCATTTGTTCGTGCCTGCATATTCTCAGGTTTTCCGGTTTGATACTGAGAGATATTATGGTTTTGGAAAATCGCTCCTTGTGGATTTGAAAATGATGAAATCGTTAACCGGATACATCCGATATTTGGGATTTCTCATCTTCGCTTTGTCAGTTCGAAAAATGAACTATGATCATGTACTTAATGATCAGGCTAAAGATCTTGTCAAGTCTTATCCTCGTCGTACGGCATATCATGAGATATCGCTCTCGCCGTGAGAGATATATGCTCGAATCTCTAGTGCTTATATCAATAATTGTGCCGCAAGAAAGGATTTCATACTGACCAGTGATTTCATGGCTCTCTCACGGTCAGAAAAGATTAGAGTAGCTAATTGCATGATTAGCAGTGGCAAATGTCCTTGACATTGACTCAACTCGACTCGAAATCATGATTAGTATAGTTCAACATTCTTCCACGACTCCGAAGCTCATTCTAATTCTAGGCTCGAAATGTCTCGAAATTTCCATCTCGATTCATCGGAAAAATACTTGGGGTCAGAAAACCAGTTTTCCCAACGTATCATTGCCAATACTTTCAAGACTCGCGAATATCATCACCAAGGTGGCAATAGCTCAACATCCTTCAATAACTCCGAATTCCATTCTAGGTTCGAAATCTCTCGAATTTTCCAATCAACGGAAAAATGCTCCAGGTTAAAAAACCAGTTTTCCGTAGATATCACTGCCAATACTTTCAAGAGTCAGAAAATACCATGACCAAGGTAGCAATAGTTCACTCAAACCATAGATAAACCAAGGCAACCATCTTAAGCTTCGGAGATATTGAATCCGTATCGTGTTCCTTTCGGATTTCGTACTCCCCGAAGTGAAGATGTGATATCTGATAATAATGTTACAATGAATGTGGATTTCCTACCCATGATGCTGAAAAAAATGTCTCGTATAAGCGCCACGATGGATCTTTTGATAAGATCGTATCCATTATTTAGACTTTTGCAGTTTCGCCGTTGAAATGTCAGATATGTCAAATATTAGATGACAATATTCTCTGAGTATCCATACGTGGGGGCTCTGCGGGAATGCAGGTTGCATTCTATTGCGAAGTTGCTGATGAAAATGTCGTGCATTTTAACTTTTCCGTACGCCCGTAACTTGAAGAGCTGGGGTCGTCGGTAAAATGCGGTTGCAGCTTACCACTATGTTGCAACTTTGCTAATGAAAATTTGGTATGCTTAGTGTATTCCGTACGCCCGTCAGTCTGTTTGAAGTTTGCTTTGACATCTCATCGTACAGTCTCCAATGAAAAAAAGTCCGTGGGGGATAAAATGTGATAGTGGATGCACCAAGGGACAAGTTGTCAATCTGCATTGCTGCAGTGACAGTGGAGATAAGATTTTGAAAGACCGACAGATCACAAATAATCGCTATTAGTTGCCAAATTGTGATAGGGCTCGCAGCACAAAGTATGCAGTGAGACTGAACTTTTGAAGTTTCTGAGTATCAAAATGTGGAACACGATGGTGCTCGGCTCAACTTGGCTGATGCTACCGTGCATATTTTCGTGTACAATTCATATCTTCGCTTTATTGCTGTTCATGGCAAGAATTGTGCAATGAACTCCACAAATGTATTGTTCTAGGCAGATTTAAAAAAGTACAGGTGGTTGGTGGATGAAATTGTGCTCAAAAAAAGCTGAGGCGGTGGTGTTGATGTACATGGCCAAGATACTTGGGAATTCTTGATGTTACAGAATCCTACCCTATTACTACACCATAATTCATCCTCACACTTGTAGATTTGTAAACAATATATCTTAATAATAGGTCACTTGACATGTTTCAGAAGATCCAAATTTGCCAATCATCCTCAATCCAAACACCCAAGATTCTTAGCAATCAATAAAGAAGCTTCGATCACCAAACTAAGCCAAAACTTAGAAACAAAGCAATAAGCCAAGTTGAGAGCATCAGCTCCTATCTACCGTTTCCCGTCGGCACATCGAGTAAAGATCGTTGTTAAATCATTCAAAAGTGCTTGGTAGATCATGCTTCAAGAGGAATAGTTGTTGCCCAGCCCAGCACCAAGATCTCCCCAAACCTTATCATAGATGCCAAGACCATCATTTCCCTTGCAATAGTTTAAATCAATTCGAAAAGGGTTAACTTCAAAGCGGATCGGATCGATTGTAGCACTTTGTGCGTACCTTGGCCGGAACACCGCTTGTAACAATTTGGACTCCAAAATGTACGGAGTGTGATGGGTGGAGGAGGGAGAGGAAAGTCGTCTGGGTAACTCAGTCCTCTCCTCAAATGTTCCACAAAGCGAGAAATGTCACCCCTTTTTGGAAAACAAAAACAATCTGGAGAAATTTCGAGTAACGTTTCTCATTTTTTGCATACCAAAAATTATATGAGTAAATACCATAAAGAAACTCCCAAACTCCATAAACTCGCCAAGGAATTATTGAAAAGAACTTGGCAGGTACAATCACCAGTGAATTAACATCACCAATAATATTTTATATTTTGAACATATCCCGCGCCTCGCGATTGAGATATCTCGATAAGGAGAATTGGCGTGCCACTCAGCAGTCCATTCCCTCCGCCCATGTTCTTTATACAGACTCCGGATTGGCTGCCGGAGTTCCCGTAGATTCAGCGTGAGATTTTCTTTGGTTGATAATCGTCGCCAAGAAATATATGAGGGGGGGAGATTTATTTTCCTAGTCTTTCTTCATCAAAAATCAAAATAATCCGCGCCAGCTGGGGTGAAAAACAAACTTCTCTTGGCAAGTCATCATTTCATGTACCTACCCTTCCATTGCATTCAGTGCCATCTTGGCTTACTGATGTGGAGTTTGGTGAATCCGTTTTTTCTGTCTGGCCAAATGGCGCTCAATCATGCCCAGGATCTTGTCTGACACAGATAAGTGATTCCCAAGCATTTTATGGTTCTAATATTGAGATAATGGGTTGAAGTAAGAAAGAGCCATGGAGGGGGGAGGGGGGGAAAGTACGTTCGAAGAAATGTATATATTCATCGACATTTCCCTCCTCTTTTCCCTCTCATCATTCAATCAACAAACAATCAAATAACCAATCTAATACACCTCGCTTCCTTCCAACAACACAACAATATCTCACACCTAAAAACCAAATCAACCACCACCAAAAATCATCATGTCTTCCACCACTCAACAACCACGTCTTGGTAAGCTTTTCATTCACCCCCATCTCACCTAATCATATACTAACAAACTCACCAGACCGTGCCTACTCCACCTCATCCTCCTCCTCCAGCACATCCAACGATGGCTGGCTCGTCCTCAACGGAGAGAGCTCCTCCAGCGTCAGCACCCCCAGCGAAGCCACCGACGCATACAACCCATACCTTCAACTTTCCCCCGTCACCCGTCCAACATTCAGACCCACCGAGAATGCTGAGGACAGACAAAGATTGTTCTTATTGAGAGCACGAGACAACTAGATGGTTCTTTTTTTTTTGGATGGGAGTACAGGATTGGATACGTGACTTGATTGCATGGGAGATTGATAGAGGTAGAAATTGCGATTTGCATTTGTTACCTTTCTAGGATTACAGAATGAGGGGATACTGGCGAAAATGGGGTTGCTTTTGATGCAAAGGTTTAAGGTCATTTTGTTTGGTTTTGAAGAGATGGGAATACCAATGTTCTCTTGCGATAGATGAATAAATGGAAATAAGATATAATTTCGAAAAAGATACTACTTCCTTTTCCACGTGATTGATTGTGTTTGAGGTTTCCAATGTAAATTTCTGTGGTGTTGTGTATGATTTCAATCTTTGGTTATATTCTTCTCAAGTATTCATTACCAATATCTAGATACACGTTTGATAAAGAGAAATCTGCAAAATGTCCATCTCAAACCTCCTCTGTCTCCGAATCCCTTCAACATCCTCCAAACATTCTTCCTCCTAGCAATTCATATCGCGTGACCACGAACCACAACCTACACATCCAAAACCCGCCCTCAAAAGACGGAGAGGCAGACCATCATATTTCTATTATTTCTTCGTCCTTTTATCTCTATATATTCCAACTTATCTAAGCATAACAAACGTATATAAATAAACCATCTACCACCTTTCCAACTCCCCAACACTTCATCCACCTCTTCCTAAACATTCAACAATCTATCTTTAAATCTAAAGAATAAAACAGATTCTAGCGTAAAAGAATCTTAGAGTTGTTTTACCGATATCGCCATCATCTCATATATTAATGTACATGAGCTGAGCTAAACAGATCAAAAGCACGTGTCTCGGCAAAAAATCCATGAAGATATATCCCCCCTTTTCTGATCCCCATGCAACCCCTTCCTTCAACATACCTAATACCATCCTATCTAGAACTAAAACAAACCCCAAACATTCCTCTTCTATCCCCTCCCTTCCCTTCCCTTCCCTTACCTTACCTTACCTTACCTTCCCTTCCCTTCCCTTCCCTTCCCTTCTTTCCCAACTCCCCCCACCAAAACACCCCAAAAATCCAAAAATCCAACCGCCCCCTCTCACACATCACATACCCCCAAACACAACAAACACATGCTGGACTAGCGGCGAATCGAACGCCGGACCTCTCCCATGCTAAGGGAACATTATACCACTAAACCACAAGCCCGATCTTTTGTGTTATTTGATGAAAAGTTTCACGCTAAAAGAAAATATCATGGGAAAATTTGAAGAGATTTTTTTGAAGAGATTTTCCTGTGAGTAAGGGAGGGGGACGAGTGGGGCGGGGTGGGAAGTGGATAGGGATGGGAAGTGGATAGGGATTTGAACTCGGATATGGATATGGTTATGGATATACTTCGTAGTGTGATATGGGGAGGGGAGGGAGATGAGTGGGGTGGGTGGTAGGGGAATCGGACAGTTTTGAAGGAGAAGGATGGGCTTGATGAAAGATCTTGTAGTTTCTAGAGTTCATGTATACCTCGGGAGAGATCAAGTGAGTAAGTCTAGTACCTGTAACGATGCTGTACTGGAGGCAGCGACTGCCTAAGGTTCGTCTGGTTGGTAGTTGTGGGTTAAGGCTTTATCACTGGTATTCACTTAGAAGTGAAGTCGTTACTAGATCAAGTAGAATGTAGGTAAACTAATTGATAACTAAGTTGAGCACAAAGCTCCTATACTAAGAAATTATTCCAACTATATACTCGTTGTTTCCTTGAGTGCTAGCTCTGCTAGCCAGCTAGCAGAGCTAGCATGTCACGTGATCTCCTATTGGCCTCAGGACACTAATCCTGGGACAATTCGTCTCCTGGGATACTATAGCTCCTAGGATAATTGTCCTGGGACAAATATTATCCTAGGACGTTTATCCTAGAACGAATAATGTCCTAGGACACTTGTCCTAAGCCATCACGGTTGCCTAATTAGTTTGTCCTAGGATAATTATTATCCTAGGACACATTTTATCCTAGGACACTTGTCCTGGGATTCCTTATCGATAAGGACCCCCTCGGAAACAGCGGCCCAAACCTCCGTACTTGCTTTTATTGTGTTATAATTGTCGCGATTCGTGACACTACCCTCGTAACATATAAATATAAATATACTAATCAGATATATTATTTTAATAACTTTTAATAATATTATTAGATAATAATAATAAGTTATTTATATATTTTAATTTCTAAAAGAAGTAGTATAAAGATATATAGGTATTTAGAGAAGAATAGAATTAACTAATAGCTACTCGAGTAGTCACTAATAATATAATCAACACACTATTAATACAATCAAAATCAAGATACAAGAAAGTTTCCCAGATATTAAAGTATTATCAAAATTTTGTGTCCTATTTCATTCTATCCCACTCCATCCCTATGCACTCGACTTGGATATATCATACAAATATTTATTTCTCTCCTTATTCCCCTCCCCTTCTCCTTCCCCAAGCCCCCACCCCCAACCATCTAATCCCAATACCTAATCGCACCATCCAACCCCGCCGTCGCCACCTTAGAGCTCTCCTGAGGATTCCACTCCACACAAGTAATAGCCTCTTTACTCGCTTGAAATTTATGATACATCTTACATTGTTTCCAATCCCAAAAGCATACATAACCACCACTATCACCTGAAGCGACAAATTGTCCATCAGGACTACATGCCACATCAATTGCATAACCCGCATTATTATGTCCCTTGAAAACTTTCTTTCGATTTTGTCGAAACTTATCTGTAGCTCCATAAACGAAGATATTATTATCAGACGATTGATATGCTACCCATTTTTTAGATGGATGTAGTGATGCTCGGGTCATAGGATACATATGTGGTTCGGCTATAAATTTAATAGGAACTGGAATATTGTAATCCCAAGCTCGTAATGATTTATCATCAGATGTAGTGATGAAACGACGATTTTCATCTACAAAAGTGATGGTATTAATAGCTGCAAGATGATGATCGTATTCTTGTACAATTTCCCGAGTGCGAATATCGAATTGAACAATCTTTTTATCGGCCATACCAGCAAGGAATTCATTGCTATGTTCTGGATCAGGGTTGAAGCGAACGACGTGAGGAGATTTGCCGGTTGTGAATCGATTTATACATTGACCTGTCTCGGTATCCCATAATTTCATCATGCGGTCGTAAGATGCGGAAAGGAATTGTGTACCAGTTGCGTTGAATGCAACATCTGATAAAGCTTTTGAATGACCGGAATACGTTCGTAATAATTCTCTTGAATGATAAGCATCCCAAATTTTGACAGTCGTATCTGCACTTCCTGAAAGAAGTAGATGTCCAGACCCTGGAAAGAATCGTATTCCAATAACGGGTTTTGTATGCCCTTTCCAAGTATGTATCATCTTCTTCGGAACGTAATTCTTGATACTTCCAGGTTCTTTCTTCAAATCCACATCCAAATCCTGCGGAATATGCATATAGGTCCGTCCTTGATAATCATATTGTTCACTTCCTTCGAAAGTCGTTGTCTCATCACCCAATTCTTCCACTTCCTGCCGTTTCGCCAAAGCTTGCGGTGGTGCAGCAATAACAGTTCCACTCTCAATTACATCCTCCTCCCCCTCTACCTCTTCATATTCTTCATCACTTCGTAATGGTTCATCTTCATCCACCTCCTCATATTCATCCCTCTTATATCTAGCCCAAGGTCCAACATACGCGTCATCACCTTCTACTATACTTGAATCTCCTTTCTTCTGTCTCTTACTTCGTATCCTGGCAGCTTCTTCTTTAGCTTGCGCACCTGAAAGATGATTCCCTCTTCGCTCTACCGCCCGATATTGATCTCGAAATGTATGTTCACTAATATAAGTTTCCTCGGCATGTCCAGTAAGAACGTTTTTGCGTTTAAGTGAAGTTTTCTCGTCTTTGAATGGATTTGCAGGACCTTGTGTTGCGCGGGCTAAATTATCAGCACTGTATTGAACCACGGCATGTTCTGGACCTTCTGCATTTCGAGCGATCAGGGCATTTTGAGGTGCCATATTAGGTGGGTATGCGCCAAAATCTGCCATTTTGATAGACTGCGTTGGATCGATGGGAAGAGAAAAGATTATGGTGATTTATCGTCGCAAATTGTTGGCTTCCCCGTCACAAGGTCGAACTTGAGTACAAGGCGCGAGATGATTTTCGCGATAGTGACAAGGCTGAAAACAACAGTCACGTGATGATTTTTGAAATACATGGCGTAATATAAGCTTTGCTCATATCGATTTGCAGTAATGAATTTGTTTACCCAGTAGATTATGATTCCTTGTCATATAAAAGTATCAAAGTACCATCAGCTAACAGAGAAACTCTTTACTTGTAGAATAACAATTCATTCGTATCAAAAAACATGCTGTTTCTAGCATGTTAGGTATCTATCCACATAGAACTTCAATACGAAGTCCACTCATTATGAATTCCCCTCATTTCCTGCCAGGACACCAAATGGTAGCGTACTACCATTACATCCAAACCACCGCCCATTTCATCCATTCATCCATTCATCCAGCCATACCATTCATAGTTAACATATCGTAGAGATCATGGCACATTTAAAACCTGCCACCAATTTTCCGTAATCCTCTAGTTCCTTCTCGTCGAGCAAGTTCTGCCCTTGACTATAGAACCTATAGCTATACCTATGCCTCCACTTTATACCGGTCGCCAATATTGTTCTGGAGTCAATGCGACTCGTCTCGGATCAAGGCGACGATCATAGAGTAGAGATAGAAGAAGAACATGATAAGATGGAAACCGAGCTTAATAAAAGATTCCTATCAGGTAGAGAAACGTTAGTGGGAACTTTGGGGATCATCCGGATCTGAATGGGAAGTTATCTTACTTTCTTGTGGACATTGAGCTTTCTAAAGATCTCAGTGGCATCTAGAAGATGTGCGTTATCAACAATCCTAAGTATCTGTCAGCGAGAATCCTAAATATTCATACTCCTCAGACAACGTACTTCTTAACATTGAATGCCAAAAGTGGTAGATTGAGAACAAGCGCGACCCAATACCCGTTGATGAGGAATAAAAAGGTCAAGAACCCATGGACGGCCGCTTCAGGAATAATGTACGTGTTCAAACGGTTGCAAAGGTCGATAGGATTGATGTAGTCACTGTGTCATTCAAAGTTAGCATTATTCCAGAGTATGATGAAGCTTATGTTCCCCGGAGCAGCAAAGGATCAAAATACATCCTTATCGCATGCGGTACAGATCATGGCCCCTCCACTGTATCCATCCTTCACAAACCTGAATGGTTCCTAGGTCTGAGTAGTAGGAAGATAAAAGAACTCACCACTCGAGATCACTATACATAATAGTGAAGAACACTTGTAAGAACAGATTGACGGCATTGATAAGTACCGCCAACAGGTATAACCATGCCTCTCCTGACATCATCTTGGGCAACTTGTATGAATCGCGTTGAATATGCGATTAAAAGTCCGTTTGTATATTTATTGAGTTGTAGAATCTGAGATGAAGGTCTTGAGAAATAGACTCGAGACGCGATGTTGCTTCTAGGAGCTCGGCTGCTTGCGTGCGTGTCGTTCGTTGTCTTTCTGAAGGGATTTTTTTTTGTAGCTCGAGTTTAGTAGGTAAGCTGTAAAGGTGGGGAAATCCTCCAAAATCTGTACGGCGTCGATTGTGCCTTGACTAAAGAAGAGACTCAGTATTGATACGGCTGACAGAATTAATTTTGCAGTGAAATAGCGAAATGGTCGTCCGAAACTTTTAGAAACATATGGTAGAGGTAGAGCTCTTGGGGAGTGGTAAATTCGGATGATGTCTTCAAGCGGCGAATGACGCTTTTGGATAGTTTTCTGTTGACAAACCAAGGTTTTTATCTGATAGGAGGACAACAGTTTATTCGCTTATGCATGAATAAATTATGCATACTTGTCAGGGGCATGAAGATTGGATGGAATTGAAGATATAAAATACCAAAGCCTTTACTGTCAGATATTCCAAGGATTGCAGTGAAATATTATATACAATCAATCTACTTGTAAGTTGTCCCCTCGTTCTTAGAGTTTAGAGGTCGTCATGAATTTAAGGGTCGGCTGGTGGCTCGAGCTTGAAAAAGACCATTCCTTTTCACATGGGATTCATACATCACACAGATTATACCCTTACTCTTCTCTCTATGAAACCCCTTTGGCTAGTGACTTGGCTAGAATCTTTCTATACTACTGATCATTCAAGCTGTCGCTTCCTTCTTCTCTCCATTCGTTTCCTCTGCAACAACCGGCATTGGTATCGGTCCACCAGGCGAGTTGGGTAATCTTGCTGTCAATATTTCGCAACCGTCATCGGTGATCAATAAAGTATGCTCTGCTAGATGTTAGTAAATAGTCACCGTTAATCATCAGCAAATACACGTACCAAATTGAGCAGTCATCTTTCCATCTTGAGTTACACTTGTCCAGTTATCAGGCCAAGTCTTATCCTTGTGTGTCCCTAAAGCAATCATGGGCTCAATTGTGAAGCACATTCCTGGTTTTGCTGCACCAACAGCCTTATTCTTCGCATAATGAGGAATATTTGGCGCACAATGAAATAAACTGTTGATGCCATGACCACAGTATGCCTTGATGACGCTGCAATTCGATTCCTTGGCGCGTTTTTCTATAATGTTGCCAAAGTCTCTGAATAGTACTCCTGGCTTGACAATTTTAATAGCCAGATCAAGACATTCTCGTGCAGCTTCTACCACTCGTACTGCGTCAGGATCTGCCTTTGCTTTATCACCAATATAATATGTTTCGTTAAGATCGCCGTGGAAACCTCCATGATAGAGTGTAACATCGATGTTGAGAATATCACCATCCTTCAAAACCCGCCTATCTGGAATACCATGGCAAATAACTTCGTTGATGGACGTGCAGACTGACTTTGGAAAATCGCAGTAGTTAAGAGGAGAAGGATATGACTAAATATATCAGTAAGGTTGACTTATCGTACAAAAAGATACTCACATTTCTGTCTAAACAAGCTTTGTGTACAATCTCATCGATGTAGTCGGTAGTGACTCCAGGCTTGGCGGCTGCAGCTGCGATATCCAATACTTCTCTACCCAATCGACAAACCTTTCTCATGCCTTCCTGTTGTTCCTTGCTCAAGATTTCAATCTTGTTTCTTTGGCTTGTTCTTTCACTACGTGGAACTCCATCTCGCCAGTAATCGGGGTGCTGGACAGTTTTTGGTACTTCTCGGCGATCGGATAATGGGTAAACAGGTCGTAATGATCCAGTGAATGGGAAGGTAGGAAAAGGATTGAATAGACCGGTAGCTGGATCGGGTTTAGAAACGACTTTTGGGGTAAAGATATTACTGAGGATATTACTCTGTGACTTGTGTACTTTCTTATGTTCAGACTATGATCTTTGTTAGCCTTGCGCATAGATTGAACAAAGTACCCCTCACGAAAATACCGTTTGGAGGGGTAAAGATGCATGACTGGCTATTGCAGATTCCATTGGAAATGTAAAGCAGCTTGGGTGATGAATATAATTGGATTAAATGGTACATACCCAACTTCTTTTAAAACAATCTTGCGAACAGAAAAAGCTATCCTTTGTACCGAGCTTCAAACATGTTGGACATTGTAATGATCCAGCTTCATTCTCACAATCAACGCCTATGCATTTTCTCGTAGCCACGGAGTCTTCGGCTGCCATTGTAAAAGAGATCTACAAGAAATTTATGAAATGAGAATATTTTAACTTTTTGAGAGACCTTGATGGTTAAGCAGGCAGCTCTATAAACTAATAAATAACAGGTGAAATAATGAGGCGAAACTTCTGGTAAATTTCTGTCAGCCGTATTTTGGATTCCCTTCAAAAAGTTGTTGTAGGAAGGGCGTAAAGAATACAACCCAATTAAATTGAGCTTTTATGCAAAGGCGGTGTCTTTTTTAAGGTTACGCTCTACCGGTTACGACCTAGTCTAGGAAAGAATCATGCCATCCATCACGTGTGGGAAGATCGGTGTGATTTTATTGAAATGATTACTAAACTTCTAAAGCCATCCCAGAACCCAGACCAATTTCACGATCGATGAATCACCGGACCGGAGTATTATATATTTTAAAGATGTCATAGATAAAAATTTTGAATTTCTAAAAATTTCCTTCATTCTTCTAGAGTTAACATTGATTTGAAAATGTCTAGACAATCTTCAAGACAGAAGACTGTCATCATTGGGGCTGGTCCTGTTGGAGCATTAGCAGCTTTATATGCAGCTCAAAGAGGGGACGATGTAGAAATATATGAGCTCCGAAGTGGTACGTTCGTTCTAAATTTTTTATCAATTTTTGTCTAAATTTGCTTGGGATGCAATGAAACTATACCATGAAGTTCAAAATGTTTTGTATTTGATTCCAACCAGATTAAGTGAAAGTTCACTGTGATGAAGGAGCCAATATCACCAATGTCAGATTTTTTACAGTGGAATTGTTCGAGTGAAGTTGTCGCCACAAATTCTTCAAGAATGGTTCTGCTATCGACGTGTTTTAGTCGAAAAGTAAAGACATTTCATCCTATCGTATTGTTTTGCCCTCAAGATGTATACTTTACTGGATGACGAGTCACTTCCATTATTTATCACTCCTGTGCTGCCGCCATGATCTCCCATTAACAAAGTCCTAGATCTACGGGATCCTTCCACAACACCGTTAAATTTCACAAAGTCTATCAATCTCGCTTTATCAGAACGAGGTATAAATGCCATTAGACAATCTGGTCGTACGGAGCTCCTAGATAGTATCATGAAAGAAGCGATACCTATGGGAGGTAGGATGATTCATGGCGAGACAAATGACAAGGAGCTTTACGAACAGTCCCAAGATTATGATATCCACGGAAGAGTATAGGGACATGTGATTCCGATTGCTTTTTTATTACTGACATCATTTTCAGTCAATTTATGCTGTGGATAGAGGAGATCTTAACAAAAGACTACTCGACGAACTTGAGTCTCTTCCTAATGTCAAATTCAAGTTCAATCACAAATTAACTGGAGCGGATTTCAAGAATAAAAAGGCATGGTTCGAAGTTCATGGTGGAAAATCACTACAATGGTCTGTCGAGATCAGAGACCAAGAAGTAGAGGTTGATTTCGACTTCCTCATTGGAGCTGATGGTGCTCACTCGGCTACACGTTACCACTTAATGAAATACCTCAGAATGGATTATCAGCAAGAATATATCGACACCTTGTGGTGTGAGTTCACGATAGCCGCTCAGGAAAAAACTGGAGATGATCCGGTATCCCGCTTCAAAATATCTCCAAACCATTTACATATATGGCCAGGCCAGGATTTCATGTTCATTGCAATTCCCAGCACGGTATGTGGGCCCTGTTTTTCTATTTTTCTCTCAGTTACCTTCTCACATTTTTTAGGATGGCTCTTTCACATGCACTCTCTTCATGCCATCGGGACCTTTCAATGAACTCGAACTAGACCCTAAAAATGTCCCCTCATTTTTCGATGAACACTTCCCAGGCGTCACAAAACTGATTGATCATGCCTCACTAATATCATCATTCACGAATAACCCCCACCTTCCACTCATAAGTATCAAATGCAAACCATACCATTTTCAAGACTCGGTCATCATCCTCGGCGATGCTGCTCACGCTATGGTACCATTTTACGGGCAAGGAATGAACGCTGGTCTGGAAGACGTTCGCGTTCTGTACTCCATTCTCGACAACGAAAAACGCAATTTCCCTCGCCTTAGTACCGAAGCCTGTCGCTCAGTGGCTCTAAATCTATATTCCGAAATACGCAAAGCCGATGCCCATGCTATCAATGATCTAGCTCTTCATAATTACATAGAAATGCGTGCTTCCGTCATCTCACCAGTTTACAAATTCCGCAAATGGTTAGAAGAAACCTTGAGTGTACATGTACCTCGTCTCGGGTGGCAAACAAAATACGCCCGTGTTAGTTTTAGCAATGAGAGATATTCCGAAATCGTAAGACAGAGCGAGAAACAGGGGAAATTAATCTTGGTAGGATTAGTTGGTGTACTGACATCGCCCTTTGTGATGGGAGGATTACTAGCATATTATAGATGGAGAAGAGCTCATGCGCCTACGAGAAAGTTTTTGGGCATTGGAGCAATGCTAACAGCATGGTTGGGATGGAAGGCTTGAGAAGATCCATGTGTTTGTATATTTTTCCTGCACATTTTCCACTTCTTGTATTTTTATTACGATAGACACTCAGATTTACATAAATCATAAATAAGTCAAGACAAGATGTTACTTTCTTGCGGAGCGACATTTATATGTTATTTTATTTCATTTTAAGAAGTATATTCAATAACCACCTCGGGCAAGATTGACACCGAGTGGATATTGAATATTCAATTCAATATTGTGAATACAAACAAGTTTTCAATCCCAAGTGGGCAGGGATAATTTTCTCCCAGCAAATATAACTCGCTGGTCAAGCTCGATAATGATGGTAAATACAGCCCAGTTCTGTTGACGTATACTACTGACTATTTTGCAGAGCTTAAAACCACTGTCTTTGTGCTTCTCTCGACGTTGCAGGCCCTTCCGGCCGCTTTTCAGCTCCGTTCTAGCAATGGAAAACCCCTGTACGGCGAACTGCTAAGACTGAATTCCGTGATCAATTTCGATGATTTTGATCTCGACCTGATCGAACCTCTTTTGGATGCAGCGCTTGCAGACAATCCCGACGATGTGCTCATCTGGGATCAAGTCTACGGCGCCGTCACCGAATTGATACCGCCTCTTCGACTCATAGGATCTTCCCTTCAACAAACCCCGCTCCGCAACAAAAGCAGCTTCGCGAATTCTTCTGAACATCGCAAGTACGCGGATGCTGTGCTTGAAGAGGAGTTCGGCCCTATCTATGTCGGACTCCCCAATTTTCACGAGAAATATTTTGGAAATGTTGCAGACCTCGAGACGGCATCCGCGGCAGTCTTCAAGATGTGCATGGAAGGCGACAGTCACCCACTTTTTTGAAGGGTGGAGTGGATGGCCCAAAGATGAAAATCAGGGTGACATCTTGAGCTGGTTCGCGGAAATCAGTGAGAAGCTGGCAGCATTCGCAGAGGACTACAAGTCCACACCAACACGTCAACGAAGGCCATTAGCACAGCTCAAAAAGTCGATTGATGGTTCCATAGCGGAGCGCAAGATTGCTGTCGGATTCGTGAACGATCCCCAGGCTACAAAAGACTCGAAATGCTCTGCCTTCTAAATTCTCGTGCCAGGAGAGCTGAGCAGCAGCCGATCCGCGGATATAGCTTCAGAGGCATGGTTTGATCTCGGGAGATATGCAAGAAAGGTGCTCACTGTCCAAGATACTCGGCGCTTCGTTTTGGGTTTTACCATCTGCGGATCTTTCATGAGGGTATGGGGGTTTGATCGGCTTGGGGGGGGGGGTCGCATCCGAACAATTCGATATTAACGAAGATGGCCTACAATTTGTATCCACAATCCTCGCGTTTCTCTGGATGAATGAAGAACAACTCGGTTTTGATCCTACGATTATCACAGAAAATGGCTTGCGGTTTATTGAAATTCAACGGGATGGTAATACGGAGCGGCTCATCATCGATAGGTTGATAATACGGGCACGTTGTATATCCGGCCGGACAACGACTTGTTGGAAGGCCCATCGCGAGGAAGAGCCGCAGATACCGCTTGTTATCAAGGACTCTTGGCAGTAAACGGAGCGTGAGGAAGAAGCAGAGTTGCTCCGAGAGGCGACCGACAAGGGTGTGATCAATGTAGCCCGATACTATCACCATGAGATTGTCTGGGTCCTCGGTGCAGATGACGACGTCCGAAGCAATGTGCGTAAGGGACTTGATATCATGAAGGCGGAAAACTACCCTCCAGGACGTTTGATGATATCTCAAAGCATGAATACAGCTGATGCAAGTAAAGGTCACGGCAGTGGCACTACCGGCTTAAAGAGGTTAATCAGCCAGATTGACGCCCCTCTGCCGCCTAGCAAGCGACCCTGTTTGATATCTCTGACGAAGGCCGACACTAATGTTCTACAAAATCGAGTGCATCGGCGTGTCATTCTTCGTGATTATGGGAAGCCGATTTACATGGCTAGCTCCCCAGCAGCTCTACTCAACGCGCTGAAGGATTGCATTGAAGGATATGAGTCGTTGCATAAGGCCGGCTTCCTCCACAGAGATATTTCAATCAACAACCTCATGATTAATGAAGACAAAGAGAACCCTTCCTGGCCTTCGTTCTTGATCGACCTGGACCTTGCGATCAAAGAAACACGGGGGGGGGGACTTCTGGCACCAGAGGAAGGACTGGTACGAGGGCTTTCATGGCCATTGGGCTCATCTTTGACGAGCAGCATTCCTTTATGCATGACCTCGAGTCAATCTTCCGGGTGCTTTTCTGGATCTGCATTCACTATGATGGACCAGATCAGGAAAGGGTCGTTGAAGAGTTCGACGAATGAAACTACATATATATGAAAAAATTGGCCAAACTGAAGTTTGCTATTGCGGCGAATGAGGTAATACTCATAGATACGATCACGGATAATTTCACGCCTTTTTTCCAGCCGCTTATTCCATGGGTGAACAGGTTACAGGAGGTTGTCTTCCCGAATAGGGGGTGGCACAGATGGAATGACGAAAGGCTCTACTCCCGAATGAAAGAGATTCTCCTAGAGGCATGCGAGAACTTGACTTAATAGACAAGCTTAATGGAAGGAATACTAGCCGGAGATCGATAATACTAGCACTCACAGATATCTACAGGACCAAACGGATGAGCCAAAAAGGATGATCGGAGCATGTGAGCCTGGCAGTTCATGGGACATGGCCAGATCACATGCATTATAGGATTCCAAGGGCTCGCGATAACCACCGCCTCGTATCAACGGTTGCATATTTCCGTGCGTAAGAACATGCGGCTATCTCTAGCTGAAAAGCATAGGGACTTGGTATTCGAGCTCAGATATTGTCGAGCTTAGCTTCCAAGTCTCGGAAGGATGTGATAAAGTCCTGCTGTTACTTTTAGCAGCCGCTGCAAGCCATAGTGTGAATCCACGAGCCTGTGATATCAACTGGGTGACCAGCTGAAGTGCCGAAAATGGACAAGCGCTTACGGTCACATTCCACTTGCGTCGGAGATCTGCGATGTTGGAAAAAGTCATCGATGGCCTGTTGAGCCCAAGACTTCCGTGAGGGAGGAGGCAAGTTCCAAGGCAGCAAACACCCAGCCAGCCTCCTTCAAAAATTTCCAAGTTTCAAGCACTGCAACGCCTAGCCGACTTGATTGCTCTACAATCATTGGACGGCCCTTGGGACAAGACCAACATGGTGCTTCTAGCTAGGCTGCAAAGAACTGTAACGATGCATAGGAGAGATCTCATTGGCTTTAGCTCACCCCGAATTGTAAGAGTTATATACAAATAGAAGGCGGCTTCAAATTTGATCCTATTTATTTTTACTAATATACATCATAATCTTCCACACTAATTATTTTAGGAGTCTGGTTTTGTAATACTTTCTTCGATTTGGGCGAGCGATCATTTTCGGTGTATTTGTAGATATGTAAGCAAAATATATATTTGAAGCTTTAATTTTGTTCATTATACAGATCATAAAAATTTTGAGGGGTATAGACGGCGTAGGATAATCTGAGGGTAGAGAAGATTTCATTCATGTATGAAGTGGGAAAAATAGGTCAGGATAATTGTCTGAATGGATGTAAGACTTATTACGAGAATGGATTTGAGATCTTTGATTAAGAAAGAAGCCATTTCCGAGTTCCTTGTTGGAAGTTGTTGATGAAGTTTGATAATAATGGTGGTGTGGAATTATATCGAATATTGTATAACTCATGGAAGGTTATTGCAGAACCTACTAGGCAGGATGTCCAATAGTCCAGACTGATAGTCTAGATGTAAGCTTTCAATATTGATGAGAAATTCTTTGGAATATTTGAATATAATTCAGTAGGTATCTGAATACAATTTAATATTTCAAATAATTTTAAATATTTAATTACATTTGATATCTAAGAATCTATACATATTTGAATGTATTTTAATTGATTTCAATATTTTAAGTAAATTCAGGAATTCAAAGCTTTTGATTGTTGGATTGTAGTCCGGACTATTGGTACCTTGATACTAGGCCTGTTTGAAGCCTTTGCTTTGCTGGAGCAGAAGTGAAAGTTGATTAAAAAGTATTCCTTCTAGTTAATTGGAAGAATGAATTGAAATAATTTCGTTTGAAATATACTTACTGTGTTATGTTGTGTTGTGCGTGAATTTATATGGTAGAGGCTTGGGATGGTGGATCTGTCGAGATTCCGGGTTAGAAATACAGACCAGGACAAGTTTTAAGGTCAAGAAGTTATGGATTGTAAAGCTGTAGAATTCCTAAACTATCTGAAGGGCTATTTAAAGGTAAACACCTTAGTCGTGCCTACCCTCTTAACTAGGTAGTATGCATTGCATACGTTGCACCTGCCTGTAGCAAATGTCGCCACACAAGTAAACGCAACAAATTTTATTTAATTTTTGAAATTCTCAATAAATTTAATTTTCTTTATATTGTTAAATAAAGCTTTTTAAATTGATTTCTAACATAATGTTTTAATTTTAAAATCTTATTAAAAAGTATTTTATTTTTAACTTACAAAATTAAAAAAAAATATTTTTAAATGTGACGGAAATCCCTGCTTTCCTCCCACCCTTATTATATAAGAAACCTCAGGTAACGTGGTTTATCAGCATGTGCACCATATCAGCATGTGCACCACTTTTACCTCAATTATTATCTTTCAATTAAAATAAAATTACAACAACATTATAAAATAGAATTAAATTATATACAATCTAAGGATCAGTTAATGCTGGATCTAATTGACAAGTTCGTGCATTATGTGAAGTACTACCGCATTTGCTACATCGTCGTATAGTAGCTTGCCTTCTTGTTGAAGAATCATCATTTGTATATTCGTCGCGTCGTATCTGATCATCTACATTCTCTTGCTCTAATATATCATGCCCATTCCCTACTGAAAGTGCTCCTCCTTTTCGTATTAAAGCTTTCTTAACTCTTCGACATTTACTAAGTGCTTCATTTGCTTTACGGAGATTATGAATCTCAGCAGTTAAAAGCGTATTTGTATAAGCTAGGAGCTCTGTACCCTTAGCTAAAGCTGCAACTGTTTCAAATATTGGAGTAGGTGAGCTCCCTTGATGCCGAGCAATACGACTTTTCACTAAAGTAGATTGAGAGAGAGCTTCAGTTGGATTGTGAGGTGTTTGAGATTGCCATATATCAGGATCGGCTGATATTGATCTATTTGATGGAGTTCTTATTCGAATATCTAGCTTTGAAAGTACAATTTCCGGATTAAATGGGATTAGCCCAGCTCCGCGGAACCCAGCTTTACCATTCGATATAGATATTGCTTCGATATATGCAGCTTTGAAGGCTTGAAAGAACTCGGTTTTGGTAATATGAGTGATATGCGCCTTGATAAAGTTCTCGATTTGTCGACTATATGAACGCTTTAAAGGACCAAAACAACTGATATCAAGTGGTTGAGTTAAATGCGAAGAGTGAGGTGGTAAACTAAGTAATATAATATTGTGTTCCTTGCAGTATTTCTGAAATGCTGGTGATTTATGACTTTCATGCCCATCAAGCACTAGCATTCGATATCTACCCACTTTCCTACTTTCAGTATGTTTGTTGAAGTGCTTAATCCATTCAAGACCTGTCTCATTATCTGTCCATCCATTGGTAGTAGGTTTAATAAGCCAATCGTATGGTAAATCGCCTTCGATATACCAATTTGAGAGGTGGTATTCGCCTTTTACTATCAAAAACGGAGGTATATTGTGACCTTCTCCATCAACACAAATAATCGCTGTAGCCCATTCCCGATTGCCTGGTTGTATAGCTTTGCTTCTTCCATATCGATCAGCTTTAGTAACTACTATATGTGATGATATTTGTCCCATCATAAAACCTGTCTCATCGAAGTTGTAGAAATCGCAGTCCAGAATACCATATTTGGCCCGCATATTCGATACCAATCGAAACCATCTTTCAATAAGCTCTGAATCTTCGCAGAGAGCTCTTTGAAAATCATAAACGCGATTAAAACGCGTCTTTAATTCTGTATGTCGTTTCACAAAGCGATGAGCCCAGAGCTTTCCAACCTTCTTCACACCCCGCGTTTCGAGTATATAATTCGCCATATCTTCCACATCACTTATTCGAGGACTAAATCCTCTCTCGTCCATGTCGAGTATATATTGAATAAGTACTTCCTCTTCCAAATCAGTCAAATTATGGCTTTTTGGTCGAAATTCCGTACGAGGGGTTAAACCATTCATTCTGCGGATAAGTGTTGTATGCGATATATTATATAGCTTTGCAGCCTTCCGAATGCTTAATTTTTTATCTTTTCGAATAGCTTCGATAGCTAAGAGTATTTGAGCTTCTTTATTATTCGATTGCATTATAGATTGTTGATAAATCGCGTATTGAAGTGGAAAGATAATAATTGAGGTAAAAGTGGTGCACATGCTGATATGGTGCACATACTGATAAACCACGTTACATTAACCATGTCCACACATGATACGATTACTCGAGATTAGTATGCGATTTAGGTGACCTGAGGATCAGATCCGGACAAGTACTAGGTTATCGGTAAAGTAAGATCATTGGAGGAATAAATATGGCTTCTTTTTGCCTAGCCATTGCGGCTAGGCCATTCATTTGTGTATATATAGAGTAGCTATCCCCATCTACAGGTGCTCTTCACCTGTAGATTCTAAGTTAAATACAATTGCTGGTCTATAAACACCCTTTTGGTCACATTAAAATAAAGTTATTGTTTATATAATCAAAAATCAAAAAATGATAATCATATTTTCTTTTTTAATTTTATTTTATATATATCAAATGATGTTAGATTATATAATAAATGTACTAGACGGTATTATATAATTATCTGAGAAGTTCAAATAATAGATTCAAATAATAAAATTATCGTTTTCTTTTTTATAAATTTGATTATAAATTAATTATTAATCGAGTAATCGATATTATTATATATTTGAATTCTCCAACGTTAGAGTTATTTAAAGATATAAAGAAAAATGTATTTTATAAATTATTTCAAAAATTAAATAAAAACTAAATAAATTTGATGTGTTTGCTGTTACGACGGCTTCTGGCCTCGTATCATATGACCACGTACGAAGTCATGTGATCCCTTCGATCCCTTTACCGAAGGGATCGAAGGGATCGAAGGGACCGAAGGAACGATAGGCATGAAGGTCTATATAATCAAGATGGATTTCCTTTATATAGAGCTTTGTGCTCAAGATCAATCATTTATTATACTCTACTATTAGTTACGAATTGTATATCATTATTGTCATTACTTAAGTCTCTGCTTGACGCCTAGTTATAAACCACTTCGAGAGCCTAGAGCACTTCCACGTGATCTAGACGGCAAACCTCGTAACATTTGCCTATTCTGGTCTGTAGTTCACTCAAATAACAAGATATCAACTCGGTATTTTAATCCCTTATTGCATATCCGAGAGACTTGGATTTGTCCCGAGCGGGATTGAGATATCTCAAATACTTATTGGCTAAATCCTCGGAGGAAGCCTCAGGAAGGTCTATTGTAATGGTTGGCGAGATGAAATCTTCGGATATCCTTAGGTAAGGTTATTTATTTAACAATATAAAGTTATATCGAGGGCCAAAAATAATGAATAGTGTCATTCAATGGACTCGTATATTTTGTTTTCCCACTGGAAAACTCGGTTGATTCACTAGTTTATGTTGATTCTGTGTATTTTAGTGCCAACCGCTTTTGAAGGTATCGTGAAGTCTGTGGAGACAAACGTGTCCCACTTATTAAGGTTAAGCACGGTACTAGGATGCAAATCAATCCTGGAGATTTTGTAAGATTATGACTTGACAACAGATTTCTAACTTCATGTGAGTTTGTAGGAACACAATGTGTTACATATCGAGGTGATTGCTGATGGTTCCCGAGTTCCACTACAGCTCAGAGCAACAATAGCATTGTGACGTCTCTCAAACTTCATAAAATCTTCTCAAAATGGACAATCAAACTCTGTCATCTCCCGGAGCTGACTCCGATATCGATGACCATATTTGGCTTTTCAATAAGTTCACCCCCTTCATTACGACGGTTCTAGTAATCTTTACCCTGGCTTGGGTAGTTAGATTTGTTCAATATAGAAAATCATACATAGAATATGTAGATATAAACCTTTCCTTCAATTTACATGTGCTGATCAACTTGACAGGCATCAGGGATACCTTGCCCGCCTTTCAGTATCATACTAGGCACGTTGAAATCGATGGGTGATCAATATGCTCATGCACCCATGACCGCACATCCTCATGGAATTATGACCATGATATACAACAAATACAACTTAAAGGATATGTTCATACTGGACAATTGGCCATTCTTTCGATGGAGACAAATCATCATTTGTGATCCAGTATGTTCATATGTATCTTTCATCATAAATCAAATCCGACCAATTTATCAGAGCATAACTGATATCCTATAGAATCTCGCAGCACAATGCACGCAGAACTATTCACTCCCGAAATCACCTGTCGCAGAACAATATGTTGGGCATATTACTGGGAAAAGAAGTATCCTACTTACTGACGGTTTGGAATGGAAGAAGAATCGGGCATTATTTAATCCTGGATTTGCTCTCGCTCACCTAACAACACTTATCCCAAGTATTGTTGATGAGTCGGACATTTTTCGTAATGTTTTAGGGAAGCTTGCGGACTCTGGAGAGGTTCATCCAGTAGAAGAAGCGGCTGCATTTGCGACGATTGATATCATGGGCCATGTTGTTCTGGATATCAGTCTAAATTCCCAAACTACAGAGAATGAATTAGTCGAATATTTTCGACAATCTATTTCCTGGACACCGAAAATTGTGGCGACGAATCCGCTGGTGAATTTCAATCCATTAGGTCCGATTATGCGAAAGTATTATGAACGGAAAATGGATGGCTATCTCGATAAGGTTTTAGATGCTCGATTTGCAGAGAAGGAAGGAAATGCCTCGAAGAGTAAGAAAAAGCCTGTTATTGATGTTGCTCTGGATGAGTATATTCTTCAGCAAGAGGAGGACAATATCGCATTGGATGATAGAGGATTGGATCAAACGTTCAAGCAAGTGTCGATCGATCAAATGAAAACATTTCTCTTTGCTGGCCACGACACAACTTCAAGTACCATCGCATACACATATCATCTCCTAGGGGAGAATCCCAAATGTTTAGCTAAAGCACGCGACGAATTGGATAGAGTATTTGGAAAAGATCTTGCAAAAACTGGAGATATGATCAAGGAAAATCCCAGCATCGTGAACCAGTTACCATACGTGTATAGTTGTATCAAGGAAACCCTTAGGAGATACCCACCAGCAGACACAGCACGACACGGAGATGATCTCACACTCAACTATGAAGGCAAACAATATCCCACTAAGGATTTCTTGGTAATGGTCTGCGTTCATACCATACATCACCGCGAGGATCTTTTTCCTTCCCCTTACGAATTCATTCCCGAACGATTTATGCCTGCCCCGGATAACTTTCAAGAAATCCCGAAGAATGCTTGGCGACCGTTTGAAAAAGGATCCCGAGATTGTATTGGACAAGAACTTGCTCTTCTCGAAATGAAGATTATCATGGCGATGACATTGAGAGAATTCGATATAAGATCTGATTATGAGACATGGGATCGAAATCTTGGGAGAAAAGAACCTGGTGGTACTCTGAATGGTACACGTGGGATGTTCGGTGAGAGGTTTTCATTTGGAAGAATGGTGATGGTTTAATATAATTTTCGCTAACAAAATATTAGGAGATCGTGCTTATCAAGAATTAATTGCAAGTGCTAAGCCTTCTGATGGGATGCCGGCGAGGATCGAGAGAAGGACGCATAATTAATTTGATCTTATTATTACGAGTTGCAAGATCGGATGAATCGTGTTCAGCATGATTCCATGAGCCTGTTTTGGACGCAGAATGGTGAGAGTAACAGATGGAAGTGTTACATTACGACTATTCTTTCCGATTTTTGAACATTCTCTCCCTTTCCCGTCATAATACTCTAGCAAAACTTGGGTGGAGGAAATTTTATCATATAACAGAACGTTTAAGAATATGTATCTCCAGGTTACCAAAACTTCCCTTGTATCCTTATTCTTCCCCCCCCAGCAAAATATCCTGATAAAATCGACATTGATGTTCCAGACCCATGAACCCATGCGAAGTGGTGCTGGAAATTCCGACGACCTCGCTAGACCCATGCTCAAACCCCCCTTGTTTCAACTTCGTCTCAAGCCATGTCTTCAGATTAAAGATGAAAAAAAATAGGCGATGTTGATATGCAGGGGTTTTCGATAAATTTATAATTAATCTGAACTTAAAACACTTAAGCTTACAATCTATTTGATTGCTTGTTTCCCCAGATTTAAGTGATTGGTCTGTATGTTTTGCAGAATGGACCACTTTAGGTGACCCCTTCTCATACTCTAGGACTAGGGAGGGTACCGTTATAAAGTTTTTGCTGGACAGGCCGGAGAGGCGTGAGATGTTTGGGGATGGGGGAAGTGAGACTCGAGTGTCTTCATCTGATGTCTGGAATGATTCAAAATGACTCTTTTGTCAGCTTGTTGATCCAAAGGTAATCTCTTAAATATCGTGAGGACGGGAATCACCGGGGTTCCTCACGGTTTTGGGTTAATGTCATTGATTTGAATGAGGCCTTTTTCATCTGAAGTTTGTGTCAACCCTGGTTTTTCGTCCTATCTCCTGGAGCCCTTACTATCATCAACTAATACACAGCGCAGTCCATACAGCAAGCTTAACCGCCGCCAAGTATGATCTCCCATCAGCATGCAAAATCTACATCGTGGAATATCATCTCAAAGTTCGTGGGGGTTGAGTTTCTCACTTTCTTCGTGTATAAGAACATGATGTTTTTCTCCTCCTGATGATTCTTTTCCCATCATCATCATCCACTCGATCTTTCTTCCACTCCACAGTTTGATTTTACTGTCTTTTCTTTCATTTGGTTCTGTGAACTAATCTCGTTCCTTAATATATTATCATTCTATACATTCATTAAATTTATCCTTCATTAGGCTGGTCCAATCTTTTAGCTTTTAAACAAACATCCTCATATAACCCTTTTTTCAACACTAATACCTGTTGTTAGATCAATCAACCTTTACTAATCAATATGTTCTCAAAAACTATCCTCATCTCTTTGCTGGTGGCTCTAGTAGAAGCTCGGTATGTTCATCCTTAGAAACTGTTGAATCCTACACATGTGCTAACCCTCCACCCCTAGTTTCGGCCAAGAACAAGGAAACGGAGCAATCGCCGCCATCACCGCCTTGAGTGACTTCGGCAACCCAGGAGCCGCAGCAACCCTCGGAGGACAATCCATCCAATTCCTCCTCGGCGCCGCCAACCCCTGCGGAAAACTAACCCAAGCCGACACCATCGTCGCCCAACTCGGCAACAACTCCCAAGTGATTTCCGCAGCTCGTGGTCTCGTCGCCGCCGAACAAAATTTCAACCCTTTCGTTGTTTCTGTCCCGAATATTTGTTCCGATCCCACTTTACCCACTACGGCTGCTCTACGCGGTGTAGTTCCACTTATTGATCCGTCTGTTGTGGGAAGCGAAACGGAAAATGCAAATAGTGCAAAGAGTACCACGACGCCTTTTGCGGCTGATGGTCTTAGTGTTGCCGATGTGATGGTTGCGCAGGGTTTCTCGAATTTTACTACTACGGATGCGGCGGGGAATAAGGGAACTCTATCTGGTTTGTCGGCTGCGGCGGGAAGTGTATCAGCCTCGGGTTCTACGCCCAGTGCTCCTTCATCAGGCGTTTCTAGTGTGGCTGTAGCTGCTGTAGCTGCGGCTTCAAGTGGAATTGCTTGTGGAGGTACTACTCTCATCACTGTTACAATGGCTGCTTCATCCGCCACCGCAGCATCCACATCCATAAGCAGCTCCTCTTCGAGCTCAACCACCTCCACAAACGACAATACCACCGTCCAAGCCTCCAGCATATCCGGCCTCTCATTCGGCCTGTGCGTCCCCACCATGAAATTCGAAGCCGGACTAAACGGCCGCAAAGACACAGAATTTACCTTCCAAGCCATTGATCCCCTGGTCAATAAAGGACAACAAGAAGCACTTAATCCTAACATCATCACGAATCGTATCTGTGATCAGCTGACTAATGTGTGTAATGCGAATGAGGCTGCGAAGACGGCGTGTGCGCAGGCTAAGGCGATGATTAGTGCTGCTGGGACGAAGGATGTGAGTACGGCGAATGCGTGGAATACTGCGCTTGGGTTTGAGGGCGCCGATACGAATCCAGATGGGGCGCCGAAGGCGGGACTTGTTGGTCACTCTTGAGGAGTTTGTAGTTTGGATGTGGGATGTGTATTGGGTGGGTGGATGTTGGATTGAGGGTTTGTGGTGGGAGGGAGAGGAGATGAATGTGAGGAGACATTGGAGATGGGAAGGAAGGAAGGTTATGAAATGAGGAAATGAATTGTTACGAGGTTTGCCGTCTAGATCACGTGGAAGTGCTCTAGGCTCTCGAGGTGGTTTATAACTAGGCGTCAAGCAGGGACTTAAAGTAATGGCAATAATGCAATTCGTAACTAATAGTAGAGTATACTAAATGATTGATCTTGAGCACGAAGCTCTATACAAAGGAAATCCATCTTGATTATATAGACCTTCATGCCTATGGCTAGTCAGGACCGCGCAGCGGTCCTGGACAGCCAGCGTTCCTCAGCGGTCCATAACGTGACTTAATCACGTTACTTTAGTTTAGTCATGTGACGCGGTGTGGAAGATAGCCGTCGTAACATAAAAAACAATTTTTAATATCATTTTCTTATATATTATTGAATTAAAATTGAAGTTATCATTGTTATCTATTATATTTCAATGTAATTTGTTTTTAGTTTTTTTCTCAGTTTTTGGAAAACTTAACAATGGAGAAAAGTAAACTATTTTTGGAACACTGATAGGAAGTTCAAATTCTGGGGTTTGAGAACTGTGTAAAAGTTTAACTACATAGCATCTATAAAACCAGAACAAGCCTAGAGTCGGTAATTTTCTAGTGATTTGAAAATAGATGATCAAGCGAATGAAAACAACACAAGTCTGAAGGAGACTGCTGAAAAACAGGCTTCAAGTCACTTACAACTAATCAATAGTAATAAAATATCAAGGGAAAGAGGATTATATTAATATATATCCCCTCTTGATATATAACAGATCACGATCTATGTAGTTTGATTGCTGAATCACAAGTTATTTAAGACCATCTAGTTTTCAAGCGTAGTGATGACGTAATTAAGTAGCTACTAGATCTCTTGATATTGTTTAAGTAGTCATTAGTAGGTATTGATTAAAAGAAAAATATAAAGCATTTTAAAGATTGGATTATATACCTCATTCTATTCCATATACAACAAAAGATAAATCCTTCATATTAAACTTACAATTATAGAATATAATATTGAATATTTTAAAATAATAAATATAATAACAAAGGCCTTGCACACTGATCTCCTTTCTTTAGAAATACAATAAACAACGAATATTACCTCCAGAACAGGTCATAATATACGCTCCTGATCGAGCTAGTTCGTAAGTAGGTGCTAAAAATGAGGATGAGTGGGAATTATAATACGATGGTTGGGAGACAGGAGTTTATAAACTTCCTCAGATGTGCAACAAGAAGATTAATTATAAGTTAAATCATTAGATATAATTGTAAGCTTTTTAAAGCTAATTTAGGATTAATAATGGAAAATCGGGAGTATATATAATATTTCCTCTTTTCCTTTTCTAAATATGCAACAAATAATACATTTACTTCATTACTTTCAGTAAGGATAGTATTATAAGCTACCAGGCACTATAACAACAAGTTTAACATCCTCAACCCTCACAACATATATACAAAACACAATCTACAACACAGCACAACACAGCACAACATAAGACAATAAATCAAAGTAAATTATAATATATCATTGAATCTTTCTCTATACCATTCCCCTTTCCAATTCCGCCACCACATTGATCAAAATCAACGTTGCCGCGAACCTAATCCCAGGCGCAGCCGCAGCTTCAGCCAGCCGCTTCATAATATCCCTCCCATTCCCTTCCTTTCCTTCCCTCCCCCATCTGTCTATCGAATATAGAAATATCGAATTAAGACAATCATTAAACAACATAGTAGATATGATACACATAATCATATGAATAAAAAGCAAACCCCAACGCCCAAGTTCCCTTTACCATGGGATTTTTAACATATGGTCCTGTAGATTCTCTTCCAGCGAGGCCATGCCGCCTTCTCAAGACGATCTTGTTCGATCAAAGCCGGGGTATCCAAATCTCTCTTTCCTGTCGTCAAATCCATATCTGCTGCCTTCATGAAAGGAGTTTTGTAGTAGATCTTGTATGGGATGTAGAACAACAAGACAACTGGAGCGGCTAGATAAGCCAAGAAGAAGCTTTGAGCAACTCCTGATGGGGAAAGTGATGCGTAACCAATTGGCCAGATAGCCGTCCAGAATTGCGCAATCAACACAAGAACATTGAGACTGAGACCGACCCAGGAACCGATAACTCCAACTTGGGATGTAAAAGCTAGCTCATCAAGGGTGTGTCCTTGTGCTTTCCAGGCGGCACGGAATCGAATGTGTGCGAGACAGATAGATCCCCATGTGAATAGGGATGAGAGACCGGAAAGGGAGTACAGCCAGTTAAGAGCGGTAGCAGCAGTGGTTTGACCACCAGCTACGACGTAGCAGAGAAGACCAATAACTGATGAGAAGATGATAGCCAAAAGGGGACGTCCTTTACGATCAATGTAAGCAAGGAATCTTGGAGCTTGACCTTGTTCTGCAAGAGCCGCAAGAGTACGCGAAGAACCGTAGATAGAAGAGTTTCCGACGGAGAGAACGGAGATAAGAACAACAACGTTCATGATGGAGGGAAGAACAGAAATTCTAGCATTGTTGATGGCAATGACGAATGGGGAGGCTTTAGCATCAGTAGAACTGGATCCCAAGAGTCGCTTATCTCCGTATGGTACAAGAACGCTGACTAAGGTCAAGGCAACCATGTAGAAGAGACAGATACGCCAGAAAACCTGTTTGATAGCTGTTGGGAGGGTTTTGCGTGGGTTTGCAGTTTCAGCTGCTGCCAAACCGACAAGCTCAGTACCAGCGAAAGAGAAAGCAGCTGTGACGAATACAGAGCAAAGACCCTTGAAGCCGTTGTGGAAAGCACCAGAAGCAATTTGCATGGGACTTCCGTCAGCATTCTGATTTGCGATATTGGAGTAACCAGCATAGTCAGGGTCAACGGTATTGGGATACCAATAACGAGCTCCAATGTATTTTCCTCCTCCAACTTCTCCTCCACAGTTGAGGACGATACCGAGAATAATGAATCCGATAACTGCAGCAACCTTGATGATTGAGAAGACAAACTCAGCCTCCCCATAACCTTTTACACCAAAGAAGTTAATTGCAACAATAACCACGAAGAAAATCGTAACCCAAGCAGCTGAATTAGTATCAGCTGCACCTGGCCAATACGCTAGCGTGATTGAAGCAGCGACAATCTCAAGAGGTAAGACGACAAGCCATTGAATAGCGTAATTCCATCCCATTGCGAAACCCCAAGCAGGATCGATGAAGCGAGTAGAGTATGCGGAGAAGGAACCAGAGACAGGGAAAACGACAGCCATTTCTCCCAAAGCGTGTACAGTACAGAACAACATTATACCAATGATACCATAAGCGATGATTAAAGAAGCGGGACCACCATTTGAAAGAGCAGCTCCAGATGTGACGAAGAGACCAGTACCTATTACATCATAATTAGTATTTATTACATTTATCATTGTAAATTGTCTTTTGCGAGCAAAAAGAGACATGACATACCAATAGAGCCACCAATTGCAATCATTTGCAAGTGACGAGGTTTTAATTCTCTAGCCAAACCAGAATTGGCAGTAGCTTCAGCAGCAGCCCTGTGATCGAAACCCGAAACAGGCGCTTCATGTCCATCAAGACCCCGTTGAGCTGGTTTCGTAACAGCAGCATTAGGGTCTCTTTTGAAACTGTCGACAAACCTCGTTGTCCAAGGCGCGCGTGTATCTTGCATGTAAGCCTCCTGGCTAACGCTATCGGCACGGCTGGCCCGAGTTTGACCCTTTTCGGGATCGTGGGATTTAGAGTCCTCCATGACGAAAGCCGAGAGACTTAAGTGTGTCGAGAGCTGTTTATTGTTGATGTAGAGGTATCAATAATTAAACAGAAAAGTAAATGCGACTCGAAAGAAGAATATGGCTCAACAACTCGAGTGCCCGACTCAAATAAACCTCTCGAGGTATTTCGTAGGTATTAAGGTGCGTGAAGAAAAAGAGGAGAAAAAGAGAGGAGGGAAGTGCAGGTCTATATTAGTTTTCTGGAAACCCCATCTCAATGATCATCATGAGTTATACCTAGATGAGAAAGCATGCAGACCGGCTAGGCTTCCCAAAAAGTACATCCACTCACAGCTTTCCCATAACATCTCCATAATCCATTGATCTCCAGACATGACAGATGTACCTAATTTGTGTGGTCTTGTCAAAAATGATCCACTTCACTTTCTTAGCAACCCAGACTAAAACATTAGCTATCTCTCCTATTTTACTTGTCAAGGAAGGTATCTTTACTCTTTCTCATCTCTCTCTTGTCTTTCGACAGGATTTCCCGCACATTGGTGGTCATGGAATATTCATGACACAATGACATCTCTAAAATTGACTAAGATCTACCTCCACATTTTGCCACGTCGAATCAGAATCAGAAAACAATCCAGGATTAGACCGCGAAAGGATTTAATTAATGCATCATGCGAAGGCTTGGGAAGCTGGGAGGGTTTAAATGTGGGTATGGAGAAGAGGCCGCGTGAAATTCGGATATTAGTGCTTAGCTGATAGAGATAAGAGTGGCTGGATTTCAAATAAGTTGACCGATTGGTTGGAATGAGAAATATCATGTGATTAGCTCCGAAGGTATATTTGTCCCCGCATGCAGGAGATCAGGGTTAGCAATATCAGGGTGAAGAGATCAACAACGTTGAAGGCGTTCGTGGGCGTTGATGTGGTGCTGGAGGCGTTCCCCAAGGCGTGCAATGAGGGTTAATCAAGGGAGGTTACATCCGATGCAGCCGAAAGGAATGAGTACTCTTCGAAAACCTTCTATGCAGACAAGAAGGTTTCACCAACGTCATATATAGACACATACATACTTAAACTCTGTAGCATCAACAAACAGAGTCAGTCCAGATCGATAAACCACTCATCAGGCTAAATTCGTCACTGAGAGCTTATAAGTTCATCCCAAAACCACCTTCCCAAGCAAAACTAATGGGACAAGATTCGTCTCGGCCTCCAATCCAGACTTTTAGAAGTCCGACTAGGTAGTAGGCACAAATAAACTTCCCCACAAATCTACTACTGTAACTCAATACTCGTAAGTGCTGCCAAAAAGTATAAAACTCCGAACGCTAAATTGGTATTAAGAGAGAAAAAGAAATCTTGAATATAGAACAATTTGATCAATAAGGATAGGTACTCCCTAATATTCAGATTCTTACACTTTATCGCCATACGAATACCTCATAAGCTACTCTCAAATCAACATTCTACACTCCAAAGGAACTAACCCACATGACAACTTAACGCTCACAAGACCTACACCAGCAAAAATAGTCAGTCTCTAAACTATTCGAAGGCTCGTGCTCAAAAAATCAGGATTCATCAGGCACCAACTCCGTAAGTAACACACCAACCAAGTGACTAAGATCAGCCATCCCAATCAAACCTCCACCATTATCTCTAGTGGAACCCTCCTCCCTGCAAACAACCGTGCTGACCCGACTCAAACTCGTATCCACCCAAGCTACCCAACGGGCCAAACTCTGATAACAGAAGAGGGAAAAAGAAAAAAAGAAATGGATCTACCCAGCCAGCATTGCACCAACATTTTGTGATACGATGGGTTGATAGAGCATAATAGATAGGCATAATAAAATTGATCGGTTTCGCCGAATTTACGTGGGTAGTGTTGGATCATTGGATTAGTATTTGAGCCAGCGGCCGAAAAGATTCAAAAAGAAAATATTTTTTGTCAATACCAATTCTCATCGCCTAACGACACCTCGAAATTCGTACCCCTTCATTTTCGCTTCTGATTGGTATACTTGCAGTATTACATATCGGTGTTCTATCCATAGTGCTCTAAAGTTTAATTTTGACATCTTGAATGATTGATTGAGGTACTTGGCGAATAATGCGAATTTCTTTTTTTGATATCGATTTTCTACATGAACATGTTATTCAGACATCTTTCACTTATTAGCTAATTAATTAGAAATCTTCATGTTGAAACCAATATTGACATTATCGTGACTTATCACTTGTAAGGTATGCAAACCAATCCAACATCTCCAACGAATTCACATTCTATTTGAGTGAATTAACATGTACTCTGTACTCTACGGAATATGCGGTTCTCAACTCCGTACCTCCAACAAGTGGAGCAAGCATCTATCTTCCCATCTTACCGCGTCCGCATCGGTGTTCAAACCCATAAATACACACGTACAAAATCCCACGCTATACCAAACCTCCTCACCAACTGATAAGACACCGAGCGACAACAATCAAGCACACGCAAATTAGTCTCACCACAACAAAGAAGCCGACGAATCCACGGGAGATTACCACTGCATAACGCCTCAGCCGCACCACAACGCCTCCTGCCGTCTTCATTTCACATTTCCGTGTTCCTGCCGTATGCAAGTCATAAAGTAGGTAGGTAATTAATGTAAGTAAGTTCTTCCAAAGTATAAAAATTCCGTAGATATGCCTATAGATACGTGTTAATTCAATTGTTCAATCTGCGCCTTATCCGAAGCCTCCCGAAATGACTGATAAGGATTTGGGTTAGTGTGGGCATTTTACCGTTGTGGTGGTAAATTATGGGCGGGGAAGGGGTTGACTTATCCACGTTTCCTCCGTATGGTTTTAATTTCAAGCGAGTGGGCTGAGTTGAGTGGTGGAAAGAAAATTGGAATTTGATTCAATATCGGGGGGATATCCAATATTGGAAATCCGCACCTTTTATCTTATCTCTGTTATGACCAGTATACTCGTAATTCGTAGCGAATTCAAGTCACGGACCTGTATCCAGCCCCAAATCATGAATGATACAACTCCCTAAACGCACCTCCCTCCCTCTGCATCAGCTCCGCAAATGTTCCAGTCTCCACGACCTCTCCTTTCCCCAACAAAACAATTCGATCAAAATCCGCTATCGTATCTAATCGATGCGCAACTGCAAGAATAGTACATCCCTCGAAAACCTCCCTGATAATCCTCTGCATTAATTTATCCGTTTCGCTATCCACACTACTTGTAGCCTCATCCAACACAATAATCCTGCCTCCTCTTAAAATAGCTCTCGCAAGACAAAACAATTGCCTTTGACCATGTGAGAAGAATTCAGCGTCTAGCTGAGCTTCTAATCCCCCTTTAGAGGAAATCAGAGACCAGAGTTGTACTTTTTCAAGCGGCGGAGATAATTTTTGTGTCGGGGTGAAGATGGTAAGGGTCGGCGTTAATACGGATAGTGCTGCGTAGAAAAAAGGGATCTTGAGGAATAGCGTTTAAGCGTGCTCGAACAGTTTGTCGGGGTAGTGTACTAATATCTACACCATCAACGAGAATGGAACTCCCGGGATGAAGTTCTAACATGCGGAACAGAGCGGCGATGAGAGAACTCTTGCCGCTTCCACTCCTACCACAGATTCCTATCTTTTCGCCTGGTCTGATAGAGAGGTTGAGATTGTGGATTACGGGGACGGAAATCGGTGTATAAGATGCTTTTACATTTCTGATCTCAATGGCGCCAAAGGCTGGCCAGTTCTCTGGCACAGATTCGATTTCTGATGGTAAGTTCTCGCTCACAGTTGTGGCAGAGAAGTTCTTGAGACGAGAGACCGCTCCGACGGCGGTTTCCATGTTTGTCCAGTTTTTGATGATTTGAGCAAGTGCTTCATTGAATGTCGTGACATTTAAGAGCGCGAGACCGACGTAGCCTGGGCTGATATTGGTGCGGAGTTTCACAATGAGTATCATGAGGATTACTGCAAGAGCCGTCACGAGAAGATCAAGGACAAGACCTAGCCAACGTTGAATACAAAAGAGAAGGTAGTATGGTTTTTGAGATGCGTCCAACAAGGTGAGATTCTGCTCACGGAATGTCTCAGTCCAGCCGAAAGCCCGGATGGTGGTTAAACCGCTCAGGGTTTCAATGAAGTGAGAGTATAGAGGAGATTTTGCTTCAAGATCCAAGAGACGTATTTGACGGGATGTCCTGAGATAGAATTTTTGTAGTACTGTTTAAGAGTTAGTAGTTATCGATACATGAAACATGTGCGTTATTTACCCCAGACTGCTAGACTGACAACCGGAATAGTTGCGGCAAAGTATCCGGCGGATAGAGACATTAGAATAGCTCCCATTATTGCTTGACATATAGACGAGGTTAGATCAACCATTGCATATGGCAGATCTGCATCAAGTATAGACATATCTTGACTGAATCTGAATTTAGTGTCAGTAAGAAATCGAAAATACAAGGCAAATACCCCCTCTACCTACCTATTTGTAGTCGTCCCAGTATCTGTGGCTGTGAAGAAAGAAAGAGGTGCCCCGATCACGGAATCCAATAGTCTTTGGTGAAGGACTTTTGCACTTTTTGGCATCATATATAATGCCAACTGGCAAACACCTGCCACGAATCCGATCAGGGCAACGCCAGATAACATCCCGTATATCCCTAACCAGTATGGATTTGCTTCATTACCTTCAACAGCTACAGCTCTTGTCCAATACGTCAAAGCAAATTCTGGTAATTTGGACGCTGCTCCAAATACAAAGACAAAAACAAAGAACAGTCCTGTTGGAATCCAACCAATGGAGGCAAAGTAATAGCTGTAAACTGAAAAATCACCAGTTTGTCGATTGAGATCCGCTACCTCATTCACGAGATCGTCGCTCTCGACAGCTGCAAAAGGATTTTGCTTCATGGCCAACTCGTCCGTATTAGCTTCTCTGACATCATCTACCTCTGATTTATGTCGAGTAGCTAGATTCTTCACATATCCGCTACTAGCCTTCAGAAGATCAAAGGTACCTTGTTCGATGATTTTACCCGATTGATCCATTGCGATGATATAGTCTGAATATACCAACCTATGAACAGCATGAGTTGCAAGAAGAACAGTGGTACCCATTTCTTGGAAGAGTCCTTGTTTTCCGAAAAGCCTTTTAAATACTTGATCTTCCGTTTCAGAATCAAGTCCAGAGAATACATCATCAAGAATGATGAACTCATTTTTGGCGTAAACGGCTCTCGCAAGTGCTAGTCGTTGTTTTTGACCGCCACTTAGAGAAATACCTCCACTTCCTACGCGAGTAGCTACATTTATGTCAGTGTAAACATTCATGTATACCTTTTAAGCCATGAGATAAGACACAGAAGTGTAAGGCCACATGACTCTTATCGAGTTCAAGTAGGATATTGAAAATCATAATATCTAAAAAAAAATCATTAGACAAGGACTTCTTACCACTTTTATTAGGCAATATAGAAATGTCCTGCTCCAAAGCACAAGCTCGAACAACCTGATCATACCAAGGCGAATCGAATGTTGATGGGCCGAGAATATTATCCATTATAGTGCCATTCTGAATCCATGGACTTTGCTCAACGTATGCCGTTTTCGAGGTTTTAGTATAAATGAACCCTTTCGACGAGGGAGTTTCACCAAGTAATCCTTTGAGTAAGGTACTTTTTCCGCAGCCTACTGGACCAATGATAAAAAATGATTGAGAGCATGGCAAGGTAAAGCTAAAATCAACTATCACGGCGGAAGCATCCTGACTCCAAGCGAAACTAGCATTTTGCGCTGTGATCATGGCTGAAGGAGTTACTTTGGGTGATATATCATGTAGCTCAATGCCCTGGCTTGCATTAGTAGTAGTGGCCGATGCCTGATATCTTGCCAATGGCAAACGATGATCTTTCCGTTCATCCGATAACATGAAAGATTGGATTCTCTCAAAACAAGCTACAGCAGCATTGAGTTCGGGTATGGTCCTCACCAATGTATTCATTGGCTCTGCCAAAAGAGCAATTAGTGATAGCGATGTGTATGCTGTCGAGGTACTCAATGTTCGGCCTGTAAGTTTGGCTGAGATTACAAACACTGTGAATGTGACTAAAGGCGCCATAATACCGGTGCAATTTGCTAAATATCAATTTAGATAGGTGTTCCAACGACTGACGTAGGAGGGTATACCTAAGAAAACACGACCACATAGAAGTCTTCGAAACAATTTAGACAGAGATACTTCTTTCGCACGAAGATGTTGAACCATGGTTGTGAGGATGTCCGTAAACCCGAGTACCTTCACAGCCTGTATAGTATTTTAGCAAATTGCATATAAACTTTGTTGGGAGAATTACCTTCATTGACCCTAAAATTGAAGCTGTGACATCGATACGGGTTTGAATACCCCTAATCCAAATCTTTTGTGCATTACCCATCCACTTTGCCATGGTAAGAATGCCTGCCGTGCAGAGCAAGGCAACGGAGCAAGGAGCCAAGAAAGCTAAACCAAGTTGTCGATAGAGCAAGTACATCGCTACGAATAATTCTGTAGGTACCGCCCAAAGCTCGTGTATATATGTGAAGCCTTGACAAATTGCGCCTGTGATAGAAATGAGCAATTTCCACATAAGGGTAAAACAATATATTACCTGTATCATTCGCCATCAAGGTAACAGCAACCGATTCGTCAAGAGCGGTAATGCTCAAATCAACAGTTTTAGCATATATCAAACTTACCAAAGAACCGCGTACCGCCGTGTTAAAACGATAAGCCATGTGGTAATAGGTTCCGCTTGAAACAGCTAAACCTAGAAAGACAATACCAAATGCGCCAGTCAAAGCCCATCCTATACTATCAGGCTGACTCTCATCGTTTGCAAAACCAACGGTTCTCTCTAGTAAGAAAGGTTGGGCATATTTGAAACCAATCATACAAATTCGGGGTAATATGCCGAAAGAAAATACCCGTCTTGTGGCTCTTATGGTTGACCAGAGCAAAGAATGCGATCGATTATGGTCGCACCTATCCCATGCGGTTTGTGCTCGTGAATATAGGTATTTCGAGCTCATTTCCTCATTAATAGGATACAAATCTTCATTTCTTATGACCCGCTGGAACCCCGTTGTCATAAGAGTGTTTAACCACCAAAAGAAGCTGCGACTATATATACCACTAGTATTTTCCGGTGATATGTGTCGATATCTGTCAATTAAAATATGACGCTTTTCTATTGCCTCGGCGATAATGACCATAACCTTGACACCAAGAGTACTCGTGAAGACTGCAGCAATCGAAGTATTCGCGTTATCTAACCATAGTGTCCTTGCCCTTGCTATATCGAAAGGTAGCGTAAGCAAAAGCCAGGCATTGATAAGAGCAGAGGGCTTGACGGAGTGTACATGCTCAAGGTGTGATAAAGCAAGTAGGCCGAGGGCATCTACAAGTAAAAGAGCGGCAGCAGGTACTGTTGCTCGTGTCTTCAAGGTTGACTGTGTAGTATTCATGACCAGATAAATCGTCTGCATGATTGTGAAAACACCTAAGAATAGCTACGGTAAAATTAGTCTGATTCCAAAGACTTTTGAATAGCATAGCCATACCAATTTATTGCTATGCAAAAAGCTCGAATTGACTTTTCGAGGTTGGCCTCGAAGCATCCATATCCGAATTGGCAATAAGAGAAGTAGAGTGACGGATGGTACAATTGAAAAGATAACATCTTCGAACAATGGAGTGAAGTCAAATCTCAAGGGTTCGGCCGGACCAAAGTCATTGATGGGGAGATCAAGACTTGAAGTATTAGTCGACATGATTTCGATTTCGATTTTGAACTGTTAATCAATATTCAGTTCAAAATGGAGGTTTTGAAGAATGATATATAAACAAGGGCTTATCCATAGTCCAGGAATGTCAGTGAGATAGTAAGCACTATCCCAGTTCCGTGATAAAAAATCACATCATCCTTGAAATTATGATAACAGCACATAATGTTTGGATGTTGGTTTAAAGCTAACTGTTGCCTAGATAGAATTAATATACCTAGTATATCTAGATGTGCAAGGTGAGGCACTATATATATATATACACCTAGGTATATATAGATATTGCCACTCTCCTATTGGAGATGGAGAATCTAGATATCAAATCGTCGTCACCAGACGCGTGTTATTGCCAAGAAAGAATGTTAAAAGACGCGCAGACATATCAAAGAGACTCAATTTGTCAAGAAATTCTATATCTAGACACTAGTGCAGGAACCAAACGATTCGATGCAAAAAGTATCATCTCTCTCTCCCAGTCTAGAACTAGGCAACTGAGGGGCATTTTCATTGAGTTTCACTGAGTGAGTAAGTAACCAGCTCAGCATTCAGAGTTTGATAGATCCAAATAGCCGATCCTATTAATACTAATCGATTATCTTTGAAGGGCTGATGAATATTGAAAAAACTGATCTGTTGGGATGAAATAGAAAAGCTAAGATTAACCTTACATAATCATTCATGAGATGAGGTAATTCTTTAGTGTTCGGACATAGGGCTTACTTACTATCTACCCCGCCATTTTGACCCCACCCCGCAGTGGACCTTTCTCCGATAACAACCACTTATCATCATAATCATCATCATTCATCAACATCATCCTTCAGAACAAACACAAATCTAAAAGCAATAATCAACCATAAATCATAGATAAATACAACAACATGGGAAGTATCAGAGAAGCCAGCCACGCCGGCTCATGGTATACATCCAACCCCTCCACACTATCCACTCAACTCGATGAATGGTTATCCCAAGTCCCCTCCTCAATCGACGATACAAAAATACCCATTCCAGGTGCCCGAGTAATAATCGCACCGTAAGTTCTCCTTTCCCCCCAAAAGAAATCCATTCTAACCATCACCATCAAAGACACGCAGGATATTCGTACTCCGGACCCGCCGCAGCCTGGGCCTACAAATCTCTCGATCTCTCCTCCGCCAAACGAATATTTCTTCTAGGTCCATCACACGCATGGTATCTATCGGAATGTGCGTTATCCAAACACTCTACATACGCTACACCACTTGGAGATCTGAGGATCGATCGAGCAACTGTTTCGGAACTAGCCCAAACGGGAGAATTCAAAACGATGAATAGCGATCAAGATGAAACAGAACATTCTCTCGAAATGCACCTTCCATACATTTACAAAATGCTCTCTTTGAATTTCGATTCTCCATCCGATTTTCCACCTCTAATCCCCATCTTGGTCGGAAACACCAATGCGTCTACCGAGAAAAAATTCGGCGCAATCTTAGCACCCTATCTCGCGGATGAAACCAGTGTCTTCATCGTGAGTTCCGATTTTTGTCACTGGGGTCCTCGATTCCAATATACATATTATCTGCCCTCCGATTCCTCCACAGATGCAAACGATACATCAACCGGGTACTCATTATCACGATGGGACAAATCCCCCACACAACCACCCATCCACGAAAGTATAGGAAAACTAGACAAATTATCCATGGAAGCGATATCCGGAGGAAAACATCAAGAATTCCTCAACAACCTAGAAGAAACAGGAAATACAGTTTGTGGACGCCATCCAATTGGTATCACCATGGCAGCGATTGAGAAATTAAAAGAAGACAAATTACTGCAAAGCGACAAGGGTAAATTTAAATTCGTGAGATATGAACGAAGTAATGAGGTAGTAAAGGTAGATGATGGATCCGTAAGTTATGCCAGTGCATACGCTGTACTTTAAATGCTTGGTTGTGTCTAGATCTAGATCTAGATCTATGTTTGTATCTGGGTACATAAGATGACGAATCTAATAATGAGCGATGATCATATATAATGACAGGCTGGAGTGGATGAAAGGGTCGGCGTTTACTTTTTAGGGAATGGGCATTGAGGAAATTTACGTGATTTACTACCTATTACCTAGTACTAGATAGACTTTCCCACCAGATCAAAATCAAAAGAAATCTAATAAAATAACCTATCCAATACAATATCTCTAGTTTGAACTCTACAGCAAAACTACTAGGTATATAGGTATTAAATGATCACTTAGATATCTTGTTGACCTCCTGGGATCTTGGCAGCATATGCATATATATTGCATGATGCATATAAGGAGCAAACAAAACTCAACTTTTAATTCATTCTTTCCTTTTTGGTATACTGTTTGTTTGCTTTCAATACTTTGATTTCAAAGCACTTTAATTCCGAAGGCTGAATACCTAACCCTATTCCTTCATTTTTTTTTGGATATATACTCGCAGCTTAACTGCTTAGCTAGAGAATCAATCAATTCAATCTGATGCTCTTTCTGGTCTCAAGAAACCCAATATATCTTCTTCCACGACACATCTTTCATAATCTACCAAGTGCCTAATTACAGCCTATGATAGATTAATAAATTCTTAAGATATCGAGATGTACCGATCGTATCGATTATTAATATATGTATGTATGTATTTTATCTAGGGTTACTCTAGGAGGGGGTTTCTATTCTAATGCTATTTACGTATGTACTTTTTGCTTTTTGTAGAAGAATCTCTTTCCTCTTTCTCTCTCTTTTCTTTCTTCTTCCCATCTCTCTATACCCATTCCATTTAATTTTTTCTGTTCTTCAATTTATGCCTTATGCCAATCCACCCCATCAAAGATCCCCATCCCCCTTCCCACCCCAACCCACCAATCCCCCCACGCCACCAACCACCCACCTCACCAACCCTAGTAATCCCCCCCAAAACCAACCACCCTTCCTATCCACCCCATCAATCTCCACAACCCCCTCCTCTCCGATCCAAACATTCTTCCCCTTGACCCACGTACCCAGTACCTTTAAATCCCTCAATCCCTCCACATTCACCTTCTCCTCCTTCTCCGCATCCCCATTCCCATCCATATCCATACCCATCAGATCCCTATCAACCACAATCCAATCCGCCCACATCCCTCCCTCTATCGCCCCAGTTTTATTTTCCAATTTCCAACCCCAAGCCGCATTACGCGTAAAACCATGAATAGCCTGTTTAATCGAGAGACTTTCATCCGGATACCAACCTTTTGGTCCCGAGGGTGACGTACCAGTTTTGGGATTGAGACGGGTTACTGCGGCGTAGATACCATGAAAGGGATTTGGAGGTTCGACTGGGAAATCAGAGCCGAGAACTGGACCGGGGTATGATGAAGTATTATTGTTGTTGTGGGAAAGGGGGAAGAATGAACGCATGCGATAGGCGGAGTTTGAGAGACGCTTTTCTCCTAGACGGGATAGTGCGTATGCCATGTCGGATGTAGCATGTGTGGGCTGAATGCTGGGAAGAATTCCCATTTTTGCAATGCGTATTTGATCATCTGGATGCTGAGGTTTTTGTTAGGAAAATAAAGAGATGATTGTAGATGTGCTGTGGGAACTTTACTATGATTTGAGCATGCTCAATTCTCAGTCTTCTTTCTTCATTGCATCCATGACAATTAGATCCTAGAACAGCTTCAAATGCATTGATAGCAGCTCTATTAGCTCGGTCACCAATAGCATGGATATTTATCTGATAGTCCCAATGGTAAAACTTGACGAATTAGCAAACTCAATATGTAAAAGCAAAGACAGCGGTCAAATACCTTTTTAACAACTTCCGTTAATTCAGTCTCATTGATCAACATCATTCCACTAGTCTCAGGTTTATCCGAGTATGGTTCCAACAATGCCGCTCCCCAAGAACCTAAAGCTCCATCTGCAAAAAGTTTGATTCCTCCAAACAACAGCATATCACCTCCACCAGAACCATCCCTCATAACTTTCACAGTTCGTAAATCTTGATGACAAAAAGCATTTCTCTCTTCACATTCCGCCATGACTCGAATTCTAACACTGAGCTCATCCCTTCTAGCCAAATCTTGCAAGATTTTCACATCTTCCATTCGCATACCTGCGTCACTCATGGCCGTGATACCTACTTTATTTAACTCCCCCATTGCAGTTTTGAGCCAGCCGACTTTTTGAGGTATATCCGGTTTTGGTGCGAGAGGATAGATAAAATTATCCATTGCATTATCGCAAAAGACACCAGGTCCAGGATTGGTAATGATTTCTCCACCAGGAGGAGCTTCAGGAAGCGGATCTGAAAGAAGAGAGAGGACTTTTTCTGAAGTCCATACACAATGAATATCAACTCTATCGAGCATAATATATAGATCCTTTAATTCTGGATCTTCAGAAAGTTGTTTCTATAAATTCCATCAGCATAATCTTTCACATCACGGAAACAATAAGATAAAGATGAATGGATACATACAGCCGTGGGCATCACACCCCCAAAATGAGCTTGATCCCATCCCACCCCTCTAATCCACTTGTCCCTCTCCCCATATCCCTCCCCCTGATGTCTACCCAACCACTCCTTAATCCTCCACCTCACATCCTCCACACTAACCGCATCATACAAACCAACACTCTCCAACATCTCCCCATACTGCAAAATATGACCATGAGACTCAATAATACCGGGCAACACAAATCCATTCAACCAAGTAATTTTCTCAGCATATTCTCCGCTGGGCACATCCTCTAGTACCTGAGTAATCTGATCGATTCTCGTGCGGAAACATTTAGGATTGGGGAATGAAGAAGAGAGTGTGGTAATTGTATATGGTTCGCGTACACAGTAGAGCGTAGATGAGGTCCAGGTATCGTAGAGGGAATGGAGATTGGCGGTTATGAAAAGGATGAAGTATCCTAAGATGAAGAAAGCGAGTGGATGCATCCTAGCCGACCTCTACCTGACAGATGAGGATACTGTCAGTGGAAGAATGGAGTAGAGAGGGTTGTTTTTCTTTTTATGATATTTGCATGCATGCGTTTGTTTGAATTTCAAGTAAACTTTGAAAGGATAAGGATTGTTTTTATGTTGTGTGATGATATTAATATGTTGTGATACATTGGGTTGGATTGGCTTGGATTGATTTGAATAAATAAATTAAATTAGGTTTTCGTACCCAGAAATCTATTTTCCCTCCTTCCGATATGGATGATAATGAAGTCATACATATTTGATATACTTTATTAAAAAGAGTAGTAGCGACTGGAAGGTGGGATGACATGTGATTGTCTCAAAATGAATTATCCCCAACAGGTAATTTAAGAATAAAAAATAATCCCACCACAGAAGTTCACACAAACAATCAAATAATAAATAGCACACATAACAAATCTACCATCTAACCCGTAGAATCTACGATATCTTCATTATATATCCATCTACCTACCTACAACGCAGGAAATAAAGTCAACGCTACAACCGCGTTTTTTTCTACGACGTTAACAAACCGCTTAAAAAATCATCCTAAAAACGCCGAGCTAATAGCATGCATTATCCCATTCATAAAAAGCATTTCTTCACTGCTCATGCATATCTTTTCCTCATCTCTCATCTTTCATCATCATGACCCATAACATCTTGCTCTAAATCATAATCTAAGATCTCAAAAACGTCTTAAAAACCTCTGACTCTGTACAATCCGTCCAGGGATATCCAATCTCCTGCAAAAATCTTTCGAGATCTTTAACCTCATCATCAGGACATACGATACCCGTTAAGACCTTCCCAATATCACTACCCGCATTACGGTATTGGAAAAGACTGATGTTATATCTCGGTCTCAATGTTGTGAGGAATTTCTCGAGCGCACCGGGTCTTTCTGGGAAATTAAACATGTAGAGTCGTTCATTTGGTACTCCTGAGCGACCACCAACTAGGTAGCGAATGTGTGATTTAGCAAGTTCATCTCCCGATAGATCCATGGGACTCATTCCGCCTGATGAGATGCGAGAAAGGAGAGATTGGAGCTCTTCATCTCTTTGAGATGCTGGTGAGGTGAGGGAGATGCCAATGAGTACATTAGCAACGGTATCTGTGGCATATCGATATGAAAATTCGGTGACGGCATGTGGCATAACTGCCTTGATGAGTTCAGAGAAGGCTCCAGGAGTTTCGGGAATGCTGACACTGAGAAGAGCTTCTTTGCGTTCTCCAAGAGCAGCACGTTCAGCCACAAATCGAAGACGATCAAAATTCATATTTGCTCCAGAAGCGATGGCTACCAGGTTTCTTGACGTGTCTGGGGATGGATTGGCCGCAACATATTTCTTAAGTCCTGCCAAGGCAAGAGCTCCAGCTGGTTCGACAATAGATCTTGTGTCTTCGAAAACATCTTTGATAGCCGCGCAAGTTTCATCCGTGGTAACTTGAATAACATCATCAATGACCTCTTGACAAATTCTGAAAGTTTCCTCTCCCACATTCTTAACCGCAGCACCATCTGCAAATAATCCCACTTCCTTCAATGCCACTCGTTTTCCAGCTGCAAGCGATTGCACCATAGCATTCGCATCATAAGTCTCGACACCAATAATCTTCACATGTGGAGCAATGCGCTTGACATAAACACCAATACCCGCGATCAACCCACCACCACCCACACAGCAGAAAATAGCCTCCAACTTATGAATATTCGTTTGTCTCAGAAGTTCCATACCAATGGTACCCTGACCCGCAATAACATAAGGATCATCAAACGGAGGAATATTCGTCAAACCATGCAATTTCTCCAACCTCCCACACTCCTCCTTCGCGGCATCGAAATCCTGACCATGCAACACCACCGAGCCACCCAGTCGCGTAACATTAAGATGTTTAATACTAGGTGTCCCTTCCGGCATCACAATCGTAGCAGGCATCTTGAGTTTCCTCGCCGAATACGCAACACCCTGCGCATGATTTCCAGCCGAACAAGCAACGACACCTTTCCAGCTAATCTTCGGATCTAAATGTGCCATTTTATTATACGCGCCTCTCAATTTAAAACTAAACACCGGTTGCAGATCTTCCCGTTTTAACAAAACGTTGCATTCTAAACGATTACTGAGATTGACGGCTGGAGTAAGAGGAGTCTCTTTGACGACTTCATAGACTCGCGAAGTGAGGATAAGTCGCAGATACTGTATTCAATTAATTGATTAACTAGCTATCCTATCGTTGTAAATAATCAAATTTGACTGAATGAATACACTTACATCAGGATAACCATTTGGCAGGATAAATTCCTGCGGAACGACGCTCCTGACTTTCGATTTGGGACTTTCGCATGGCGGGGATGGATTGGTTGTATATTCTGTCAAGGAAAAGGAATTGAGCGTGGGTGTTCGAGGACGAGATGAGGATGAGGATATCTCTCCATTTGTTAGTACGACACCGTTCTCCATATCTGAAAATATTGTATGGATTTATTTTACAATTGAGTGTTTTATTGATATTTATAAAGATTTCATCGAGTTGAGTCATAAATTTTGGAGCTGTTTCGTTTACTTTCATTTACTTTGCTTTCGCGAATTTCGATATCGGAGCCTCCTTTCTTTACAATGAAATTTTTGCAGGGATCTGTGAATGCCGATGATATCACGACCACCAGACCAGTGGACCTAGAATTTGATTCGATCAATTTTGGAGGGGCAAAGCAAAGCAAAGCAAAGCATTGAATTGAATTGAATTGAAATTGAATAAAGCTTTATTAGACATCAACAAATTCACCATAATTCAACATCATCTGAGGTTCCTGATACTTTTGGCTGATAGCGACGAGGAAGGAAAGATCAATCATTTAATAAAAATGCCGAGCAATACTCCTTTACCGTCGTCTTTCGATGGCGATACGTATGTAACATTTCTATACTACGCTTTTATTTATTGATAGCCGTAGCTAATGAGTGGGATGGATAGTGATTTCTATGAAGAAAATCGCTGGCAGAAATTAACGCGTCGGTTGAAAGAAGAACCTCTCATTCCCCTAGGTAAATCCACCCACACACTCACACTTTCCCCTTCCCCTCCCTCACTTCACCATCCATCCACCCAAAAGCTCACCCACCCACTCACCCACCCACCAGGCTGTATCCTCACCACCCTCGCCCTAGTCGGCGCAACCCGCTCCATCCGCGCCGGCGACCACAACCGCACGCAACGCATGTTCCGTGCACGTATCTACGCACAAGGATTCACACTGTTAGCCATGGTAGCAGGATCCATGTACTGGGACTCGGATCGCAAGAAGCGCAAGGAATTTGAAGGGGTATTAGCGGAACAGAAAGCGAAAGAGAAGAATGAGGCGTGGATTAAAGAGTTAGAGGCGAGAGATGAGGAGGAGAAGGAAATGAGGAGGATGAGGGATGAGAGGAGGAGGAGGGCGGAGGGAAAATCGGCTGCTTCGGGTTTGGTGGTGGATGCTGCGAATGCGGGTGCGGAGGAGGGGGAAAAGACGAAGAATGGAATCGTGGATCAGATGAAGGGTATGGTGTGGGGGAAGAAGTGAGGGAGTCGTGGTACTTGGTTGCTAAAATTGGATGTATAAGGTGGAGTATAGCACTGAGATCTGGTGTTCGGTATTAATTGGTGGTTATGGGAGATTGTGTAATATTCAAGGTAAAGGGAAATGTACAAACTCCATTCATTCATCAATATTTTGCTACGGGCTTGGCTATGGGACAATCATATAGCAAAAGTGTAATATTCTTCATATCCAAAATATCTGGATTGCAAGTTAGTATTTGTATGAAGATTCCAACATCCCGCAAGATTATGCCTCCCAAGAGCTTGATTTCCGCGCCATACATGCTGTAATTGTCCCAAATCCATCAATGCCCAACTATCTCCAAAACTCCGAGCTTATATTATCAATTCATAGAACCTCCACTCCTGTTCCCCCCAATCAGTCCCGCCATTTCCAGTAACGCTCTATCAGCTTCAATATCACCCGACCCAAGATTGATTTTCCTCCTAGCCTCCGCTTCTCTTTCTTCCCAAGCCCACATCTCCTTTTGCTTTTGAGCTTCAGCATCACCTCCACATCCCCAAACTTCTAAACTTTCGATTTCGAAACGATCTTGGAAGTCACTGCGTCGAGTTTCACTGTTATGAAATGCTCCTCCACCAGATGTATAGTTGTGTGTAAAGACACCAAACTCAAAAGATGAATCCAGATACAGTGATACAGCGCCGAGATTCACATGAGTTGAGAGTCCAGCCGTTTGTTTCGTTTTGGGATGCGGACATCCAAACGATAAACATGGATGGGCGGATGGAGGCTTGGAAAATGCCACATAGTCCCTATTAATTACTGAGGCGTGGAAGACTTCATGAACAGGTTCGAGCTGGAAAAGAAGTGTATCGGTGTCTCCAAAACACTCTTTGTGAGTTTGCTTCCAAGGCTGGGAAAGATAAACTCCAAAAACAACTCTTGATGATTTGCCACCGTTGGGAAATCTTTTGGGTGGTAATGTGTCTGCAAAATTTCTTTCCTGGCCACCGGCGGGAATATCTTCAATTCTGTTTCCGGCCACCAAGAGGATAGTTGGGGCACGCCAGTTAAACACTCTCGTTTCGAAGGAACCCATAGAAAATCCTGCATCACCACCAGAATAAAGTAGTCGGAGACGACGGAAGAGAGATTCCCCAGGAAGGAAAAAGGAGAGTTGCGAGAGGACGTTTAGATCCAGAATCTCACCTATTTGCGGAAGAAGAGGCTGATCAATTTCAGCATTTAAGGGTGTTAAAGGTGGCGCTTCAGATGAATCTTTTCGCTTTGTAAAGTCAATGTTCTTGGAGAACAGAAAATGCTCAAAAGAGGGTTGAAGCCATTAAAAATAAAGGTAGGGAATAGGGTATCCACAGTGTTGAATTGATGTATTTAACGGCCGGGGAATTTTTCCACGTTTACAAAAGCTGG